ATGTTAAATTGATATTTCTTAATGATTAGTGGAACAAAGATGTATAGATTGAGCAAAGATAGATTTTTGTATTGATATCAAAGAGAAAAAAATATATAAGTTGAAGTCATTGGGCATGATATGTGAGACTTGACTCAAATCTTCATGAAAATATTTTTTATTGAAGTACAAGTGAACTATCACTTTACGTGAACTTTAAATAAGATAATATTTTGAATCTATCTATATATACATATATAGATGACATTATTTATATTAGATCATGAGTTCAAAACGTCTATGATGTCATAATTTGAAATGACTTATTTAACTTTGCTTTATAATTTCTCAAACTTTAGAGTATTAAAAACATTTATTACACTCAAGTTTCTCTAAGCTGAGGGTCAAGAAGTGGACCTCTTAATGAGGGAGATCTGCAATCTACTCAAGAGAAGTATATTTTGGATCTATTCTAGAACTTGAATATGATGAATTGTAAAATAGACTCTACTCTAATCAATGCTAGTGGCAATTTTGAATTGATGTTGTAACTATAAGTGTGGATGAACATCTTTACAGAAGTTTGGTTCATATTTTAATATATTTAACTCAAACTTGGTCAAATCTAATGTTTTCAGTCATTATGATTTATATATTGTCCTATAATGTGGAGCATCAAAGATAATTCTTTATTATATTCATGATACAATAATTATGGGATTTTATACAAGCATGTACCTCATTTCAATTAATTAGTTTCACCAACAAAGATTCGGCAAGATCTTTAGGTGACAAGAAGAGCACTAGTAAATTTACTTTCAACTTTAAAGCATGTGATAGCGTAGAGTTTCAAGAAATAAGAAATAACAGCATTATCATCATCAAAAGTTGACTAAATTACTACAACATTAGTTGTACTTCCGGCATATGTATGAGGATGATCATAAAAAGTTTAATTTGATATAGATTTATTGTGTTAATAACTCGACCATCTTAATCACCAATTTAATACTATAACAAAACATATTGAGATTTTTCATCACTATATTTTAAATCAAATTTTATTTTTATTTTCATCACTATATTTTAAAACATATTGAGATTTCCATCACTACATTCTATTGTCCCTCTTTCTCATTATTTTGATACATATCTAACAACGTATTCTCTCTCCTCTTTTAGGGTTCATGAACCAAACGCCCGTCTCCTCCTCTTCCTCTCCTTCTCCAGCTCTCTCCCACAATTTTTGCATCATTTTTATTGTCTCTATTAGGTTATTATTCAGACAGACCACAGATCCCCCCGTCCCCACGGCGGACCGTTTCGAAGCCGACCTCCCATCGGTACTCCAAGATCTTGAAGACTTGGAGGAGATATATCTTGTTAAGCGCCGCCAACAGGGTCCATCTTTTCTGGAGAGGAATCAGAGTTCCTCTCCCACGGGCTGAATCTGCCGGTGGGTCCTTCCGCCGGCACCGCCAAGCGACAGATTTATCTCCTCTCCCCAGTCCGAACTTGGGGGCTTCGCCCACCAACATGGGTCGGGACGTCGCCGGCGGATCTGCCCGGCACCACCCTCTTGGATTTCATCTCTCTCAGTGTTCTGCATCGTCGCAGGCAAAAACTGCCCACTACGAGTTAATTCTTGCGGTGAAGTTTCATTTTTCTACGTCCCACGCAAATCTCGGTGCATATTTTTCCGCAATCCATATCTTCTTTTGAACAACATTGCCTCCTGATGATCACGGCCTCCACGGACTGTTCCGAATGGTCTTCTTCAGAGCGAAGGCGTAGGAGTTATCCGGATGATGAAGAGGATGAGGGCTGTAGTCTCAGAAAAACGTCTTTATCGGATAACAGAGATAAATGGCCAGCTCCGTCGTGCAGTACACGGAAGTTACAGCTGGAGATGAGCTCGACAGAAATCCTCTCTTCTTGAAAACATGATTTATTCGCTGAACTCGCAGGAAAAGCGAGAGAAGACGGGGGTTGGAAGAGGAGGAAGAGAAGGTCGGCCGGCCGATCAAGCCCCCTGCGAGGGATCACGAGGCGGCGCCGGGCATGACGCGGCGGGGGACGCCGGCGCCGCGGTGACAGCCGTCCACCAGCTTGAGGAAATACTGGAGCTCCTCGGGATCTATGTCGTAGATCTCATGGAAGCACGACCTGATCTGGGCCTCGGCTGGGAGGATATCGCGGCAGCAGTCGGCGGACAGGGGCTTGCCGTTGGACTCCATCACGCAGTGGTGCGTCCAGTAGAGGAGCTTCAGGCAGCCGTTGGTCACCGGGTCTTCCCCCGGCACCGGCGTGAAGGCCGTCGACGCCAGTGAGCCGACGCCTGCGCCCCAGAAGATGCGGGCCCTGCGGGGGGCCTCGGCGGCGACAATGGGCTCCTCGTCGGAGACGGCGACGGCGGACGGACCAAGAGAAGCGGCCACCACGGCGAGGAACAGGACCATGGCGGTGGCACCGCAGGGGAAGTTCTTCGCCATGTGCTATGGATGGATGGATTCTCCGACGACTGGATGGGATCCTCTCGAGATCTCTCTTCTCCTGCTCTCGCTTACTCCCCCCGTCGACAGGTCTGAACACGTAGATTTATATAATCCCAGTAGAGGATACGTTTACTACATTTCCAACGGATCACATAGAGCTCAATTTATGTGAACTCTCACGTTACGGTGTAAATATCGGTTTTCTCATTTACGAGGAGGCGTTGCTCGGAGTGAGTAAAACTTCTGCAACTCTTCTCTCTCTCTCTCTCTCTCTCTCTCTCTCTCTCTCTCTCTCTCTCTCTCTCTCTCTCTCTCTCTCTCTCTCTCTCTCTCTCTCTCTCTCTCTCTCTCTCTCTCTCTCTCTCTGTATCTATCTATCTATCTTTCTATCTATTTATCTATTTATCTATATATCTATCTGCCTACCTGTTTATCTTTCTATCCATCGATCTCTCTCCACTTCAAATACTTGATAGGTAGACCAGTGTGCTGAGTAGTATTTTATCCTTTCCTTTTTACAAGTGCCGGCTGAAGCTTATATCTTCGGGGTGATAATACTGGGCTCTAGAAGGGCTTCATGTCTTCTCCAACCTATTAACACCCTTACTTCTTAGTGTGATATTCAAAAAGCTGGTAAGTGGGGGCCTATTAAACTGTCAAATATAAGGGGGGGTTAACTATATTTTTTTCTTATTTTTATCATTTTTATAATATTTTCATATCAACTATCTAGTGACAATATCTCTTTGTTTGACTAACTCCTTAATCTTTTATATTAAATACAAATACTTTATTTGCTTTCATTATCTTTCACAACATCAGTCAACTGAAGTATTTATCCTCAAAACCCAATTTTGAATTTATGAATCTAAGAGGCCAACCAAGAAAGCACCCAACTTATTTTTTCTAGATTGAGAATTATAGAAGGCCTACCAGATTATCACCCAACTAATTCCTTCTAGGTTAAGGATCCTAATGTATGAGAATACTATACATATTCAAAAACAAAAGATGAATGAGTTATTGTTCTGGTCATAACCACTCAATGCTTATGAACTCACAAGTTCGCTTAAGCTCTTCTAGTTGAAGAAATATCTTTTCACCCATAAATGATATTTGATTTTTTCTTGAATGATTTTTACTTCACAAGAAAGTTACGTAGATCATTCATTTTATACTTCTTAATTGGTCTTATTCTTTTGCAAGTTTTCAACAATCATAATATGATCTTTCATGGTTGTGGTACGCTCCCATAGTCGTCCCATTTTTTCATGCTGCGTTGCACCTAGTTCTTTCTCCCTCCTCTAAGATTGCACATTATTTTTGCTCATTCTTACCTATATAAAAAATGACACAAAATATTATATATAAAATCACTCTAAAATATGTAATAAAGTCTATGAATCATATTAGAGAGTCTGCAAAATATTTGGAGGTTTTCAAGTGTCATATTAATATTTAATTTAACTTATAATATAAGATATCCAATTTATCCTTTTAAGTTATTTTTCCTCAATTTTATAGATTTTCCTTTTCTTATATGATTTTCATCATCAAGAAACGCAATTCTATTATTATAATGTTACCCATTTACCTTTATGCTCATTTATTTCATTTTCAAAACCTATTAGTCCCCCAAATCCAACAAAAGTTTGTTTCATTGTAGCATAGTGATTTCTCTTGGCCAGCACCCCCATCTTAACTAGCATCCATATATATATGGGTCTCAACATGTTAAAGGTTTTTTGGTTTGTATTCCCAACTAAAAAAAATCAATAAGAATTTTCCTTAACTAAAATTTTGATTTTACATTCGAAGTGGGTTTTGACTATTCTTGAAAGTTGTGCATGTTGGTTTTCATAAAGATTCATCGGTCTTGACACATTAATAATTGATACCTTATTTTAAAGTTAATATTTTGTAACATAAATGCCTCTAAAGTTTTAAAACATCATTAAATTATTGAACATCAGAGTGAGTTCATATTATTTATCTTGAATCAAGTTTCTAAGTCAGTTATCCCTAAATTCTTCACATACAGACTATCTATATAAGAAAAAAAAATATTCAAATTTTAAATTAACTAAAAGAATATTACTTGAAAATTTCGCCGCCTAAATTTATATTTCATGATAAAATTCAAGTTAACTATGTAATCTTGACGTGATGGCGGTCCACTTGTTTCTGGGCCAAATGTACTGGGCCCCGGTTTCGACGGCCCAGTGGCTCCCAATTACATTCCGATATTGTCGCACCATTATGCCTTGAAAACCTCCATTCTCTCTCTCTCTCTCTCTCTCTCTCTCTCTCTCTCTCTCTCTCTCTCTCTCCCCACCTCCTTTGAACACCTCCCTCTCTCCCCCTCCTAACCTCACCACCCCCCATTCTCTTCATGGGATATGACCTTCATAAGCCCTCGTCCTCCCCAATTAACCAAATGTCTGGTCCATCTGATTGTAAAACCCCCCGGGGATCTCAAACGAATAACCTGAGGGAAGAATAGAATTAGACGAGTTACCAGCGCAGCTATGATCGATATATCTCCTCCTTCAGCACACCGATGTACGCCAGGTTCCTGTACCGCTCCCCGAAGTCCATCCCGTACCCGACCACGAAGTAATCCGGGCACTGCATCAACAACGCAAAGAAGCAGAAAGTCAAAATTTCCCTCAACCTTCCATTTTTGCAGGGCCCGGCTACAACAAAAGACTTCAAGGTAGGATGGAAAATGGGGTCCATTTCCAGCGCAAAAGTCAAATGACGGCGGACATCTCCATCATCTACTTGCTATCTTGACCTGCTACCTAACCGACGAAACCGCTGTAGTTACCATCCATCTCAGTACGGGGGAATATCTAGTCCAAGTCAAAGACTTCACAGGAGCGAGTGGAGGAGACGTCGGTGGGAGACCGTAAAAGGATAAAATCCAAGAAGAAGAACGAAGATTTGGCGTAGATCAACAAGTCAACCGTGGCCCCACCAGACAAGGGAATTATCCATCGATTAACTGACTGAAGTTAATCGACAAGAAGACAGATAATTCAACTCTGCAATGAAGCATGCAGGCTGTAGAGATTCTAACCTCAAATCCCCGGTAAAATGTTCCTCCGCCGAATAGTTCAGGGTTGACCTTCCTCCTCGTTGGTTTGTCGAGAAAAGTGCAGACTGATACAGAGGAAGCTCCTTTTGATTTCATGTGGGAGACGAGGCATGAAAGAGTGTTTCCAGTGTCAACAATGTCCTCAACCTGAAAGAGACGATGATGAATGTGGGCAGGCACTGAAAGCAAACCGGCGGCCTAGATTCATTGAAAAATAATGAAACAGGAAAAGAAGATTATTATCATACCAGTCACAGCCCCAAAAAAAAAAAGTCACCCCCCCCCGCCATGGAAATACTCTGCCGATGTTAAAAACAAATACAACCAGGCAACCAAAGAAATTGTACAGAAGAAATTCGGTGCTCTGGTGAGTACAGACAAAAGGGGCTTTTTGTTCTTATTCCAGAATGGCGCTTTTAAGGAGCTTCGTTAGAACTTCCAATCAATGGCACAACCTCAGAAAGATACCAATGTTTTTACAGCAAAAATGGTCCTTACTGCCCATAAAATGATCCATTTCGAGTAAAGCAGCTTTCGAACCACAGACAATCATCATAGACAAAGAATCACCAACAGTAAATGATGGCACAACAGGTCCTTAGTATGGCGTGACAACCGGAGTGTCTGGTAGGAATTTCACACTACATTGTCTATATGATCTCATTCCTGTGTGCGAACCGTGTGAATTATTCGCCGAGATGAGCTAATGGGCCAAGAGACCCGTCAATAGAGAAGTACTTACCCCTGGCTTTACGAAGAAACCAAAATAGCACAATCAAGGAGTTACTGTGATATTCATTCAGGTATAGCCACGCATCAGACATTAAAAAAAAAGGAAAATCCAATCATCTCTAAGACTTATCTTCAATATGATCCGTTTACTGTATTACATATGGCACAAGTACATTAGAATCATTATCCCGAACCAAAGGCCACCAACAGTGGATAAGTGGTCATTTCCCTCCACATTTTTATCAAGAACCAAAAGTAACACCAGCAAGGAGTTTCCATGAGATCTCCAACTTTTTCTGGAGCCAAAAATATCCTAATTAAATATTTTAAAAAATTACACAGGGTAACTAATCCACCATGAAAAAGCCAGCATCAGACATCAAGTTCGTTACCGCCTGTGGGGTTATTTTAATTTAACAAGTGTTCCGCTGACTGAATTCCCCATGACAGATCGATTACACAACGAGAGAACAATTACACTAGATATTACATAAACTAGACATTCTCTAGAAGAAAAAAACACAAATGAGAGTCTTCTAGAGACGGAGAACACAACATTATGGACAGCACTCTTTTCCTATCAACACAGTGACGGGTAATATTTTTCTGCATGATAAACGCTTCATTGCAATTCTAAGAACACATATTTTGATCACTTTTCTGCCAAAAATCAATAAAATTTTCAAATTCATCGCAAACATCTTACGGCATTGTACAGTGAATCCGGCATGATGATAACGACTTAATAGGGTACCGACAAGTCGTATAGTTCACTACCCAACTGTCTTCTTCTAGTCCACAGTTACATTAAGAAAAACTTGGTATGATTGAGAGACATTTTCACCGAGAATTTCCTTTCCCACGGATATGTGGATGAACTGTTGCCCTGTCGGACGAGAGAAGGAAAGGGGAAAGAGTAATTTGCCGAGTGAATGAGATGAATTATACCACAATCACATGCTTTCCCTGAACATCGATCTTGAGGTCGCTCGATAACCTCGGAGCGCCACTCGACTCCGTGCCCAATCCATACGACTCTACACGTACGAGATCCACGGAGATTGGGATTGTGATCCTCCTCGCGATGTCGGCCAGGAATATGAAGGACCCCGTGGCGACTCCGACGACGGCGACGGGGACCTTGGACTTCTTCAAGTCCTCGGATATCTCCGCCGCTAGCTCCGAGACTCGCGCGGATATCTCGACCTCCGTCCACAGTATCCTCTCCATGTCCTCCAGCTGATCCATGACGACGGAGATGAATCGGAACACGGAGAGATTCCTGAAGGAGAGATTCACCTAGGGTTCCTCCCTCTGGAACTGCCAGGATCTGCGTCGACGTCAGTAACCCTTTAAAAAATAAAATTTACGAAAAGCACCATACCCATGCTAATATACAAAATACACTTTCTTCTTACAGATCGACCCATACAGTCAGACTGCTTCTGTACAGGAGCATAATATAAGTCTATTGAAGGTAAAATAATTAATTCAATGGCTTAGAATAAAAAATTAAAAGTAATAATTAAGGAGCATTTAATGTTAGAATATGTATCGCCTTAAGATTAGCATTTCTAAAAATAATCAATCATTTAAAATATTTATAGCATTAATCATTTATATATATAGATACTCTCGACCACCAATAGATGCTGGGTAGTGGTTTAGTGTAAATATCTCATCAAGAGTGAGGGGCATTAACACTGGAGGGTATTCTTGTCAAAAAATACAATGAGCGAGTCTTTACTGCAAATAGAGGGGTCAGACAACTTATGGTGGAGCAAGCAAAATCATGCTAGGCCTAATAATATTTATTCATATTTATTATTTCCAAATAGGGACTCGTACCATCTTGTGTTTTTTCCTCATACACTTCACTTCAAGTGAGGTTGACTTAAATTGTTCTTACACAGTGACATTTCTTGCATGAGTAGAGTTTATTCTTTAGAGAGAGGTTGATGTAGGGGTCAATTCCTTACAACAATTTTTTTTTAATATTTACCCTAAATGGATACATTTAAAACAACTTTTATAACTTTGCACTGATTTCTTCCTTGACCATTGACATCTAGAGAAGTATCTACTTGTTTTTTGGTCAAAGGTTTGACCATCCCTAAGCGAGCATGAATGATTTTGAGATGAAGTCAACTCCTACACACACAAATGGCAATGGAGTCAACCCATTTGACATCACGATAAGCTGATTTGTGGGTGCTTAGCATGTATCACAGGTCCGACTCCACATACAATATAAGGTTGACATATTAACATGATAATGATCAAAGATTTTAACTCATCAAAGTCATGTATTTTCCAGAAATAAATGAATTAAGATAGATGGATTCAAGAGGGCCAGGTTTTTCATACAATTGACTGATAATAATATTTTTTAATTTTCTCAAAATGCTAAAATTTGAAGCTCGAGTGCACAAGAACATTAGAAAAAGTTTGTTGAAACCCATACTTTAATTTGATTATTTATTAAAGATTAGACTTAAACGTAAGATGAAGTAATAATTTTTAATGGGCTCCATTAAGAAGCTTGAGTCTCCAAGGAACCCTGGTCAAGTAAAGTAAAACCTTAATTACACCTTAATTAGGCCTTAATCTGGTAAAACGGATATTCGGATATATTTACATATAATTTATATTCAGGTTAATAGTTATATTCGTGTATATATATATATTATGTTGAATAATAAAACGAGAACTGACGCGTTTTTTTTATATTAAAGTCCCCGTTAAAGTCAGCAATTGTGCTGTCTTGAAGCAAGTTCGAGAAACGTGGGAGTACCCCCGACAAAATGACGACCATCCAATGAGCGGTATCTAGCTCGTGGCAGTCCGTGGAGTCGATCCTGCATATGGAAACTTCGAGAAGCCGTCCGATGTACCTCGGCGGCTATTTGCTAAACCTGCTCTGGCAACCTCAAGAGGGCGGATGGGCTTTCTGGACCGAAAGATCTCGATCGGATATCGGGTGTGGGTTAGATTGGAGGACTCATGGGGAACTCCATAAGGTGGGGCCACCGCAGACACGTCATTTCGGGAAAGCAGAGATTCGCGGTATTGTGGCCGGCCGGGATAGAGACGGCTAGAAACTCCAGCCAATCACTTCGCGAATATATATTAATTATTTAAAATATATAAAAATCTCTCTCTCTCTCTCTCTCTCTCTCATATCGCCATTTCCGTTCTTCTCATATCATGGTGTCATTCTTCTGTTCACGGCTCCTACGTCTCTGCGCCGGCGATCTACCTGTGATCTCTCGGGTCGTGTGAGTTCCGTCTCGCCTTTGTCCTCCGGAAGGAAGGATTTCCGACCTGCAGCCAAGAAGGCTGGAACTGTTGCTGGAGGAGCGAGAAGTGTTTCCGAAACCCTAGAGGAGCTAAGACTCTGAACTGCCCGCGCCTGCTCGCAGGTGAGGCCTGTGTCCTGATCTTGATCGTTTTATTCGTCTTGGGGACGCTCTCTCCGTATTTGGGAGCCCTAATTATGGTGGGAATGAAGACAAACCGATCATGGAAGGAGTAATCTGCACGGGTGATGCAGCGCATGGAGAACAAGATTCTCTGTCCCTTATTTTTTATGGGGCCCTGATTCCCGGGGAATATGTTATCCTCTCATCTGATGTAGTCGATTTTTATTCGCCTGTTCGTGGGATATAGGAAAGTTTCGAAAAGGGGGCCGCGATGTCCCCCCTCTGCTTTGTTCTTTGCCCCAGTCCTAATTTGGTGGCATATTGTGAGAGGTTTTGATGTTAGGATCTGCCGTTTCGGTTTAACTGATCGCGATTGGATTTCTTCTCCGCAGGGAACGAATTCCTGTCTCCTGAACTGATTTCTCGCTGTTGATTATTATCCTGTGTTTGTTGATATTATGACACCAACTATACGGGGTGGTCTGATAACCCTTTGACACCAGCGTTTAACACAGTTTTCTCTGTTCTCTTAGGCGGGTGAGAATGTCGACCCCTGCAAGGAAGAGGTTGATGAGGGACTTCAAACGGTTGCAGCAGGATCCTCCTGCGGGCATCAGTGGCGCTCCTCAGGACAATAATATCATGCTTTGGAATGCGGTTATATTTGGGTATTTTTCAACAAAATTATGTTTTTTCTAGAAATACTCTTAAACTTTACTCAATGACTGCTTTTACTTTTCTTAAATTGCAGTCCTGACGACACCCCTTGGGATGGAGGTGAGTTTCTTTAGAAATCTATTTATGGTATTTCAAATAGACTTAGTGGGAAAACATAGCTTGCTGTCTATTTTCTACATGGTAATTTTCAGGGGGTAGTCTTGTTTTGTGATGGATCTGTCGGAGACCATTTTTAATTCTTTTATTCTTTTCACTTTCAGATCTTACTTTGTGTCCTGTTCCTCTGCTACTTATAATTATGTCTTTTGCTGCTGTCTGTATTTATCCGAGATGCAAGTTCAGACTGGAAATTTGCATAGATATCAGTACCTTGGATTCATTTAATAAAATTTATTGTTCATACCCTGCAGATGGCGGAACTTCTGATATTTCTAGCAATACCAATGTCTTTCATTTTAATATTTCTGACAAGTTCCATATATGTATATGCCTTCGTTTTGTGATGGTGTTGAATATAGCATCATATACTTCATTGGATGCAACTCAGCTTGACTGTTGTAGACATTCACTTCTAAGATATTATAATTATTTAAATACACAAATCATTTGAGCGGCCTCAACAATTTACCTTACCATTCTCTCTCTCTCTCTATATATATATATATGTGTGTGTGTGTGTGTGTGTGTGTATAATATAAGTGGGAAAAAGGCAGCAAGATGCCATTTTTAGCATCAAGCACATGGGTTGAATATGTATGATCATTAGAGCAGTAAAAATGGCATTTTGTTGCTACTTCTCATCTTCTGGTTTGCCAAGTTGAAAAATTCGATATCATTTAGAAGGGTGTCATGCAAAACACCATCCGCAATCCCAGTTATGATTATATTGTATTTCATTAATCGTGGTTTTACTATTTTTAATTTTTTATATTTATCTTGTGATGAGTGTGATTTATCTGTCTAATGGTCAAAGATTATTTGGGTATGTATGACCATTAGAGCACTAAAAATGGTATTTTATTGGTAGTTCTCATCTTATGGTTTTCTAACTTGAAAAATTCGACATCGTTGAGAAGGGTGTCATGCAAAACACGATCCGTCATCCCAGTTATGGTTATATTGTATTTCATTAATCGTGGTTCTACTATTTTTTAATGTTTTGTATTTATCTTGTGACGAGCGATTTATTTGTCTAATGGTCAAAGCTTATTTGAGTCCCCAGGTACGTTTAAGTTGACGCTTCAGTTTACTGAGGAGTATCCAAATAAACCACCAACTGTACGCTTCGTTTCTAGAATGTTCCATCCCAATAGTAAGTAAAAATATCCTTCCTCCATTTTCCTGTATTGGATTGATTGCTCATTATGTTGCCTCGTTCTCTTTGTTCTCTTTGCTCCTGTGTATTTGTTGTAGGAATTTACTGATATTCGTCTGACAGTGTATTTCGATGGTTCTGTCCTGATAATCTGATGGTATGCTTCTTAATCGAGGCATGGGAACTGAAATCAATGTAAATGGACCAACATGTATTTATTATGAGTACTGTACTAACATTAGCTGTTGCATTTCGTGTGAAATGAGTTGGGAATGTTCCTGTCCTTTGTGCGATATTTTTTGGCTGGTTGGCTAACAATATTCGTTACTATTTAATCGTTCAGATTACAGACTGAATAATAGGGTGCTAAATATTATCATGTTCTACTTTCGTGAACATTGTAAAGTGCTCCTTGACATGATGGCATCTTTTTTTTAAATTTACAAAAGGCTGATTTTCTTTGGTCCCTGCCATGATGACTGGAATGGTTTAATTCTAACCTAATTCAATGAACTTAGATTTTTCGGGGTTGTCTGGGGTGGACGGTTTATTGGAGGAATGCAGGAGCTGGGCAAAACGATCATTTTGGATTACTTTTCATTTATTTTATCCATAGTACGGGCACTACCCAATTCTAAAATAATGATGAGGCTATGGGACCCTGAGCTCTGCAATCTGGACCCTTCATCTGTAGGGTATCAATGGCAGATCCCTCTTGTAATTCACTGATCTGAAAGTTTGAAGGCTTATCATACTGGATCCGATATATGATGCGACATGTAATATTGCTCAAAAGTTTTCCCTAGCATATCTTCAGTCAACTTGGAGATCCTTATCTTTAGCCCCTGGTTAGCAAAGTACTCATGTGAGATGTGGTGTAAGCATTTGAAACATCCTTGTCTTGGTGTATCTGCCGTCCTAGCCCTACTTCGTAACTTTTTGGGAAATTTGAATTTCCGGTGATTGCCCATTTTAGAAAAGTGTTTCAGATGCTCGGTTGCACTTAAGAAGGATAATGCCCTATTTCTCTCTGTAGTTTAAATTGTTTATTTTTTCTATGCTTCACCTGACTGAGTAATATTTCTCCTTTACTTTTTTATTTTTTCGAGTTGGGGGTTGGGTGGGCGTTCCTCTTTGCTTTTTAGGTTCCTGCACATGACATTGACTCTCTGTTTCTTCCTGTTGACACGAATTGGAATTGATGATGCTTGTAGAAATTGGTATAGGTTCGCATAGTGCCAGTACTTGCTAAAGTTTGACATGTGCACCTTTCATCGAACATGTGAGATTTTTCCAAGTCATTTTACTGAGAATCTTCAGTTCTTAGTCATACTGAGTCGTTGTTTGGTTCATCATGAAACTTTCACTTGGTACCTTAGCTTTCTACTGATCCTGTGCCGATTCACCTCTCTTCTGCCAATTCGTGCTGCAGTTCGCAATTTGCTGCCCTCTCCTTCGAGCACTTCAATATTGTATTCTTCGTTTCTAATGTTTCCCCTTATATTTTCTCTCCAGTTTATGCAGACGGAAGCATATGCTTGGATATCTTGCAAAACCAGTGGAGTCCAATTTATGATGTAGCTGCAATACTGACATCAATTCAGGTATATTTGAGGTTTTATGCTACTTAATGCATCTTTGATCCAAGTTTGGCTGTTGCTTTTGCTTCTTGCTCAAAACCCTACTCCTTCCTACTTCCCAGCTTGGTACCTGTGGTTGAGCAGTTACATCTCCCACAAAAATATGATTGCATGCTGTTCTTAATTAAAAAAAAACATTATTTTCTTCCTAGTGAGGCCTCAAATTGGTCGGTCTAATTTTATTTTATTTTTTAATGATTTCAAAGACCCAAACATAACTAGATTTCAGAATCAGAAAGAAATATACCATGCCATTGTAGTACCAAAAATAAGCCGAGCGCCAAGTTTGATTAGTTGGAAGGGCATCATTGTGTGGGATATCTACCACTGACTACTGTTGAGGAATCCTATCATGATTAGTCCAATGCTTCATTTCTGACAATAGTCCTCTGGGAATTCCCATAAACTGAGATTGTGCACAAGGAATATAATCAGAGAAGGAGAATATGCTGGCTCGTGGGATCTGTAGTAAAGATAAATAACAAACTTCTGGTGGTTGCATGCAAGCACGGTCGTCTAGCTTTCTACGAGTGATATCCAGCAGCCTGGTTATTTGGAGACTAAGTGTGTAAAGCTAAAATAAACCGTTTTTAATGGCAATGGAGAACAAGTTAAGCGTCTTAGGTCCTTGTCTTAGCAAAATTGTCTGTCACTCAGAAAATAGGGAAGAAATTGACAAGGAGCATATTGTCGAGATATGCCCGATTCTTTGTGTGGTTGGAGGTACAATTGGCAAAATTGTGTGGTGTGAATGGGATGGATATGGGAAAATATGAATGATAAATTTTTGTTGGTAAAAGTTGGAGAAGAATTGTAATGTCTCACAGTGAAGAACAATATTAAGGTGTGGATATTTTATAGATAGATATCTGGGTGCGTTGCCTATCATCACTTTGCGGTGTGGTCATTCAATTGATAGTATCAATCCGGTTCATCAATTTTGATGCGACATAGATCTAGTTTTCATCTCTAGTTCGAGATAAAGGGATGGATAAGGATGATGATGCCTCTATTTGTTGATGCCGCGAAGTATCTAAATATGTTGACATTTACTGAAAATAATAGTACTCTGATCTTTTAATCATTCAACTAATTCTCACTAACACGTTCCACGACTTACAAATTGTTTGGTTAATCACTTAAATTCCTATACTCATCTAACTTGAAGAACTGATGATCTACTATGGCTCTGTGGAATGAGTACTGAGCACGGTCAGGGATTCTTAATTGAAATAAAACGGCATCCAGGAGTTTGCTACCTTGACAGATTTTAACACTCTCATCTTGCTTGCTTCTTTCTGAATCTATAACCATTCTTCCTTCTTTCTCAGATCAAATTATCTGTTTCTAGCTGTTCTTCAGTCGATTGATCTCTAGACAACACTAGAACGGATCCCTTTTCAGCTTTTTGCCCAGACCTAGTTTCAGATCCCAATGAACTAGCATACTTGCATTCACCTTATCGGGAAAAAAAATTCGATATAAAAAAAACGAGCTCATGACCAAAATAAAATGGAATAAAATAAAATAAATCTACAATTTAGAGGCTGGCCAGCTGGAACGAGCAAGCATCAATCAAAATCATCCCTGGGATTTGCTAGCGTTAGTCGATCCTCTGGTTTTTCCCGACGTTTAATCAATTGTTCCTTTTGATGGGTCCCAAGATCTTCCCAAGATCATAATATGGGTACGGGCGATTAATTCTTTTCTGTTCTTCCTTACTCACATGGCCAGTCATTGCTCTGCGACCCAAACCCCAATTCTCCGGCGAACTCCGAGGCTGCTCGCATGTTCAGCGAGAACAAGCGGGAATACAACAGAAGAGTGCGAGAAATCGTTGAGCAGAGCTGGACAGCGGACTGACCCCCGCCCGCGGCCCCCTGCACGCAGTGCTGCTCGTCGTCGAGTTCCTGGAAGACCGCCCCCCTCCCCGCTTCTTCTCGTCTGACGTTGTATTCCCGCCGGAGAGACCTGGTGACTGTCATATCTCCTCCGCATGTTCTCCTGAAATCGTCTGGTGGTGCGTACGTTGACTCTCTCCGCTCAGATTACTTCTACTTGCTAGTCGTGGTTGGTTGTTGCTCCCTCCGGATTGTGCTGTTCTTCCTCTCGCTATCTTTGTGGGAGCAAGAATCTCTCAGACGCCGAGATGCTGCCTAATTTTTTCTAGCCGTCGGTTGACTTTTGTGTGGCCATAATCATATGTTTTCCGCTCGATTTACCACATGGGTTTCATTTATTTATCCGAAACTCCCGCGGGAAATATATTATCGTGGTTTTTTCTGTCTTTTCATAATAATATATCCCCGGATTCGACATTGGTCGTCAACTGGGTTCCTGTGAAAGAAGAACATCGAAGCCCTCACTGGTCGCCCAGCCGTCCTGGACTTGGACGGAGTACTGGAGATTCCAGAGGATGTCGTCGATCGACGGCCGGCGGCTGAGGTCATCGGAGACGCAGTTGAGGGCGAGCTCCACGGCGGTTCTCATGGAGTCATCGGCGAAGGTGCCGCGGATGGTGGGGTCCGCCAGCTCCTTCAGGCCTTGTGTTCCCTGTTCTTCGGCCAGGGCCTTCTCCAGCTGCAGATCGGTCGAGAAGGTCAACGCTTGCGTGGGGTGGTAGGGGGATCTTCCGTCCCAGAAGTCAACGTCCCGATTGCCTACCTGGACTTTCACGGTGGCTAATTCCTTCTTCTTGGTGGCGGGTTTACCCGTGACGATCTCCAGCAGGATTATCCCCAGTTGATAGATGTCCTCCTTCTCCCCTTCCTCCACGCTCTGAATCCTGTAGAAGCCGAACGTTACAGCCCCACAGCGAGAGCCAGCGAGAGAGAGAGAGAGAAAGAGAGAGAGGGAAGGGTAGTACTGGGCACAGCTGGAGTCGCCGAAGAGGCTCAGCGGGCTCTCCGAAGCTCCCTGGGGACGACGAGAATAGGGAAGAAAATTGAGCAGAGAGGTAGGTCAACGGTTGTTCTTCATGGGAGTCTGAACTGACTGACCTTGCCGTGGCTGGGGGTCTTGTTCGAGAGCGTGGGGAGATTGTAGTTGGTGATCTTGGCCGTGAGGGTCTCGTCCAGCAGGATGTTCTCCGTCTTCAGGTCGTTCCCGGAGATCCCGGGGACGGTGACCGTGTGCAGGAATCGGATCCCCCTCGCCACTTCGATCGCCGTCGCCACCCTCTGCGGCCACTTGAACACCTCTCGCTTCCGCCACTCTGCAACGGAGCAGCAGCGGCCGCAGCTCGTCGGAGGAGGAAGGAGGAGGACGAAGGGGAAGGAGAAGGTGGCGACGGGATGGGTTTTATTTACCAGTCAGGTGGCTCCTCAGGTTTCCGTTGGAGGGGCGCTCGAGGACGAGGAAGACGGAAGCAATTGAGCCCGCCATTTCCCCCCCGGAGCCGACGCAGTGGCCGAGTAGGCTGCACAGGTGAGGATGCCGCAGCCTGGAGATGACCTCGATGAACTGGAGGACCCTCTGCGGGGAGCTCCTCTGGTTTAGCTTCAGGCGCGCCACCACCACCGCCGAGCCGTCATGGATCCGCCCTGCGTATACCTGAGAGATTGCAGGCCGGCGGCGGCGGAGGAGGAGGATCTCTCTGGTTAATGTCGCGCAGGAGTAGGATAACGGAGAGCGGAGTTTGGAAGATGAACCTGGCGCAGGGAGGTCTCGAGGACCAGGTTGGATGCGTCGAAGTTATTGGTGGCGTCCTCGAGCTCCTCCATGGTGAAGGCCCGCGGAGGGAGCAGGCCCAGCGAGCCCATGCTCCCTCCGGGAAGCGGCGGCCGCCCTGCCGGCGAGAAGCAGCAGCCATGGTGAAAGGATGGATGAGGGGATGAGAGGGGGAGAGATGATGGAGGGGTTGCTCACTTTCGTCGGCGGCGAGTCTCGGAGACGCCCACACCGGCGTGGTCCCGCCGGCAGCGGGCTTCATCTCGCCGCCGCCGGCTCCGTCGATCCTCGTAGAGGTCGTCTTCCCGATGACAAGAACCAGAGCCAGAGCCATCCCCAGCACCGCGGCGCCACCAACGGCCCCTCCGATGATGGCGAGGACGAAGCCCACATTGTGGCTCGACCGCCGACCGTCCTTCCCGGCGGTAGCGGCTGCGACGGAGGGGAGCACGGCGGCGATGGCCCCGTCGGTGCACTCGGAGCTGGGGCGCTGGTACCTCGGGTCCCCCGAAGAGAGACAGTTCCCGGCGGCGAACACCGCCATGGCGGAGGAGTTGGAGCTGATGCACGCCGGCAGAATCCCGACCAGGCGGTTCCTAGAGAGGTCGACGAAGGAGAGGCCGCCAGCGCAGGACAGCGCCGCCGGGAGCTGCCCGGTGAGGAGATTGCCGGAGAGGTCCAGGCGGCGGAGAGAGGGAAGGGAGAAGACGAAGGCGGGGACGGTGCCGTTGAGCCGGTTGCCGGCGACAGAGAGGGAAGCGAGCGCGGCCATGGAGGAGATCTCCGGGGGGATCTTGCCGGAGATGTAGTTGGAGGTGAGAGTCAGCGACTGGAGGAAGCGGAAGCGGCTGAGCTTGGCCGGGAGCGGTCCCCAGAGGCCGAGGGAGGTGAGGGAGAGAATGGTGAGGCTTGGGAGCCTCGTCATGGCAGTGAAGAGAGAGTCGATGGAGAAGCTGCCGGAGAGGCGCTCGCCGGCGCCGGAGATGGAGAGCTCCGTCACGCGGTTGCCGGCGCAGGTGATCGACAGAGACGGCGAGCGGGGGAGGAAGCACAAGTCAGTGGAGTTCCCCCACCCGTTCAGCGCCGCCGGGTACTCGAGGATTCGCTGAAGACGGAAGAGGGTTGTGATCTGCGAGCGTGACAGTTGCTGAGCAAAGGAAATGGAAGAGGAGAAGAAGAGAAGCAGGACGAGGAAGAAGAGCCGCCACCACGACCACCGCGCCATCTTTCCCCACACTCCCCTCTTTCTCTTTCTATCCCTCTCTGTCTGTCTGAGACTCTCAGCAGGTCAGGAGAGAGAACTCCCCAGACGACGGTGAGCGGAGTTGCAGCCTGAGCTCAGAGAAAAGCATCGTCTGAGAAAGACGGCGAGGGAGGGAGAAATAGGAGGGAGGAACGTGTGGTGCGCTTAGAACAGATTTTTCACAGACACCCACGTGTCAATCACGTGCGCCTTGCCGTGCGAGGCCTTTTGGTATAATAAATGACGCTTATACCCTAACATTTTATCCTCCCTCGCAGCATCAGCGAACGGCCCACGGAGGTCACTAGTGCCATTTCCTTGTCCCACAGGTCCAGTCGAGCCAAGTGGAAATCTGACCCCCTTTGGTCAACGGTGACACGTTCGCCTAACTTCGGCATCGGTGCAAAACCAATTAATCTAATCCGCGACCGACGACCTGCATCGTGTGCAGCTCCACCCCGTCCATCGAGATCAGAACGGTGCAGTGGCGGGATCTGCCCCTCGGCCCCCCTCGAGAATCCCCACAATTACCCACACACCACAGAACGTCGGAAGTCGTCGACGTTGACTTTAACGCGGATCAAAAAATGCCCAGCTGGTGGTATTTGACCAAACCAAACCAAATTATTTAATCCTTCGGGGGGCAGCCCCCGAAAATATAACAATTAGATATATTTAAATCCAATCGAATCAGTAAATGCATCTGCTCCGCGGAAGATAGCCTCTGGGAATATCTTCTCCATATTGGGCCGGACGCGCACGAGGCCTGGCCCGCTCGTTAGCTTGTCTCATCTGCACAGCCCGACGCTGGCGAGAGAGAGAGAGAGAGAGAGAGAGAGAGGGGGAGGGTGGCGGGGGGGAGGAGACAGCCTGAGCTGCCGCATTGAACTCGGAGATTCGCAACAATACTGGTGAAGTCGCAGGGGAGTTAATGGGCGGCGGTGGGGCTTCTCTGGCAGACAAGATCCCTCATGCAGGCGTCTTCCTCCAATACACAGAGGAGATAACAGAAGGAATACCAGAAGAAATCGACGTGAGGGGTGGGTTCTCACGAACACGACGACTAATGACAGAGAAGGGGGTTCAGACACCAACCCCCTCCTCTCTCTTCCCAGATAAGTAAGTTACTGCACAGATAGACTGTAATTTTATATAAAAAAGGAAAATACCCGAAGCTGCTTACTTGAAAAGCTCAAGCCTTCAGACACCCTCCCCCTCCCTCCTCTCCTCACGTCTCTGACTGTCCTTCACGTGGTTTCCACTTCTGGGCCCGGATTCGCCTGCTCCGCGAGTTCATGATCCTGGCACAGTCACCGGGGATCGGCGCGTCAGAAGATATTCGAGAGTTCCAAGTGAAGAGATCTATCTCACCACGTTCTCCTTATCCTCAAGGGGGGTTTCCTTCGGGGGTGGAGTGCAGGCTGAATCAAGATATGAAAAAGAAAGGGATTAGTTTCTAGTGGAGCTATTTGATCAGAAATTATAAGGAGAATCCCCCAGTGTTCCTGACTGATCCACTCGGATCTTCACCAACCGTATAAATATATATATAGCAGATTGCGATAATCTGAAGAGGAGAAATTTTCTGATCTGAACAGCCGTTACCAATTTCAGGTGCAGGTTTCTTCAGTGTGGGCGTCTTGAGCTCCGGTTTCTCAATGTCAGAGGAGGCATTCTTTTGCTGTTTCTGAGGCTTCGGAGCTTTACGATTGGAGGCATCAGTGACGGGTCGGGTCCTGTTGTAGGGTGGCCTACTCTTGGCAGCTGTGGATCCATTTCGAGAGCTGTCCTTGGTTGTCGCTGCAACGCCAAGAATGGCGGATTTTACAGGCTTGGGTTGCGGATTGCCTGATCTTGAAGAACAGCTGCTGACTTCATCTGAACATTTCGTCTCTTCTTCATCTGATCTTGCCGGTTGCTGAGAGCAAGACTGGGCAGCTTGCGAAAATTCCTCCACCTCTTCTAAAATGCTGTAGCTTTTCAGAACTTCTCTCGCGGGTTCCCCCAGTTCTAAGATCTTGTGACGGTTAGCATAGGATTTCAGCTCCTCGCGTACACGCTGTAGAGGCTGAAGGTTTGATTCGATGGAAAGTCAATGAACTACTTGAAAGCCACAAGAAATAAGAAAACAATCTATACGCTGCTGCGGCAAGATTATCTTCTCGATGATCACTCCTACGAATATTAAACTCTATTATAGTTTAGACAGAAAACTATATATATATATGGTCTTTACAGAAGGGAGATTCCTCGAAACCGATGATGTATACAATAGTTAAGCGAGAGATGGACAGGGTTCCAGAATATACCTCGCATCCGGATTCTAAAGCAAGCTTGAAGAAACCGAGAGAGACAGAGTGCTTAGCAGCCGACTCGGACAGCTTAATCTGGGACAACCAATAAGATACTGAGGATAGCACACTAAATTTCTTCCTGCTGACAGACTTTGACGCATCAGACGCGGGAGTATCGCTGTTCCCTTGATGATCCTGTTTGTTGACATGATACTTGGAAATTGGAGTTACGCTTCCGATCGTTGCGGGGCGTGAACTGGACGACGAAGACTTGGAAGGAATTGAAAGCCTCCGAGGGGGTTTCGGAGTTTTTCCCTTTTCAGAGAGTTGAAGCACGCTGATGCTCTTGCTTACACTCGGCGAAGTTCCTCTACAAATGGAACACGAGAGAGGCATATATTAAACGTCTTACTTTCACTTATCTTAAACATTCAAAAGTTTGTAAAACATCCATTGTTTCAGATCATCTTCCAGTTTTGATCATCGGAATTTCGAGCAGACATTAGCAGAAGAAGGTAATTGGAGGCGACGAGCTGATCACACGGTCATTGGAGGCGATGATATAGAGTCTAAAGTAACAACTGAGGGGCATACTCTGAAATGGAAAAAGTGATCAACATGTCTAGCGTTACCCTCATAAGGAAGATCTACCTTCTACAAATATGATTCAATAACTAAACAGGAAAACTGGAGGGGCCCCTTTATCATAAGAAGCATCGCCCTTCAGAGTAACATTAACCACGCCGAGAGCAAACCGGAAAAAACACGTAATCAATCAACGAAGGAGACTAAAAACCGGTCAGGTACATTATCAAGGGAACGTTATCATACTTTCTTAAGGAAGAACCCGATGCGACAACCCCCGCCACCTTCCCATCCCGCGGTTTGCTAGCCGACCTCAGCGGGTACCTCAGCTTCGATGCTACACACGAGATCACGGAGAAAAGAAATAAGTAGCTCGGGGAAAACCGGATCAGCATGGAAGAAACAATAAAATCGAATTTAGAAAAAAAAAAGAGAACGAAAACAAGACACTTCAGATCACCTGGAGGCTGATCCTTGGCCGAATCCATCACTCCTGATTCTTCCAAGCAAGGACGTCCAAGATGGAAGAACTGCCGCCTCGAGGAATTAGCAGTTACTGCTGACAACCTGATGTCAACAAATCTCCGGGGGCATATGTATACAGAGAAGAGAGAGAAGGCAAGAGAGGGGGGGCCCACCACGTTCAAATTTCATCGTGCGGGCGGGAAAACCCGATAATAATAGCAAGCATAATAGTTTTTTTATTTTAAAAAATAGAGAAAATAACCCACTCCGAAGCGACGCCACGAGATCTTCCGTCGCTGGACACGTACCCCCGTCCCATCACTCGGCCGACTGAGTCCGCGCACGCATGAAAGGGTGAAATTGTAAATTCGTTTTTATAATATTATTATGCAAAGAGAATAAATCGAGTGCATCGTTCGTTCGTAGCTGACGGCTGAGATTGAGCCACGTCTTAAGTAAAGCGTTAATGGGATCACTTATCGTGGCCTTTTCGTAAGTAAAGCGTTGACTATGGGTCCATATGAAATTGGTTAACAATTATCCGCTATTTTCGGGTCGCATTCACGGGGGCATATACTTTCACTCCCAGAACTACACAATGTAGACGGACATGGTCTGTCTCTCTCCTGCATATTGGGTGTGAGATTAGGAGATCCGTGAGCAACAAAGGGTGGCTATATCGCGTGTGTTCGCCCGTGCTTCCCTCTCATCTGCTTTCCATTGCACTGCTATTAGTAGAGTATTCTAGCTACACTTCAGCTCTCTCTTATCAGTAGCTTCTTCTCGTTTGCTGCGCAGGTCTAGCATCAAGGACTCCGGATCTTTGAACGTACGCGTTCCCGCTCTTCCTCTCGTCCTCTTCCCATTCTCGCTCATTTGACGAACGATTTTTGTTGTTTCTTTGGATTTGACGGTGAGTGGTTGGTTAGGGTTTCGAAAACGGGAGATTTCCGGCATGATCTGGCTCTGGATATGTCTCTCTCTCTCTCTCTCTCACTATTTGAATGCTGTTTTCGAGCAGAATGAGTCGAATTCTGCATGTGTGGCTGAGAGGATCTGAGTACGCAATGCAAGTGGTCAAACTGGTTTTAACGCCCTCTGTCATTTTCGATGATTTCGGGAAATTATTTTGGTAATTTTTTCGTTAGATTGCTGGAGCATTTTTATATGGAGGTCAATTACATGAACCGACTGCCTGGCAGTGTTCGTACGGTTTTTTCATTGCCGTATTGCCGCATGGGTCTCTCTCGAAATTTTCGAGCCAATGTCGTGGCCGTTCGCGGCAATTTCTGGATCGTGGCACTTCCTGACGGAGTACACTTTTCACGTCGTCTAGTTGGCCAACTTCTTACAGAATCATTTCTCGGGATTTCGTTATTTTGAGTATTGAATTTGGTTGGAACTTTGTTCATGTCTCAAGAGTAGCTGATTTCGGACGACTCTGCCAATTCATGCAGATTTGGAAGTTGTAATAGCTAGAAGCGCCTTATTCTAGCAGTGAACGATGAAAAGATCTCCAGGAAAATGGATCAAAACGCTGTTATTTGGGAAGAAATCCTTCAAATCTCGTTCATCCAAAGGAAGAGCTGCAGTAAGATTAAGACCGTTTTGTCAATGGTTTTATGTGTCTATGAAGTAATTAAAGCTACGTCTCAGTCAATCGTGGACGTTATGTAATCAATTTTGTTTCGTTATATAGATGTATTTTCCTGCATGGTTTTTACATCACCTAGGTATCCTACCCGCGATTTCCCTGGCTAGATTTTGATCTACTTGTTCTCTCATTGTTGCTAGGGTTCTCTGGAAGTCTGTCACAATTTTCTGTAACATTTTTTGTTTATTATTGTTGTTATTAGTATTATTGGTTTTAGTCGAATATACCCTTCCTTTTAGCGTGGGTTAATTATTACTGGGTACCTGGGTAAGCATGATGGCAACAAAATTCTGTGTTTGGTCCACTGATATCTGAGAACATGATAATAATCTTATATGACCAAATATAATTATTTTTTACTTAAAACGTTATACTAGGAGTAGGTGACAATTTTACTTGGCATGAGTATTTTTTTCTATTTTTTTTCGCGGGTACGGATCATGGAAAATGAGTCATTATGTTTTGATTACAACAAGCCTCATGAGCAAAATAAAACGCCAATCCGAAGATAAAACTATAGGTCAAGGTGAAACTAATATAAATACCTACCCTGCAGATTAACCTGTTGGCTGGCATCACGATTTAGATTCTATATATTGATATCAGCTGGTTCTGCTTGTGGTGTCCCTTGTACTTCCTATTTCTTTTTTAAATGTACATTCTTAAGTTTTCACGGAATCACCAAAGAATCACATGAATGTAAAAGAAAAAGAACCTGACGTTTCAATATGGAAACCCCCAATAACAGTTCCGCTAGGTAAATATTTTTGTCATGCTGTACAAATATGCTTTACATATAAATTTCTAACTGTTGCTCTTCACACGCGTAAAAAATCATTGGATGTGTACATGGCTGTATTTGTCACGCGCTTCTGCTAATGCCAATTAATTTTTGAACGATCTAGTCCTGCTTTACGTTATAGATTTGGACATGGAAGTTCAAACTGACACTCCGAATCCTTTCTGAACAAGGCTGAAAATGCTAAGGATCTGTATGGTGCTGAAGAAAGTCCTGCTTTGTCTGTCGGTTCACCAGTGATTTCGGAGCCAATTTCTGTCAATACTGATCGTATTGTAACGAAGGCACAGTTAGAGAACGGGGCACAATCTGATGTGCCTTCTGGTGGAGATGACTCATTTCCTGAACGCAAAGATCCTGAACGAGGAACCACAGTGCTCAAAGAGTCTAAATATCCCCAGAGATCTAGAGAAGCACAAGCTGCAACAAAAGCACAGTCAGCTTTCAGGGGTTATTTGGTAAAATCTTATGAAATAAATATTTGAAATATCAGTATGTAATGCATCAATTATGGACTTTTGTCTTGTATCTTTGACTTGCTTTTATTTTATCCTTCTTATTTTCGTTACTCCTGCATTAAAAATAAATATCATCGTTTTTTTCATTATCCTGCCTTTTTTTTTTTCTTAGTTCCACACTCTTTGATCTTACTGTCTTTAAAGGTGCAAGTTATTCCCTTGTCTATCATATTTTCTATGTCAATAGGCGGACCCTATAAACAGGATGGGGTATGATATTTTTTATGTGGTTTCTGTTGGCAAGGACTGTGTTCTTTGTTTCAAGGAAAGGATAGGAAACCTCTTTTCTGGAAGGGAAGGCATACTGTGAAATTCAGTGCCCTTTGGCCGTCTGTCGTTTCCACAAATTTTTGGTTATAATAATATTTATTTAAAGAAATGTCTATCAATACAAGTGTTCTGCTTTTTAAAACATTATTCCAAAACATACTAAAGGTCAGCGTATTCTGCTATTATTTATTGCCGTGGGTACCATTTTTAAACTTGACTTCAATTTTTGTCAAGGTTGCCTTGGTGGGTTTGACTGATGGGTCACACTGTAAGGTTGAATACACTTTCCTCATTCATGGGGACATTGGATCGACCCTTTTGAAATGCAGATGACTACCGGGCTATTTACATATCTATTAAAAGTGTAATATGTTGTTATTGATAGTTAACTGCTCAGGAAATGGAAGCAATTCATTTCTTTGAAAACCTTGTTTTAGGTAACTTTCTTCTTATGCTAATTTGTGCATTGTTTTTTCACTCGGAGAACATGGTTGATGCAGCCGCTGCTTGCTTACTCTCTGTCTCTTTCTCTGTTTTTTTTTTTTTTTTTTTTTTTTTTTGCAGGCACGCAGAGCTTTCCGTGCATTAAAGGGCATCATCAGGCTTCAAGCTGTTGTTCGTGGACACTTGGTGAGAAGACAAGCTGTTGCAACTCTGAAGTGTACGTGGGGAATTGTAAGATTTCAGACACTTGTCCGTGGAAAGAGAGCCAGGCAGGTTGTGGAGTTTCAGGTGAAAAAGGAAACTCTGTCAATTTTATTGGTCATCATCAGCCTATTTTTTTAATAATTTATTTTCATATCTGAAGCTTTATATCTGGGTGCATTCTCAGTTGGGGTACCTCAATTTATCCATTAAGACGACTGTTCTTTAGTCTCCTCGTTGACTCCTTACTACCCTGGTGATGCGTCCGAATCCGCCTTCCACGTGGCCCATAGTTTTATCTTCCTGTTCTTATGGTCAAAATTACTGCCCTGTTTCTCCTCATTTCATGAGTGCTAGCTAGACCCGTCACTCGGCATTCTTCTACTCTCATGTTCGTCGATTTCTCTTGCTTTCTGACAACAGGTTGTGAAACAGATGGGATCTTTCGGAAGAATTCGGTCTTCTCTGAAGGGCAAGGATTCGGTCAACGCAGTCATCCGCAAGGTAAGCTGTGAAAACCAAAGCTTCAAAGCTGCTTCTCTACAGTCATTGCACTTCCTTTCAAAAGTGTGCTTATCTATGCCGTCGTTTCCCCTCCCCCCAACTAGCTTCTCTCTTTTCCAACTGCTACTAAGCCTATCAAGATCCAATATCCTGGGGAAGACTCCAATTCAGCATGGAGCTGGCTCGAACGGTGGACTTTTTCCAAGTTCTGGAAGTCTCCTGCCCTGCAAGACGCGATTGCTGCTCCAAAGGCGAAGGAAGCCGCGTCCGGTAGACCAAAGCGCAGCGTGCGGAGGAACTTTGGTGCAAGCACCCAGACAGGATCGAATGGTTCTGTGGCTGCAGATTCTGAAAGGCCAAGACGAAGTGTCAAGAAAGCAGCTTCTTCCGGTCCACAATCAGAGCTCGAGAAAGTCAAACTTAGTCTGAGGAAGGTATCTGGTGCTTGTGATTCGGGTGAAGCTGAAAATGGGGCGCTGAAGCATGATCTTGGTCAGGACGCCAAGAACGATGCTGGGACTGCTACAGATATCACCAAGCTCACTGTGCAGGAATCCAGAAATGGCAATGGCAATGGGGGAAACGCGGAGGAAGATGCCAAGCAGTTCCCAGATCAAGAAGAGGTGAAGGGTGGGCCGGTGGGTGAAGTGATCGAGGGACAAGAGGAAGGGGTGAACGCAGAGAATGGGGATTTGACCTCTGAGGAGAAGGCATCTGTTGAGGACAAGAGAGGGAGCAAAAGGAGGGCTTCTTTCCCTGCGAGACCAGAGCATGCGGACAACGGCCCGCAGAGAGCTCCGGTGTTGCCTAGTTATATGGCGGCTACGCAATCCGCCAAGGCGAAGTTTTGTGGGCAGGACTCACCGAGGCTGGGGTCAGATGGGGTTGACAAGGCTGCGTTCACGCGCAGGCATTCTCTGCCTTTTGGGAGACCGGCTTCTTTGTCTCCGAGGACTCAGAGACCGGTTCAAGTCAGCTGCAAGGCGGGAGTCAGAGGTGAGAGATCCTTGTATTTTCTTTTATTCCTAGTGCCGCATTTAACCTCTCAAGCGTCATCTCATCTCCCATGGGTTTCATCCTCTCTCCTGGGCAACCCCATCCTCTCTCTCTCTCTCTCTCTCTGATGCCTTTATAGAGATTTTCAAATTGGCTCCACTAGATCGTTTTTGGGTTTGTCTTAGGAAAGACAGATGAACCTTGTCCAGTGCCTAGTTCTCTCTCCTCTCTCTCTCTCTCTCTCTCTCTCTCTCTCTCTCCGTCTCTCTCTTTCTCTCTGTTCTCAGTTTCCATGTTTCGTTTTTCGTACATACAGAGAAGCCCATCCCTGTTGCGTGGAGGCGGTGATCCGGTGGGAGCAGTTACGCTGGTCTTGTTCGAGTCTCCTTCAGGCTTCTTCCGAGTCTCTGGTGCCCTCTCTCTCTACGCTGACTCTTTAATGCTAACCAGGGGACGGTGAGTGATGCTGTGGTATGCGGATTTGGTCAACGGCTTGCTTATTTTCCCTTGTTCCAACTAGGCTCATTTTCCTTTTTTGGTTTGTATATATCGGCTTCTGAGGTCGGTTTGACCAATGCCTTGGAGACCTGTCTAACGTTTCCCCTTCTCCATGCGAAATCTGACTTGTTCTTGCCGGTTTCCAACCGCCTAACAGAACCCAGCTGCGCCGCCAGAATATAAAGACATTAACCCGTAGTTTCTTAGTGGGCTTCTCCTCTTCCTAGCCCATTGGGCTCGGTCCATATCATTTCCAATGGTTCCCAAGGCCCAGACTTCTCTCTGCTCCGCGGCGGAGGAAAAAACCTTACATTCCTCCGCCGCCGCTTTCCTCCGGACTCATCTGCCAATCAACCAATGGAATATACATTAATTAAACGAACACATCCCGTGGCAGAGCACCTGTTCCAATCGGTTCTTCGGACTCTAGCGAGAGAGAGAGAGAGAGAGAGATGTTAAACGTTGATGTCCGCCCGCTTCGTTCTGGCGGCGCCGCCGGCTTCCGGCGGCCTAGGCCCGGCGTACCTGTGGAAGCCGTAGCCCTCGGCGGGGGTGGAGACCGGCTGCTGGGGGTACAACGTCGTGGGCGGCGTCAGGTTGCGCTGCGCCGGCAGCGGGGCGAGCCCGTTGTATCTGTACGCCTCCTCCTTCGTCCTGCCAGAGGAAAGTCAACATCGAGAGCTTCAGACACCCTAGCTTCAAGGTAGTCAACGGCGAGGGGTAGCTGCAAGGTCAACCCTCTCAACGGGCGTGCTTCCCATGATATGTACGTACGTACCTCGTGATTTTATTGAGGGATTGGTCGTCGTCGCTGGAGATCTCACTCGAGCGGAAGACGGAGCTGGTGACCGGGCTCAACGACCAGGGACTCGGCCCGGACAGCTCGTCCGGAAAGTATCTTCTCCTGATCAACTGGAACGATACACACATCAATAAAAAGGTCAACTTTTGACGGGTCAACGGAGGATCAGGCGAGGGGCCAGCGTACCAAGCGGAAGAACTTCACAATGGCCTCCTTGTCGAACCTCGCTTCCTTGGCTGCCTACACACACCCACATCAAGAACATACGCCATTAATAGAAATCCTTGGCCGGGCCGGGTGGAAGGACCGATGAGCAGCAGAGAAGAAGAAGACGAAGAAGAAGAAGAAGAAGAAGAAGAAGAAGAAGAAGAAGAAGGGTGGAGGGGGGAGGTTTCTTACTGAGAGAATGGCTCCGCCGCCGGGGAAAGAGTCCGTGAGGGGAATTTCTTCGCTGGGAGGGAGGAGTCCCTGCCTTTCGACCCACAAGCGGGCGGCGTCGACGAGGTTGCCGCTGCTCCCCCTGGCGCCTTCGGTGTTCGCAATGTCGACCTTGTTGCTGAGGACGAGGAAAGGAACAGGGAGCCCGCCGGGGCCTCCCGATTCGAGCGGGGCGGAGAAGGTGCCCGCCTCTGCAATTTCAACCGCCCACTTGTGTAGGCTTGCTTTCGTCCTCCTCTGAGAAAGATCATGGACAAATATAACACCTGGACGGGAGTGCCAGGAGAAGGAGAATAGTTTCCTCTCAGACCAATTCGTTGACAAAATCCATGTCTCGTGAGTGAGTGTATGATGATATAAAAACTAAAATAACTGGGTTCAATCATAACAAAATGGACCTCCCAACACCAATAAACTAATAAAATAATAACAATATAAAAAAACCCATCGATGGCTTTTTTCAAGTCAACCATCTTCTTCTTCTTCCTTATGATCTAGAAGATGTTTCGAATCAGGAACTTGCTAAGATTGTAGAACAAAAAAAGTGATAACTAGTCTGAAAATCTGGCAGAATTTAAAGATCCAGTTAAAATAGCCCAACGGGAACAACAGCACACAAATTAACTCACGAAATTCCCCTGTTAGATATCCAACTGATGATGCGCCGGAAAAGTGATTTAAATATATGGGTGATATCGTATTCATTGTTATGAGATTCTTTGTAGTGAGCGTGCATGAAACCCTAGAAAAAAATAATGCAACCCCATTTGTTAGGGATCAATGACGAGAAAATAATTATAGAATTAAGGAGGAGATGAACATGACAGTCTTCTGAATGGCGCAGAAACATGCGACCGACAGCAAAGTTTAAAAACAGCTGATAGTAGTATTCAAATGAGGCATTCGATGGGGATGAAGTTGTTGAAAGATAAACGGAAATGGTGAGAGGGCATATGCTATGGGCGTCGAGGGGGGGAGGTCATCCTTCACCATTGATCTGCGCATAGAAGATGGATCTGCATTTCTTGTATCGCTCGTGTCCAGACACATCCCAGAGTTCCACGAAGAAGTCCCTCTCTGAATCGCTTTTTATGCTGTTGGAAGAGCTGCTAGATCTTCCATAAGAAATATGCTGATTAATAGAGAAAATCGAGCTTCAATACGATTCCAAAATCATGAAACGTCTCAGAACTTTAGATAGAGAAACAGGATGATTACTTTGACACTGACTGCGCAGCCAACTGTTTGAGGCGGGTGAGCAATAGCAGAACCTTTAACGATTAAATGAACGAGGGATGTCTTCCCAACACCTGGAATCAGATTAACACGATGATAGATTTAAGTTAGAAACATGAATCACATAAATGGAATTAAAAGGAATGGAGCAAACAGAAGAAGCAAATTACTCGATCATCATGAAGGCAGATCAAGGAACTTTAAATAGGGTTCAAGAAGTTCATCAATGTCTCAATTATAGTTTTTTTAACATGAAATAGTCAGCAATATTCACTCGGCTATATCAGTGAGGGAAGATAATATACAAGAGATCAGAAATAAGCAAAACACGGAACGGATAAGAACATGTATTAAAGCACCTGATAAACTTCTTGACATCCTTCCCAAAAATGAAACTGTTCTTGAAATCAGAAGAAATGAGACGGAATTACGTTTACAGAGACTCTTACCGTCGACTGAATGAACGTTTTATAAGCTAAGTAGTGAGAGCCCATCCTTCATTAGTATAACCAAATTCCAGTGTATTGGCGGACATAGGCTGAACAAATAGGTAATGTATATAAATTTAGGAAAGTACTAGGCATATTCATAATGCCCAAGAAATAGCAATATCATAACGCTTATGATTTACGTGTAGAAAAAAAACATAACTACCAAACAAGTCTCTCCAATCCCCTAACTAAATTTGTGGCCGTCTCAATAAACCAGCTGACTAAAACATCCTCTACGTCAAGATTGTAACTAACTTTATAGCTTTCCATGATTACATTGCTCGTGGATTTACTTAAAGTAGAGACGCCTCATCACAGTCTACACTAAAACCCAATCTTATAATGCATACCATAATCGCCAGTAATTGAAACATTGATATCATTATCCTCAGATCCTGTCTCTAAAAGGTTTTGGACAGAAACACAGTAGCATCTGATGCTAATGACAAAATATCGGGCCAATCTGAGTCTTGAATGGCCAATGCCTCAGCCAAGCTGAGAACCACAACAGCAGTAGCCAGATTTTCACTCTGCAACGAAACGAATCCCCCCTCCAAGTCGAAGAACACTTACTTTTTCACGTGCACGATCCCCAAACTTCACCCTCTTGGCAGTTTTTTTTCCAAACTAGTCAAGAGCATTCAATCACATTTATCTTGATCCAAACCCCAACTCAAGGCTTCCCTCGAATGGTGACATTTAGTTTTTGATAGCAGCAGAGATTTGGTAACCGCCTCATTACTATTAGCTTTAAAATTATAAGAGAATGACATACTGTCTCAAACTCAAACGTTTTGGCATTATATTCCAAACTCAAACTAAAAGATGTGCGGCCATCTTCAATCCAAATGCCGCTGATAATCCGTTAACCCTCAGTTATAAACGGTCAGTGCCGATGTGGCTACCTTACCATTATCCAATGCAACGCAATGCTCCGGTCATGAACACATTGGCATCACGCCACACTCCCAATAGTATCGTAGACAGGAGAGAGGGAAAACATGATTGAAAACTAAAAAAAGGCGGGTATTTTAAGCAAGATCTCCATGTTAAACAGTCATAAATAAGTTTGACGAGGTATGAACAATGAAAGTACCCGCATCACCGACGACGAGGACGCGAACCTGCCCGCAAGGGAGCCCGCCGTTTTGATCCGGGGCATCCTTCTCTCTTTGCCTCCAGAACATATCTTCCGGAAATGTACCCTCCCCTCAAAGAGCAAAAAACGAAATCGAACAAACAGCCCGAACGGGAGAAAAGCCAGCGAACATCACGCGGATCAGATGAACACCGCCGCAGGTTAGCCAGACGAGGAGACGAGACTCGTCGGATTCCGCGTCAATACTGGCCAGAGAGGCCGTCGGGAAGATCTGAAAAGGAGAATGGGAGGATGCATCATTCAGATTCCTACCAGAAGAAGATCTGAAAAAGAATTCCCGAACCAGCGTACTCCTCTGCAGCGTCGAATTACCTGGCGACAACTCCGTACCGAGCGACCGAGCGAGAGAGAGAGAGAGCTCACAACCTCTCAGTCTGAGATCCAACGGGCCCTGCCAGCCCCCAGGAAGCCGAAGGAACAGACTTGCGAACAGAAGGAAGAATCTTCTTCTCGCCTTCCGTCCTCACGAACTCTGGTCCCGTTTTATACGATGTAGCTCATGTGCCCTCCTCCAGGCGCGCCTGCGGAAGAGCCAGGCTCGGGAAATGGTGGAAGAACCGGGATGGGGAACCACTGTGGTCGTCTACACCCGCGTATAAACATAAACTTATCCTGCCCCGACCGCACACGGAATCATTATCTCATAGACGATAAAAATAATTTCCGATAAAATGATATATATATTTTTAAAATTCCGTTATTGCAAAGACTTAAATATTTTTTTGCACAATTTTTATACTATCGTTACCACTTCAAGATTTTCTTCCTCTGTCTCATTGACCAATCTCACCAACGGCGCGGGGAGGGAGCACGTTAGCTAATGCAGTTCCGACGATGCACAGCTGCGGAGAGTCTGCGTAGGACGGAGTAGAAGAGAAGGGGAGGGGGGTGACCTGGCGGACCGCCACCGACACAGAGAGAGAGAGAGACGTGTCCAGGGAGAAGGGGGCCCACCTCCGCCACTGGACATCTCTGCTGCCCAGGTAGACCACCCTGTAAAGAGGTCAACGAAGCTCAAGGCCGACCAATGGGGGGGGGTTCATTGGAAGGGAATTGGGGGGCCCTGGTTCTTGTTGACGATGGCCATGGCCAGGTAACGAGTTCCCATGCCGATGGGTGCCAGTTCCTGGGGGCCGTCCCAGAAGGGGGCCTCCCCATCGCCGACCAGCCGCCAGTAGCCGGCCCTCAGGGCCTCAGCTTGCTGCTCAGTGCAGCTCTGCAGCAGGGCCTCCGCTCGGAAGTTTATGCCCAGAGAGCCCAAGAACTCGGACTGCGTGATCGGCCCGTGAACCGACACATTCTCTGCAGGCAGGTTGACATCTCTCCCGTCAGCTGGGTAGAGAGAGAGAGAGAGAGAGAGAGAGAGAGAGAGAGAGAGAGAGTACCGGAGGCTTCTTCGGCAGAGCATCGGACCATGGCGAAATCCACGTAAGCGCTTAGATCGGCTGACCCGGGATCATCTAGAACGCTGACGAATTTGTGCCGCCTGATGGCCTGCAGAGGGATCAAGAGGAGGATGTGATTCGTTTGGTGTTCTATGAGCATTATCAGGCATCTTCTAGGGAGAAATGATGGGACCTGCAGACTGTCTGAAACAATTCCATTTTGACCGTAGTCTATGATGAGGGCCCCGCCACCGTCAGAGCCCACCCTCTTTGAGATCGCCTCGGTCAACTCCATTCCCTGGGGGCAGACCTCAATGTGCTCCAGCTGGGTAAACTCCTCAGCGCCGGCCCACTTGAGACGCCTCATCAGGTAGAGGAGCGTGGCGGGAGTGGGCTGAGGAGAGAGAACGAAGCGGAACCTGCAACAGAGAGACAGAGAGAGAGAGAGCCCGTTGACTAGGAAGTACTCTGAGCGTTCAAGATCTGATCAATGGGGCTTATGAATCCTCACGTTGAATCTTCGGTAACATCAACCATCTTCTCACACCATCCACGAGAGGCTCTCTGCAAAGTTCATACTATAATATCCGGCATCTGGAGATTAATTTATTTAAATAATCATCTGGACAAGATAAAAGATTGGAAAAATTAAGATAGACGACTCAGAGTGAGTTTGACTGAGAAACCTGAAACTGATGAACTGGGAGGGCATCATAAAACTCATGAGCAATCACAATGGTTGGCACTGAGGGGAAACGGAATAGAAGAACCATGTCAGAGAGAGAAAGACTAAGCTGAAACACCAAAATATGAATAGAATTAACTCAAGGCATCACTCAATTCATCGCATAGAAATATGTAGTCATGAAATAAGACCGAACCCAGCTGAAAGGTGGGAAGTTGCTCTATCAATCTTGCATTATCAAAGCTCGAGAGAGCTCTTATAATTACTGTACATCTACACAGAGCCTGCGTGTTCCTGAACCAGACGTTCAATATGATTTCTATGTCCATCCATCAGCATGAAGACACTTGCATCACTTACATCATCTTATACCAGATCAGCTGAAAAAATAGCATATCCAGGAAATCCAATTGAGGAGATTTTTACGGTGAAGGCATATTTCAGTATTCTCCATATCTCCAGGTCGTTCATCTCAACTGTCTCAAAAAAACTAGTTGTGATTGCGAATTTCACATAGGTAAACCAGACAAGATGGAGATAGTTAAAGAGAGAAAGGAGAGAGAGAGAGAGAAAGAGAGAGAGAGAGAAAGAGAGAGAGAGAGAAGATGAATATGTGGTCTTCGATGTAAAACCAATCTCTCAGAACTCTCACGAATTCCAGATCATTCTTAATGAATGCCACAAAGAAAACAGAGATAACTCAATTCACATGCAGAAATAACTTTATGCTTTGTATTACGTGCCTCACCCTGTCATCTAGAGCTCTACGTCTGGTATGATTGGCCCTCAAAACAAACTAGTGTTTTCAACAAGCTTTTTTCAAGCGGTTCTCATAGTTATTGTCTCCTCAAGGAATGCCTTGTTTTTAATGAGGCCTGACTCGCTAAATAGTGGATTTCAATCCAGCTCATTTTTCCCCATATTAGGTCCTAACATGAAAAAAAATCATTCAATTTGATGAAGAAAAATGCAGATTAAATATCATGCATAAAGTATGCAGCATAATGACAAGTATGGAAATGATGGATCCAAGTCTAAGCATCAGAGACGAATGCCATTGACTCAACAAGACGAAATCCAAGGTTCTGATTCTATACACTAAGATTCCACTTATAAAGCTTTCATCTGATACGAAAATCCACTCAAATACGCAGGTGTGGTAGTCATAATTCTAACTGGAAATTACGGATGAGGCAATAGAAAACAAGATGTCACTACCATGAACCGGCAAAAGAATGATGCTAAGAAAACACGGGTACATACCGCCTGACGGAACCTGATCAAATGCACTGTGCCATGTGATGGGAGCCTCGATCAGTGAGCTGATTGCACTCTTAGTGCTGCTGCCAGTGGTGTTGCCTTCATCCAGACACTTCAAGGCTTCAGATTGAAGCTTCTGTAATGTGGGACTACACTCTACTAGGTGTATCCTCAAAGACTTGGTAAACGCTTCGAACTTTGACGCGCCCTGCAACAGAAGGATCCACTTACATCAGGGCTACTTGACGACTACACTGAGAAAGGGGATTAGAAACGAATTAATAAAACTAAGACCATCAATCTTTTTTTAAAAGTTTTCTGATAAAAAAATCTGCAGAGAAATGTGTCCAAACGAAAAAGAAATGAAGAAATGGATGTACTCGGAGAAGATCAGCCATCAGAGTTCCTCGCCCTGGACCAAGCTCAATTAGGTTAACCTCCTCTGGTTGTCCCATCTGCTCCCAGAGACACATTGCCCAGACACCAACCATCTAAGAAAGTTCACGAGTAAGCATATCAATATCTGTCACTATGAGTTCAAATAACAATGCGGAAACAATTTTTTTTATAAATAATGTGATTCTCAAACGTAACCATGCCACCTAAAGACCAAAAGACAGACATGGGAATTTCCAATCTGATTATAACACAATTTACAGGTTCATAAATCTTGTATTTTGAACCCTTCTGAATAAAAGGCCAAGAATCCATCCATCACATGATAAAAGCTGCAACTTGTTTGACGAAAGAAGTGGTATCAGCCAGCTTTTTCAGGAAAACATATTCTCAGACTACAGGAGCATGAGAGGCAGCATCACTCGACATTTTATTACCTCTCCAAACATCTGGCTAACTTCCGGTGAAGTAATAAAATCACCCTCAGCTCCAAAGACGTCTCGGTTGATGTAAAACCCTGATTTAGGATTCGTGAGAACTTCCGCCATGTACTCTGCAACTGAAATGGGACCCCCGCGAAACTGATAAACAAAGTTAAAGGAATTTCGAATATCAATTATTAAAGAATTTAACCACAAGAGCCGCATCAAGAAGCACTGTTAAAAAAAATCGCATTATGACTGAAAAAACGAAGAAAATGAGAGAGCGAAAAGGGAGCTACCCGACCTTGATTATACTCTTGAGATGCTTGACGAGCTCCGAATCAGAGGAAGGCTCGTAGCAATGCTCTGCAGATCCGAGCAAGAAAGAAAGTGTAAAGACATTTTGTATTCCGAACGGGAAAAAAAAGCCCAAAACAAATCAGGGAGATCACGACGCACGGATAGGATTGATCAACCCAGACCGATCGACAGAGATCGTCGTCGCGGCCTCGGAACCCTGGTGGTTCACGTCCCTTTCGTCGTCAGGTCGAGGATCAGCAAACGAGCTCGAATTCTCGGAAGGATGCGAGAATCCTCGACGAGAACTCGAACCAGCCGCTATAAATGGGATCCTCTGGAGAACGCGCCTGGAGAGGAGATGGCGGAGCGACGTCTGGATCATGGTCTCTCCCGATGAGGGTTTTCGAAGGGTTCTCACAACCAAGAAGGAAATCCCGTTTACCATTATTATATTTTGTTATTTTACCCACAAATATAAATGTTTTATATTTTTATGAGAACATTTAATATATTTATGTTTATACTTCACGGAAGTACGCCTCCACATCGGCCTGCCGCCTACGAGGCCCGCAAAAAACTGGGCCTGGGCTTTGCGTACCGGACAAGCCGACAAGTACCCGGGGCCCACCTATCGACACTCGACACGTGACGTCAACGTCAACAGCTGCACAGGGCCTATTCATGGACTCCGACAAGGTGGAACATGAAAGGCAGCGGGCCCACCCCGCCGCACGCCTTCGGCAGGGACAGGAGACTTGGCCGGCTCTTCGCGACACGTATTGGCCCAATCGCCGAGTTAAGGTCAGGGTATGGCCAATCTTTTACCGACACGTAGCGAAGTCAATCGGTCAAACACGGGAAATAGTCTTCAGTGAGAGAGAGAGAGAAATGCCAATGACACCTGGGCTAGTCACGTATTCAAGTCTTCTTGCTTATACGTATTCTCCTCAGGCCTAATAACTAAAGTCAACCTTACGATGTCAAACCCAGAAAATAAGCTAGAGAGAGAGAGAGAGAGAGAATTGCAAAAAAATGAAGAAACTGTGAAACCAAGATCATCTAGTTTATTGCTAGGAAAGCTGAAGAAACAGGGGGGAGGTTACAGAGGGAGGGCGGTCCCCTGGGATCGGGATTTTATTGGAAAAAGGGTGGACCTTTCAGTAGGAGGGCCAGAGCCAGAAGGAGTGGTCGGCGGCGAAACCAAAGTTGGGGAGGCGGCGCGCCACCTCGGCGTCGTCCTCCGCCGCCGGGGAGAGGTCGGAGTTGTCGAGGTCGAGGGCGGCGGTGGAGGAGGAGGTGGGCTCGACGGCGGGGGAGCTCCATCCCCGGTCGCTGTGGGGGGGGCTGTCGCCGTCGAGCACGCCGCTATTGGCGGCGCTGAGGTCCTCCTGCTTGCCGGTGACGAGCGGGTGGTGGCGGAGCTCCCCCGCCGCCTCCCCCGCCGGATCTCGCCTCTGCAACAGCGAGTGGGTTCTTGGTTCGTGGCATGGCAGAGAGCCGCTTCTGCCGTTCTCCTTGAGGAGGATCTTCTCTGTCAGAGCATTAACCTGTCGGCAAATTATGAAGAAATAAGGTCACGCTCAGAGCTCCCATTCTTGCTACTAATCGCCACTTTTTGTAGAAAATATTCGTCAAAGAATGAAGCAGAATCCAATCAGGATTCAGCCGGAGCAAGAACCCCTGTGCCGCATTCATAGTTTGATCGAAAGCTTGCATAGCTGGGGATTTTTTTTTCTCTCTCTAATTTTCTTGCAAGATTGGGACGAAGGTGATCACCTCTGATCTGAGCTTCTCCTTCTCCTTCGCCATGGCCTCATAGTCGGCCCTGAGAGCGCTGTAGCTGGACTGCAGCACCTCGTAGTCCTTCTCCAGCTGCTTCGTCTTCCACCTCGCCCGCCGGTTCTGAAACCAGATGGCGACCTGCCTGGGTTGCAGCCCCAGTTCCCTCGCGAGCTGGAGCTTCCTCTCTGGTTCCAGCTTGTTCTCCGTCTCGAAGCTCCTCTCGAGGGACTGGACCTGGTCGGTTCTCAGCCGCCGCTTCTTCTCCGGCTGGTGTAGGTGCTCCTCAAGATCATCATCGCCTGCTTCCTCCGATTCCATCTGTTGGTAGAAGGATCGCCCAGGCGTGCCCCCGGGGGCATCCTCGAACTTCAGCATCGATCCCCGACCTGGAAGAACACCCAGAGGAAATCACGACATAACCGGTCCGCGTTAGGGTTCGACTGCAATGATCTCGTACCGTTCAGAGATCTTGAGCATTCATCACAGAAGGAAGACGCTCGGAAGAACGAAGATGGATGAACAATGAAAATCGGATTTATCAGCGTCACATTCAGATCCCGAACGGTGCCCTCGAGGTGTATGCAGATGATCCGATCTGAGAAATAATAGCATCCGAGGGAAAGAACGGGGGGGACGGGGGAAGGAAGGAAGGATGATGTGTCGGGAGAGAAGGGGAAATCTACCACGGAAGCTAGAAGAAGCTCCAGAAGCCATGAGAGCGTCGATTGCCTCCCGAGAGATCCCGTCGCTAGGAAGGAATTCAGCCATGTTCGAACCCACGTAGACTCTCCGTTCGGCCATCTGCTCCCCCTCTCCCCCCTCTTGATGGAGAAGAAGAGAAACCTCGATCGCAGAGGAAGATCGGGATCCGTCAGAAGGTCAGCTCCTTCGGGCTAAGCGACCGGAGAGGCATGGTCTCTCCGTAGAATTGGGGTGGTCCTTCTGGCTCCGGAAGAAGCTGGTTATCATGATGACGGAGCTCTGAGAACTCGGATAGCTCCCGCCCATCCTGTTCAGAAGGAGGCCGTGGGAGGGTAGACAGCACCCTGCCGATGAAGATGGCCGAACTTACTCACCTTCCTCAACCTTCCCAGGGGGGGAAACGTTCAGAACTACCACGTCTGATCCAGTACATATGACGCGAAGAGAGAGAGAGAGAGAGAGAGAGAGAGAGAGAGAGAGAGAGGATGACAAGGAGAAGGAGCGGGGACAGGACGGCTCTCTCTCTCTCTCTAAATTTTCTTCGCTCGCTTCTGGTTCTTCCAACGGACACTTCCCGGAGGAAGACGGGGGGAAGAGGATAATAAAGCAGGGGAAGGGGAAGAGATTTCCTGGGTTCCGTTTATGGTATACCCTTTTCTTTAATATATTATTCTCGACGACTCCACCCCTGCGGGGCCCGCTTTCTGAGGAATCTAGGCCCACTCGCCACGTTCTCAGCGCCGCCCCGGGTCCCACACGATGCGACCCCCACGAACCTCCGCCATCACCGAGAGAATATCGCTCTTATTGGGCCACCCTCGCGGCCCGCCACCGAGAGCCTGTCAGTCGTACGAGAGACGTCTCCGACTGCGATACCTCATCCCCACTTCCGGCCGGAGCCCAATAGCTAGGAGGCACCTGTTGTGGTGCCCCACACAGAGCGGCCCAATAAGAGCGGAGCCCATACCATCCATCACTGTCGTCCTCGTCGTCGTCGTCCACATCCGCGAGGAGAAGAAAATGAAAAAGGAGAGAGAGAGAGAGAGAGAGAGAGAGAGAGAGAGAGAGAGCAGGTGGGGGAGTTTTGCTTGGGTTTGGTTGGTTCCAGAGAGGAAGGAAACAGGGAAGAAGAAACAAGAAACACCTGGTGGTCCTTTTGGTCTCTCCCGCCCCAGAATTATTGCTCACAGGCCCCGGAAAGGAGGAATGGGGAGAGCGGGCAAAACTAGCTAGCTAGCTGCTCGTCCATGAAGGAAGAGGATCCGCAAAAGTAGGAGGAAGGGGAGGGGAGAAAAATATTCAGGGCTTGAGGACGAGCGAGAGGCCGACCTTGGAGCTCTTGTCGATGGCCTTGGTGTCGACCTCGCCGGAGATGGTGACGAGGGACTTGGGTCGCCACTCGTGCTGCACGAGGGCGCTGGCCTTGCCGAAGTTGTTCACGCGAGCCTTCACCATGGTGAGGGGGTCCAGCGCGTGCTGCGTGCCGAAAGTCAGCGTGTTCTCGTTGCTCGAGAAGCTGTGGGTCAGCTCCGCCCCCACCGCCGTGCTCGTCAGCGGGCTCACCAGGTGGTAGTAGGACGCCGTCAGGCTGTCCCCCTTGTCGTTCCTGCCACGGCGCCGCCGCACCGGCGGTCAGAGCAGAGACCAGAAAAGGACGGAGGAAGAGGAAGCAGAGGATTCAGTAACTTACAGGGTGAGGGAGGCAATGAGGTCGGCGTTGGTGACGGTGAGGCCGGCGTTGTACTTGGTGAAGTTGCCGGAGGCGGTGTCGAAGGAGAGGTCGGCGCCGGCGGCGAGGGCCTTCGTGCCGAGGACGCTGGCGAAGTTGACGACGGGGTTGGCCGTCAGCCCGAAGCTCGCGCTGATGCCGGCGTAGTCGTGCAGGTACTGAAGCTCTACCTGTGGCAAGTACACAAATAAATAAATCATGTATGCATGCATGTATATATGCATGCATGCATGTACCTATGTATGCATGTTTGTACGTACCTTGCCGGATCGCTGGTCAGGGACGACGAAGCTGAAGATTGACTTGAACCCAGGGGCGAGCTCGTCGACGGTGACAGTGGTGAAGAGCTGGAGACAAGGTATCATCAAAGCAAGTATGCTTACCCAGGGACAAACATGTACGTCAAGAACACAGAAGCTCATCAACACAGTAATAGTAGAAATCCAGGAGGACCCGGGGAGTAACCCACCACCTCAATTCTTACAAAAAAAATTTAAGCTCTAGAAGGAGATTTTCATATAGTTGAGAAGCAAAAATGGGCTGAATAAGTCACAAATATCAGGTTCACATGAATGAGATGAAAATGCCCAGGAATGTGGTTCAGGACCGAATAAGGACAAAAGGAATTAAAAAAAAAAATCGAACCCTAGAAGTCTGTCTGGTGTTCACCATTAGGAAAATCGGGCGGTATTTGATGATCTTGACAGAATTATAAATATACCTCGGGAGCCGCGACATAACTAAAGTCAGACAGATGGGCAGTGATCGTCTAGAGCAATAAGTTATAGCTGGTAACCACTGATTATCTTATCTATCCTAGAAAATGGCATAAAATGAGGATGCCCAAGTCCGTCTGTCCTCGAAACGTTCTGAATAAATGAACCTAAATCATCTCGGTATTAAAAGGTTCTCTCATACCATTACCCCATCTACTCTATCTGTTTGCGATATCACCTCCTTCCTCACTTACTTATAAGTACTCACCAATAGGCTTCCTTCTCCGTCCATCCGGTTTATTCCACTATGAGCTGAATGGTGAAGTTTGTGTGCAGCCAGTGGAGCTAAAACACCAGATAGTTGCCTAAGGAGAGAATAAAGCACAAGGAAAGTATTATCTTCACTTGAGAGAGGAGTGAAGCTCATCCTTTGAGACTCCTGGTAGCTCATGATCCAACTAGTCTGCAGATTGCAGCCTGAACGGGGGAGGCGGCATAGAATCTATAGCTAATGTTAAGGCAAAGACTCCTCTCAGTAGACTGCTGACCAGGCTATGAGAGATTAAGCCATTATATAACCCACAACTGCCATCCATATCAGAGGTCATCTCCTTTTGAGGGAAAACAATCGTAAATTCCTTGTGGTCCACGTGTTCGATTGATCAAACCATTTAATCATCTTTATAAACACTCTAGAGGGAGAAACAAAAGAGAGAACAGGCACCTGCATGTTTACATAACTAGTCATGTGAATGTGATCTGAAACAGCACATCACATGTATCTATATATTCATAGGAACAAATAAAATATGACGCGATATGACAATTGGGGACTAAAGACACCGCTGTCATGAAAAATTCATGAATGTTGTTTTATTTACGCAATGGCTAGAATACAGCACCCCTAACCCCACAGAATTTCCAGTAAAGAAACATCAACATAAAATCCAAGCGACAATTTATTTTCAATACTCTAAGTTTTAAGAAAATATAAAACAAGCAACTGTAGATAGTCAACAAGCATTGACAACTAATCCATTGATAAAACCAATTTTCTTATTGATGGTCATACTCTACATTTTCTATGTCTATTTGAAAATGTAGTATAGAATGTCAAAACGTATAATAACAATTGAATAAGAAAGATTTATGGTTATGCTATGTTTATCAGCTGAACGGCACATGCACTGCAAGACAAAGAGAGGCACTATTAAATGGCTAGAAGTTCATACTACATGAGAGCCTTACGTTGGAGTTAGAGTTGACTTTAACATCAGTGGTAACACCCTTGTTCTTCAGCTGGGCGTGAATCTCACCAAAGATCAAATCGTGTTTCTTTGAGCCTGAGGATGTAATTGCCTGGAATATCATTGAACGGGCACAAAAGTCAGAACTTAATCAAGAATTCTAAAAATCCTAGAACAATGATTCTTATGGAAGCCTTAAGTGTGGTCTATAACATGGCAAGATTTGTGCAGACTACGGGCATGAACTGTACGAAACATCTTGACGAACCTGGCGTACTTAAGTTTCAGTAACGAAGGCAGACAAAAGAAATAACAGTAAAACGATACAATATATGAACTACGGGGACGCCATATATGAACTGATAAGCCAGTATTTGACAGCTGATTGGGATGACGGTACATTCAAAGCTGTAAGCCGTCTGTATTGTCAACAACTGCGATGACACCATATATGAACTGATAGGATGTCGAACAAAATAAGCGAAGTATTAGACAAAAACGAAGATCCCATCTACTGAATCAGAAATAAAATCGAGATCACTCTTGCGGTATCGTCAAAGCTACCAAAATATGCTGAACGAGATTATCGCAGCTCAGATCTAAAACAAGAGAAGGGAAAAATGAGGGCAGAATGGGGACTAGTATTGAAGAGATAAACTCACAACTCCATTCGCCGCATAGGTGGTGATGGCGAATTTCTGGTCTGTCTGATAATCTTTATACAGAAGATCTGCAAATAGACAACCACCGAACGGAAAAGCACGATGAGAGTTTGGAACCAAAAAGATCAGCGGGAAAGGGAGAAATGGCAGAAGGAAAGTTCCGCGCATTTTAGGAATCCCGGAAGAAATCGAAATATGCAGCAAACCTCTGGCCTTCTTCCCGATATCGGAGTAGAGTCCAGGCCCCATGACGAGCTACGCTCTCTCTGGCGCTCACAGACTAGTGGGAAGCGGGGGAAGGACAGGGGAACCAGTCGCAGCCAGAGAGAGGAGAAAGGAGAGAGGAGCCTAAGAGAAAGAGAGGTATATATCAGCCGAGGGCGATCTCTTCCACGACGGGAAATGAGATCGGACAGGGTGGCGAAACCCTAATCGCGAATCTATGAAGCTACAGTGCTCTGTGCACGTTCCAGCTACACATGAATCAGAGACCGAGACTTGAAGATCGTTCTAGTGTGACGACAAAATCAGCTTGAGCACACCAATTTGTCGTCGTGCGACGTGAAGACGCATCTGAGCCTCTTGCGTACGGTGGATGATGAGAAGCGAATCGCACCAAATAGAGCATCTGTTAAGTGTGCGGTGCTGCGCATCTCAGCAGACCGCCACCGCTCCCGCCCATCTCCCCCCCCCCCCCCATCCAATCCATGTGGGCCCAAGAGTGACAGAGCCTTCAAATCCACGGTTACAACCTCAAATTTACTTATCAACTGGATAGAATGTAATAAAATTATTCTTTAGGGAGCTAAATATGATTACTAAGGAACATATTCGGATGATAAAGTAATGTCAACAAATTACTTATAAGATTCCTCATAAACTAGTTGACATTTAATGGGCCAAATGGGCCCAAAAGGCGAATTCGACGCTTGTTTTGAAGCCCAAGTAAAGCTTTTTAACGGGCCGTGTTGGGCTAGACTTCCCGTGATTCAATTGCCGCCATTAAAGTATATCTGCTTTAAAATATATATTATAAAATTCTCAAAATGCCACGTGGATCCAGCTGGACACCTTCATGCGGAAGACTGGTCGTCGATGTCAGTAAATGAGGGAGATTCCGCCCATCTTCCTGTTCCTTCTCCTTCCCTTCGAATTTCAAAAAATATCCAACGGCACCATCTCTCTCTCTCTCTCTCTCTCTCTCTGAAATGAATATAAGAGCAGGATCTTCTGTCACAGGGTCGTGTTCTTCATCCTTCCAAGAACAGCAGACTCTTCTGCCTCCATCACCTGTCAGACTGCAGAACGAAGGTACAGCTTCCGAGCCTTTCATTTCCTTGTCTTCGTCTGTTCCCCCCTCCATAGACAAATGATTCCCTCTGGCAGTGAGTAGAAGAGAATGAGCGGTTCGCGGAAGCTGTCAAAAGCTCTGAAAGGTCTCGCAATCTCGGAGAAAGATCGGTGTGTAAGTATCGTCCACTCGGTGCGCGTGGAGATCTCGATTTCCTTTCCATCCATCGTCTCTTTGCTTACGCCTCTTCTGATCTCTGTATTCATCTGGAGAAGATGGGCGGCGGCGATGGAGTTCGGAAGGTGGGGATATGGAAGAAGCTGTGGCGGATGGGATCCAGAGGCAGCTACGTCTCACCATCTGAGGCATCGGATAATTCATCAATGGCCGCTGTCTACCATGCGGCCGTGGCAGCGGTGGTCCGGACCCCGCCGATTGAGTTCATGGCGCTCCGCCGGCAGTGGGCGGCGATCCGGATCCAGACCGCCTTCCGTGGATTCCTGGTAAACATTTGAATGGAAACTTTTTCTCTGATCTTCTTCCTTCCGGATTTAATCCTGAATAGATGACGATTCTGTGGACCGCGATCAGGCTAGACGAGCTCTGAGAGCACTGCGAGGCGTGGTGAGGCTTCAAGCCATGGTTAGGGGGTGGCTGGTGAGGAAGCAGGCTGCTGTGACTCTCAGACGGTTGCAGGCGCTCGTGTGGCTCGGATCTCGCCAGGCGGCGCAGAAGAGGGCGAAGATCCACTCCAGCGAGGAGCCTCAGGTGTTTCCGTCATTTCCACAAATATGCACCTCAGATTTATGCATATCGGCGCTCGCTGATTCCTGGATGTTGAGGAAGGCCTCGGTAGAGTTCTTATTTTCGGAGTTTCGATTCTGTCAGGATCGGAGATCGAAACGCAGATCTAATCCTGAAGGGATCTGCGCGACGGATCAGGGGAGCTGGCTCGAGCGACAGTCGTGCGACGGCAGATCGATGGAGGAAGAATCATACATCAGCGACGAAACCTTTCAGGGAAAACGATCGAAACCTTCCGATCCTGGTTCGGCAAGGACTCAGAGCAGTTCCAGTGTCAGAATTCATCCCGAGCTTCCACTAGCAGTCGGTGCCGGCCGCCGCGGTGTTCTTCGTTCAACTTCTTCTTTTCACAGCTCCGAGTTTCGATATCTCCGGAGCCCGTCTCTCTCTTCTCCGCCTTCGCCGTCGTCTTCTTCGTCCTCTTCTTACGGTACCTGGTCTCTGGTATCTGGAAAAGCCTTTGCGGTCTCATCATCCGAGAGGAAAAACCTCCCGAACTGGAGAAAATCTGTCAACTCGAAGCAGGGCATCATCATCCCCAGAGGAAATTCTCAGAGACGGTCAACCGGCGACTTCCGGGCCGGGAGGAAGACGACGTCCTGCGGTGGCGGGGTCTCGTGGAGATGCTCCTCTCAACGCGGATCTTCGCAGAAGCCATGATCTTGCCAGCAGGGGATCGCGTAAACTGTCGTGCATTCTTTGACCAGAGAATAATTATTGGCTTTTGAAGCCGTCGGCACTGCAAATTGTCAGATTATCTGAAGATCTTTGCCCACGTTTTTGCGTTGAATTTTTGGTGAAGAGTCAACGGATATAGTCGCCGATCGTGCGGCCGAGGTGGGCTCTGACCAGAGTCTTCCGAATTATGGGCTAAACCAGGCCTGTGCGATTTTATGAAAGGCCCCTTTTTTACTGGGCCTTGTGGGCCACGTTCATTTTCTCAAACGGCCCAAGTTTTGCTAAAAAATGGGGCGCATATTAGAGGCCCAGTTCAACTCTCGTCCGTTCGAGAGAGAGAGAGAGAGAGAGAGGGAGAGAGAGTGAGAGCGAGGGAGAGAAAGTGAGAGAGAGAGAGAGAGAGAACGAGAGAGAGAGAGGGAGCGAGAGAGAGAGAGAGAGAGAGAGAGAGAGAGAGAGAGAGAGAGAGAGAGAGAGAGAGAGAGAGAGAGAGAGAGAGAGAGAGCGAGAGAGAGAGAGAGAGAGTGAGACGGAGCGAGAGAGAGAGAGGGAGCAGAGAGAGAGAGAGAAAGCGAGAGAGAGAGAGAGAGGAGCGAGAGAGAGAGAGAGAGAGAGAGAGAGAGAGAGAGAGAGAGAGAGAGAGAGAGAGAGAGAGAGAGAGAGAGAGAGAGAGAGAGAGAGAGAGAGAGAGAGGGAGAGAGGAGAGGGAGAGAGGTGAGAGAGAGAGAGAGAGAGAGAGAGAGAGAGAGAGAGAGAGAGAGTTTCGTGGGCCCGGGTATTTCGGCCTCCCTTTGCAAATCTGAGCGATGTCCCGTATCCCTTCTCTGTCGTATTACTGAGAGAGGGAGGGGGAGAGAGAAAGGGGCGAGTGAGAGAGAGAGGGAGATCGTGTGCAATAGGGTTCCCTTCATCCGTCGCCGAACGCTCTCCCCCGGCAAGTCTCGCTAACCCTAGAATAGGATCAGAAGCTGTCTGCATCGCGAGAAACGCCATGTTCTGGATTTTGCACCGCTGCAATACTCAATGTCATGAATGCCATTGCTTATCAGATGCACGCGTCGACCGAGCTCGACTTGCGGAGGGTATCAGTTGCTGATCTGAATACCTTTGGTGACGGCTTTCGTTTTCAAGGGACGGTCTGACAGTAGCGTTTCACCCGAAAAGGGGTCCGTCGGTGGATTGGGCGGAGCGGGTTTCGCTGTGATGTTATTGGTGGTCGGCTATCTATTCTCCGTCTCTGGGCATATAGGGTCAGGGCTAATCATTCGGACGTAGGCATCATTTCGAATTGGCGTGCCCATGGAGCCGCGTGTGGGGAACAAGTTCCGTCTTGGTCGCAAGATTGGGAGCGGGTCATTTGGAGAGATCTATCTAGGTTTGTTCGATTACATTTCCCCCTTATATTTCCTCTGCCTTGTTTTTATTCGAGGTCGTATATTTTCATTCTTATAATTTCACTTTTTGATTAAAATGTTTTTAGGGACTAACATCCAGACCAACGAGGAAGTGGCCATTAAGCTTGTGAGTTTCTATTCCCTGCTGCATTTTTACCATGAGATCATCGTCTTTTCTTGGCCAGATAAGTTGCTTTTTTGCGTAAAGGTTTCCTGAAAATAACCGTCATTTTTTCTCATGACATTTCATACTTTTTAGTTTCGGGAAAAATTAAGGCGACTTCTCAAAATGTTTGAAATCGAGTAATACGTTCCTCGGTTACGCACAGTTGGAACTATCTAGTGAATTTGCAGCCTAGGTCGGTTCGGGATAATGTTTCTTGGACATTACTGGAGGAATTATTTGAGGAACGATGTTATAATTTGCTTGGAGTATCAGATATTATCTTGAAAAGGGTTACCAACTTCATATAGACAAAGGCGTTCAAGTTCTATAAATTCATTTAGTCACATTTTAACCTTTTTTGATATCTGGTTTTGGTTTTGTTGTAGGGTTACAATCGTGTGAATAGGCCCTGATATCTTCCAGTTTCTTTCAAGATATGGATGTAATTCAAATGATACTGTTTTACCTCGATTGTAACCAAGCTTAGGTGAGAGATAATGAGTATGCATAATGTTTGGGTTTGTTGTAAGATCTTGTCCTTGATAGCTGGTAAGGCATCTAATTCGAGCATTGGAAGGAGGGCCATTGAGTTGCTGCTTACGTGGCTAAAGTTGACAAAGGGACTCTATCTTCTGATCGATTCCCTCATCAAGCTGGAGCCATAATTGGGAAGGGATAGCTATTCATGGTCATGACATATTCTTGACTCAGATTGGGTTGAGGATTAAATGTAGTTCTACATTATATGATGTCATCACTGTGGTGGAGTCAAGATTGAGACCCATGTCTTGGATTATGTCGGTTTTGGTCTAAATGAAAAAATCCATGAACGACAGAAAAGGTAGCTGTCTTTTAAATTTAAAAAATGAAGACGGAAGGAAATCACATTTGGGTTTATTATTTGTATGTCAAAGAGGAATATGTATTGATAGGGGAAAGGAAGAAGAAATTCAATGGTTTCTCTTAATCTTCAGTCCTATACTGGTTCCGAATTTATGAATGTGTAGCATAGTTGGTTATACGGGGTAGAATTGTTTGCATTCTGTTTAGTAGAGTGCTTCAGTGCCGCACATCTTTAGACTTTGTTCAAGAAAGGTGATTGTGTAGGAACTAATTTAACAGAAAAAGCGTGATGAAATGGGATCAGGTTTGCTTGAACAGCTTGGGAAGAGAACAAAATAGAGATCGGATGAGAGGACAAGGCTACTGATGACAGGACGGAAATATTGACCATCTGAGGGAAGCTGATTATGTTGTGTTCTAGAGGGTGCAGTCTTGCAACAAAATGCTGGGGCTTACTTTTGTCACATCCCTTCTGTTTCTTGGCTTCTGCTTTCCATATGTTCTGGAATTATCCAACATCTCCATCCCAGAATCTTTGGTCGATTTTTTTTGTGAAATTCTTTCCCTGTACATAGGACGTCAAGTACCCATCTCTTCTTCTCCTCTGCAGGAAAATGTCAAGACCAAGCATCCTCAGTTGTTATATGAATCAAAGCTGTACAGAATTCTACAAGGAGGAAGTAAGAAACTGAACACTGTCGATATTTTCCTGATTCATGGTGATTCATTATTTCTATGGGAGGTACCAATATCATTTTGTCTTATTTTTCCAGCCGGAATTCCCAATGTAAAGTGGTTTGGTGTCGAAGGTGATTACAATGTTCTTGTGATGGACTTATTGGGACCAAGCCTTGAAGATCTTTTCAACTTCTGCAGTCGAAAATTATCTTTGAAGACTGTGCTAATGCTTGCAGATCAAATGGTAAAACTTCATTCGCTGGCTGTTTATACGCTAATTTGGTCCATTGAACACTTGGCCGTATTTTTTTTCCCTTTTAATTGCCCTGTGCTCTTTGAATATTATTCAGATCAATCGGATAGAGTATGTGCACTCCAAATCCTTTTTGCATCGAGATATAAAGCCAGATAATTTTCTTATGGGCTTGGGAAGGCGTGCTAATCAGGTTCTTTTCCCACTCTCGCTTTAACTTTTCATTAATGGTAGGCCTAAACCGGCTGCATTTTTTTCCCATCCATTTAGGTGTACATTATTGACTTTGGCCTTGCAAAGAAATATAGAGATACTTCAACCCACCAGCACATCCCCTACAAGTAAGTTGAATCATGAACCCTCACTGTACTTGTATTAAAATGCTAGCGATTGATTTATCCTTAAGAATTACTCGTATATTTATTCTTTTTTTTTCGAGATAAATTTTATCCGCGTATATGATGATGCCTCATCTTGTTTTTTTTAGTTGTAGTCTGGTTTTAGTATCCTTCAATCATATTCCCGACAATTTCAGGGATAATAAAAGCTTGACAGGGACAGCAAGATATGCTAGCACGAACGCTCACCTTGGGATTGGTATGCGCCGTGTAGTCTGTTCTTGGTATTATTTGTTGCAGCTATTTTGCCTAGTAGCCTCAAATTAATATAGCTTGTGAATATGGTATGCTTTTTCTCTATGTGATATACTCACTAGCCATGTTCTGTGATTCCTAAGAACAAAGCAGGAGAGATGATTTGGTATCTCTTGGATATGTTCTCATGTATTTCTTAAGGGGAAGGTCTGTTTCTCGCCTAAATATTACCCATCCTGCTGTCATTTGTCTTAGATGCTTACTTGTTGCTCTCCCTCAGTCTTCCCTGGCAGGGACTAAAAGCTGGAACTAAGAAGCAGAAGTACGAAAAGATCAGCGAGAAGAAGATTTCCACTTCAATTGAGGTATCTTGGAACATGATTTCCACTTTACTGATTAAAATATTTGCCTATTCCCTTGGAAATCATATTCTCCAAAGTTGAAAATTTTTCACATTATTAAATATTTGTTGTAATCTATAAAAATGTTTACTTGCAGGCTTTATGTCGTGGATATCCTGCAGAATTCACATCGTACTTTACGTACTGCTGTTCCTTGCGTTTTGATCCCAAACCAGATTATGCTTATTTGAAGAGGATATTCCGTGATCTCTTTATCCGAGAAGGTATCCTATCCGAGTTGGGAGTGGTTGAAATTAATAGAAAAAAATTCTTCACGATATATTTGATATCTCGTCGTTTGATTGATCATTTGCATTCACGAATTCCTGTTTTGCAGGCTTTCAGTTTGACTACGTGTTTGACTGGACAATTTTAAAGTACCAGCAGTCTCACTCCAGTGTACCTCCGCGTACCCTGGTAAGTTAATCGTGTTTTCATAGCTTTTAAGCTTTTTTTTTTTCTCACATAATTTCTGTTCAATGACATCTTGCTCCTTCTTAGCGTCCTAGTGCTGGGCAAAGCTCTGGTCTGGCTCCTGCCATTGGCAATGCAGAGAGACAGTCAGGTGGTTCCTTCTTGAACTTAGTCATATTTTTTATTTTTTTTTATTTTTTTAAGTCTTATATTTCAATCTTGTTCGATCCAAAGATGCCATGACTTCTTTTGCCATCAGTATTCATCTGTAGATTTCTCTTCTTTTGCATCTTTAAACCCATCAATATTTTGAGAAAAAATTACATCCTTGAACCATCAATCAGCTCTGATCTTTACATCGATCCAGAGTCACCGGCGAATGAATTGCTCAATGAGCTGCTGCCCGAGTACTAAGAAGATCATCTCAGATGGCATTTCCTTGAATGAGGCAGTGCTTGACTCTATCATCACATTAATGAGCCTTATGCATCAATCAAAATTACTATAAGTGAATATGCTCGGAATATTCCAAATCACCAGCATCCACATCATCTCTCTATTCAGGGGCCCCACAGCCCTCCTGATGAGTCAACTTCTCTTCTGGGTCTCATTCATCCAGTTTACAACATAAATTGTTCAATGCTAGCTGATTCTATCGTGGTGGGTGCTGCTGCTGCTGTCATTTACTATAAATATGGGTTGCTCTTCTTCACTCAGGTGGTGAAGAAGGAAGGGTGATTGGGTGGAGCACAGGAGATCCATCTCGTCGTCGAGCTGCAGTACCAGATGTGGGCTCAGGAAGCTTATCGAAGCAGAAGACTCCTGTCACAGCCGATCTGGAAAATTCGAAAGAGTACATGGTGAGTCAATGGCTCTTCCCATTTCTGTTTATAATCTTAATCGAATTGGGGAAAGTGGCTATCTTCGTAGAAGAACATCAGGATTAGAAGTCAGCTTTCTGTTTGTGTCACATAGGGCTCTGACCCACCCTTCTCGTTGGTTGACTTTCGCGCAATGCTCTTGATCAGCTAAATCACTTATTTCGGTTACTGATTGTTGCAGATATTCGAGTAATTCAATATGTTTTCTGGGTTTCAGAATCTTGTATTGAGCAGCAACCTCTTTTTGGCGTTGACTAATTTATTCTCTCAACCTCTTTTTGGCTCACCTATGCGGGCTCCTTGGAGCAGCAACCTACGCTCTCTCTTAAAAATAAAATAAAATAAAAATAAAAATCCTTTCATCAATGCATTCATCTCATGGTTTCTTCTTTTTCTCACTCAAGAAAATGATGTTTGGCCTCTCTCTCTCTCTCTCTATATATATATATATATATATATATATATATTTATATACATCTGCAGATGTCTGGCTCGACGTTTTTGGGGAGGCCAAGTGGTGGGTCGTCAAGGCGGGCCGCCATTTCCAGCGGCAGGGAGGCAACCGGCAGTGAGTTTGACCCTCCTTCACGCTCAAGGACGAGGACAGAGGCGAACCCCGGGGGTCTCCACAAGTTCTCGAGCGCTCAAGGGAGCTCCCCCGTGCTCTCTGCGGAGCCCATACGACCCTCCTCCGACCTCCAAGGCATCCTCAAAGCCCTCGAGGGCCTCAGATTTGACAGCTATTAGGGGCTTCACTATTAGAAGCTCCAACCCACCCTTTCAAGCTGGCAACCTTCCCTCTCAGCCCTCTCCGTTGAGGGAGAAAAGAAGAACTAAGAACTGGGTTCATCTCTGGAGATGCGGTGGTGTGAGAAGGAGGCTAAGAGGGGAGGAGAGAGAATGGTGGCGAAGGAGGAAGCTCCCCCAGAGGAGAATAACGGGAGCAGAAGAAGCCCGTCTCATCAGAATGGCCGTAGCGCCTCTGCCTGGTTGTTGTTTACTGTAGCTATGAACATTGGCACGCCCTGAGAAGCTGTTCCCATGAGATTTAATCTTTAACGTATCAGCATGGGGCGTTTGGTGCTGGCGGTGGGCGATTTGGGACTTGATCTTTTCTTCTCATGGCTAACAAGGTTCTCCCAGGCCGGGCCACAGCCCCATGGCTAACAGCCTGGGCACCAGAACCTAGCTGAGTCTAGATAAAAGCCCATTGTCTAGAGAGAGAGAGAGAGAACTGGGCACTGGACGAGGCTCATCTGTCTTCCTAAGACAAACCCAAAAGCCATCTAGATGAGCCCATTTGAAAACCTCTATAAAGCCATATTAGAGAGAGAGAGAGAGAGAGAGAGAGAGAGAGAGAGAGAGAGAGAGAGAGAGAGAGAGAGGGAGAGATCCACGTCTCCATCAACCGCAAAAACCTTAATTTGTGAATAACGACTCGGATAAAGTAACATGATTTTCATTATTTGAATCTCCTTGTCAACACAGCCGAACATAAAATCAATAAAAATAAGAGAAAGAACGGCCAATATGATCACCAAGATCATCCATAGATCAATCAATCCCGTAAGGTTGGTGAACATCATCGGAGAGAGGAGGATGATGATGATGATGATCCTCTAAGAAGAACTCGGATCGACTGAGTCTAGCTAGCGACCTTCTTCCTTGCGGGCCCCGGCAGCCTCATCTCTTGACCTATTTGTGCGGAGAGTCAACAGCCCCGGTTGACTCGGCAGGCAAGGGCCCCCGCGAAGCGGGTGAGTCGAGTCACGAAGGTCCCTGGCTTGGCCTTGATCATGTCCTTGTTGGAATACTTGGAGGGGCGCCCGGGTTGACCCGACTGGACGAAGAAAGCGCCATTCATCATCAGGTCACCCTCCGACCTCCATTTCCACGTCTTCCACGCCGAGTCCCAGCTGTCCACCCGGTGGGTCACCTCCTTCGCCCTCTCATCCGGCGGCGCGATGTACCGGTTCCCCTGGCTGATGATCGTTGACCGCTGGCTCCCCCCGATGGCGTACATCAGCCAGTGGGTGTAGTCGTTGTTCAGCACATGGAAGAACCCCCACCGGCACCTGCGTTGGAGAGCAAGACCCACAAAGTCATTTTCTGGTCCAGGGTTCGAGATCTAGGGTTCTTGAGCTTTTAGGCTTTACCTCGGCATCCTCTGTACCAGGCCCCTACCAAAGTGGTTGAAGGCCACGGTGATCTGCATGATCGCGTCGTCCGGGTACATGTCGCTTGCCCCAAAGAGCATCACCTGACATGCAGCGACCAGCGACGGCGATGAGCTTCATGGAGAAGAAAGGAGAAGAAAGGGGGGAGCTTCAGTATGTACGTGGTCATGGTGGGTGAAGTGATTGTTGGAGATGGTGATGGCGGTGGAGCCCTGGACGACGTCGATGAGGCCGTCCATGCAGTTGGACATGGAGACGTGATCGATCCAGATGTTGGAGGCGCCAAAGATGGAGATGCCGTCGCCGTCGCTGCGGGCGCGGAGGCCGTAGTGCGCGAGGGAGTCCCGTATCATGCCGCCGCCGCCGGCCTTAATGTCGTGGATGTGCAGGCCGTGGATGATAACGTGCTGCACGAACTGCAGCGTGATTCCCGCGCCGTAGGCGATGTGCACGTTGGCGCCTCTGCCGTCGATGGTCTTGTAGCTGGTCACCAGCAGCTCCTCGCTCAGGTGGATGATCATGTCCCTGGCGAAGACGATCCACAGTGGCTCCGGCTGAATGGCGGCGTGGCGGAGAGTGCCCGGTCTGGGGTTGACTAGGTCGTTATCGGAGGGGTCGGTGACGACGTAGTATCTCCCCGCCAGGCCCCCCTTCGCGTTCCTCCCGAACCCTAGCGCGCACTTGGCCAGCTGCTTCCTCCTTGTTGCCCAGTCGTCCCTGCACCGCCAGCACCGGTCGATGGGGTTCGTCGCCAGGCACTTCCCAGTGTACCTCCGCAGCTCCCTCCTCGTGCTGTTCCCCACCAGCAACCTTCATCGCCAATAACAGTTGTAGACCCACTGAGCTAGCTACAAGCTAGAGAGAGAGAGAGAGAGAGAGAGAGAGAGAGAGAGAGAGACGTACTCGTGGACCTTCTCGTTGGCGTGGGCGGCGACGGCCTCTGGGTCGGGGTTGTAGGCGGCGAGAGCTGCCGCTCGGGCCTCATCGGCGCGGGCTTTCCACGAGTCGTCCCAGTCAGCGATGTGGGCGTACGCCGGCGTCGCAGCAACCAGGACGAAGAAGACAAAGAAGAAGAAGAAGGCGAGGAAGAAGGAGAGCAAGGGGCGGGCTCGGACGACGTCCATGGCTGTCCCCCTCTACAACTCTCCTCTTCTCGGGCCCCTCTGCGGCAGCGGCGGCGATGGCTGAGAGCTCCTCCGGTGGGGGGAGAATTCTCTGGGAATGGAAACCAGGGCCGACCAGGCCGACCGACGATGCCAGACGCGCAGAGGCTACAGGCGACGGGTCATGGCGCATCGGTTCTCACGAGAGGGGCGTTGCCGGTGATCGGCGTTGCCCCTCTTATATACCGAGAGGAGGACCCTCTAAATATGAAACTCGCCGGAGAAAACCATGGACGACCGACCACTGCAGGCCGAGGAAGTGAAGGGGGGGGTGTTTGTCGCCGGCGGCTCTTCGCCGCAACTTCCCGCAGGGCGGAGGTGGTTTCTCTTGGACGGCCCAGAAGAAACCATCCATCTGTTCCACCAGCACTTAACGTGTTAAAATTAATCTTACGAAGGGGTTTTAAAAAATATTCGTAATTGCCCGCACAGACCCGACCCACATTCGTAATTGGGTCTTATTGGGCCTTAATGTCAGCGCGGTTTTAAATGAGCTTGGGTAGTTCGAAAAAAGCCCATTAATCCTCAAGGCCCAGCTTGGTCGTCACCGTCTACCACGGGCATTTTTTCTGAGCTCCAGAGGTTGCAGAGTGGTGGTGGCGTTTATCGAAAACCTAGAGAGACAGGCGGATACAGACGAGCCGCCGGCTTCTCCGATCCTTTGGGGATCTTCCCTCCGCGGCCTCGCCTGGCGTGCTCGCGGTCCTCCTTCGCGGGAAAGCCGACGGAGTCCTGATCGCTCGGAAGAAGTCCTCTCTCGCGTCTCTTCAAGGGTTGATTTCCTCTCGCGGGAACTGCTTCCGGTGAGGCGGAAGATGGTGATGGCGTTCTTTTCTTTCTTTTCCCGGCTCTTCGGACGGGTGCCTTCTATTTGTGGCAGCGTTTTTATGCTTTCTACGTCGCAAGATGTAGCGCAACACTATACTTTGCTGGCCAATTAATGTGTAGCCTCTGTGTCAGTTCTCGTAGTCGGATGGTGCATTTTCCGGTGTCCATTCTTCATATTTCTTCTCACTGCTCGTATGTGAAATATACGCAGTTTTCCGTTCTACGTACGCACTATCCTTCCTGAAGTTGGATAGATTTATCGTTTATTCAAGAATTTTAGCAGAGGATCATATCTCTGTGCGAAACACGGGGGTGTTCATGCCTCTTGTTTTCCTTTCTATTCCCGAGTGAAGAGCCACTGTCGTGACCAATCCTCTAGCTTCCGTTTTCTCTCTGTGATCAGATCCACCTGTATCCGCGCATATAGTGGATTCGGAAGACGTTTCATAGATTAATCTGAGGACTTGCATTCTAATCTCATGCTCCACATCGTTTGCAGTTCTAATCCCTAGACATTTGCTTGCATTGCAGTCAGATTCTGACTATCCATGCACTAGATTAAATAAAAAAAGTCATTATCCTGAGGAGTCTCGGCAAGAATTAACCCCTATTTTCTAGTTAAATCTATTTTTTTTTATTTTTTCAAATTCTACATGGATATAGATCTCCTCAACTTCTATCATGCAGGCTATGGACACATCGAGCCCTGCAGTGTTCGTCAATTCAGAGCTGTTGAATCTGTACTTGGGCCGGAGAGTCAGAACAGTGGTTCAAGTGGTGCGCGTCGATGGTGGGACGATGACCGGACAATCTCCTGATGGGCATCAACTCGTCGTGAAGGGCACACCGGCTATTCCATCGTCTCACTTCGTGGAGGTGATTGGCATTGCCGACGGCAGTCAGTCCATTCGTGCTGAGATCTGCACTGACTTTGGCGAAAACTTTGGTAAATCACCAGCCTCATAGAACTCCCCCCCCCCCCTTCGTGCATCCCTTTCTTTTTATTTATTTATTTATCAGATCATTAAGATCCAAGTACCCAAGATCCACAATTGGAATGGCGACTTGTTCCATGCCGTGTGATGTGCTATTTTTGTTAAGATAGATCCACGGAGTGGCCACTCCTTTCTGCTCATCCGTCGCTTGAATGTCCCAAAGACTTTAGCAGAGTATGAAAGTCAATGCATGTATTGCCTCGCATCACAGATGTCGAAGGCCCAGATTAAGTAAAACCCTGCTGCCGTGGATTGGGCTTTGACTTTGAGGGCCGGATGATGATTTTTTTTTCTTTTTCCTTTTGAAGAATCTCTCGTTCTGATCCATGGATCTTGTCTTGTGCTCTCTCGCAGACACCATGGCGTTCAACCGTTTGTGCCAGCTTGCAAATGGAGAGCACAAGAGTCTCTTCCTTTGAGGTGGACCTTGGCCTCTTACCTTGCTCAGTCCAGTCGTTGACCCCCAGCTGTTCTGAAGGAAAGACGCAGTTGTGCTATGTTTGGTGATGGTTGACATTTTCAGAACATGTAATATTCTGTTCGATATGAAAAATATAATGCTCTGCGTGATATTTATCGAGTTTTCTTCAAAAACTTAAACTGGTGGTTCGATTATTATTATTATTATTATTATTATTATTATTATTTTTTGAGGTTAGAGACGATGGCGCAGTCCCAGATAAGCTTCCGGCTCATCTTGAATCAGATAAATTATGTCGGAAATACAATTTCTTTTAAATAATTATTTTCCCCACCTGGCGGGCCCAACCTCCACTAGCTCTCCGGCCCGTTAGCGTTGGCCAGTTGGCTCGCTGTGAGGGGGCCCCGTCAGCATGCGGCCCACGGTGTCGATCCGACATCCACTATCACATAATTGGTCACGGGCCCACATCCGGAAGTGGAGCCCGAAAGAATGTTTCAGGATCCGCAATGGGCCCTCAGTCAAGATTCGTCCCATGGTATCAGGAATTGGGCCCCACAGAATCACTACACATGGGCCCACTGTCCGGTTGGTCTCGTCTTTTATGTTGACCGGGATGGGGTTTGACCCGGCAGAACCGGGAGTAACCGTCGGGGGAAGGGGAGACGAAAATGAGGCAACGGTCGCAGAGGTGACAGGAGGGACACGCCAGACGCCATCCTCCCGGGCTCTCCGTGATTGCAGATCGGGGAGGAACGAGGAGGGGAAGCCCTGCTCCCTGCCTTCATTTCTTTCTCTTTCTCTCTCTATTGTTTCCAACTCCATCTTCTCCACCCGGATCACGAGGATTAAGGGCGAAGGAGCTCCGCCGAGGAGGAGGACCGCCGTCGCCGCCGCCTCGGGGCTTAGCGTTCTTTCCTCCGGGGAGGGGGCCCAGGCGCCGGCGGGTTGTGTCCTCGGGGTTTTCTCCAGGTGAGTACAGTACGCGAATCCGCCGGCCAATCGGCTGTTGATTGTTCTGGATCGGACATTGGGTGTGGAGAATCGTCGGGCCGTGATGGGGGATGGAGTTCCGTGTTGACTTGTGCTTCACTCTTTTCTTGATGAACTTTTCTGCCGTACGTTTCTTAAGATCACGACGTCGATTGGTGTCACAGACCTTAGCAATCATCCAATCGATTCACTAGACGAAAAGTTAGCCCGATAACAAGAATTTTTCGTGAAAAATTATATTTCATTCATCTAGTTTATTGAATTCGAATTTTTTTATCCAAAAGGAGAAATCTTATACCAGAATCATTTCACAAAACGATCTGGTTATTAAAATATATCGAAGAGAATGTGATAGAAGGAAATAGAACCTTTCGATTTCTTGGGAAGTGATTTTCCTGGCTTCTCTGTGAGCCAGGATGATCGCCGGTATTTGCATGAGATCGGTGTAACCTGGTAGGTAGCCCGGAGAACTGGTTGCTCTCTCGATGTTTATGCATCCGAGACGTAGAAGTCAATCGGATATTCTGAAGGAATCCTTGATCTCAGCCTGTCATCTTTTACCATGGGCCTCATCAGGCTGTTATCTATCTCACTGAGAAGGAAATTGCTCCCTCGCAGAAACGTTACGATCCCTGATAGTTCGCATTTTGATCTGACGCTTTTTCTGATATCTCTCTCTCTCTACAATTCTTCGTTCGGAGCGTGATATGAATGAATTCTCCGCTTCTAGTCTCGGAATTCAAGGTCTGTAGAGGCAATAATGCCAAATTTGGATAGCGTTGTTCGGTGATCAGATCAAACTCACTCACTGCTTCGTTGACTTTCCGTTTCCAGATTATTTCTGCTGGGTTTCTCAGGTGGCTAAGGAGCATGTCGAGAACAGAGGCCTGAGGAAGCAGAGAAAACCGTTTACTTGATCCAATGGACAGCAACTCTGGTGTCGACGAGGTACCGACCTCGTACTTCTGTCCTCATTACCTCGTCGACTTATGAGCATTTTCAGGTTTGAACCGCGTGATGCCCTGCAGGATGGAAAAGTCAGTGCTCGTGAGATCAAGAAGAAGGTTGGGGTCATAGTGGAAGAGTACTTTGCCACGGATGACGTCTCGTCGACAGCGAGCGAGCTACAAGATCTCTGCTGCCCGAGCTTCCATTTCTATTTTGTGAAGAAGCTGGTGTCCACGGCCATGGACAGGCACGAGAAGGAGAAAGAGATGGCGGCGGTCCTGCTGTCCATCTTCTATGCGGCTGTGATCGACCCTCCTCAGGTTTACAAGGGCTTCACCGAGCTCGTCGAATCCTGCGACGATCTTCATGTGGACATTCCAGACGTGGTGGACGTCCTCGCGCTCTTCATAGCTCGTGCCGTCGTGGACGACATCCTCCCGCCGGCGTTCTTGACGAAGCAAGTCGCCTTCTTGCCGGAGAATTCCAAGGGGGTGGAGGCCCTCAAGAGAGCAGAGAAGAGCTACCTCTCCGCCCCCCTTCACGCAGAGATCGTCCTGAGAAGATGGGGCGGAAGCCGGAGCACCACCGTGGAAGACATGAAGAACCGGATCGGCGATCTGCTGGCGGAGTATCTGGTCACCGGCGATAGGGTGGAGGCTTGCAGGTGTATTAAGGACCTCAAAGTCCCGTTCTTCCACCACGAGATCGTCAAACGCGCGCTGATACTCGCCATGGAGCGGAGAGAAGCGGAGGGTTTGATTCTGGAGCTGCTGAAGGCCTCTACTGCAGAAGGGTTGATCAATTCGAGCCAGATCTCGAAGGGGTTCAACCGGATCATCGAGGCCGTGGACGATCTGTGCCTGGATATTCCGAGTGCCAGGGAGCTGTTGCAGGGGTTGATCTCCAAGGCGGCCTCGGAGGGTTGGCTGTGCAGGTCCTCTCTGGTGCCGCTTCCTCTTCTGCCGGAGAAGCCGCTGGAGGACGACGCCACTAGGGTTTTCAAGACCAGGGCCGCAGGCATCATCCAGGAGTATTTCTTGACGGGGGACATCCTCGAGGTGATCGGCAGTAGAGAACTGGGGAATCATTTCTCCCCGTCCTCCGCGCAGTTGAACGCCATTTTTGTGAAGAAGCTGGTGACCATGGCGATGGACAGGAAGAACAGGGAGAAGGAGATGGCGTCCTTGCTTTTGACCTCGCTGCCTTTCCCGGCGGAGGACATCCTTGGGGGGTTCCTCCTACTGGTGGGGGACGCAGAGGATGCTGCCCTGGATGTTCCGGCGATCGTCGAGGACCTGGGGATGTTCTTGGCGAGGGCGGTGGTTGACGAGGTGCTCGCTCCCCTCCATCTGGAGGAGATCGCGAGTCAGTGTGGCGGTGACTCCGCCGGCGGCAGAGCGCTGAAGATGACCCGGTCCTTGCTGTCCGCAAAGCTTGCCGGCGAGAGGATCCTGCGGTGCTGGGGCGGCGGCGGGAGCAGCAGAACGGGCTGGGAGATCGAGGACGTGAAGGAGAAGATCGGGAGGCTGCTTGAGGAGTACGACTCCGGCGGCGATCTCCACGAGGCCTGCCACTGCATAAAGGAGCTGGGTATGCCCTTCTTCCATCACGAGGTGGTCAAGAAGGCCCTGGTGGCTCTCATGGAGAGAAAGAACAGCCGCCGGCTCTGGGACCTCCTGGTGCAGTGCTTCTCCGTGGGGTTGATCACCACGGACCAGATGGCGAAGGGCTTTAATAGGGTGGCGGACTGCATCGACGATCTGGCCCTGGACCTCCCAAGCGTAGAGAAGCAGTTTGCCCTGTACGTGGACATGGCCAGGCACGAGGGTTGGTTGGACTCGTCCTTCTCTTTCTCCTCTACCTCTGGAAGTGGGGACTGCATCCTGAGGTAGGGGACGGTCGGCGATTTTCATAGAAAGCTCCTACATAGTATTTTATAACAGAGATACCTGCAGAAGTTCATATATTTTTCGAATCTTCAATATGGCGTATTTTCGTTGTATGCAAAATTTCAACGGAGTGTGAACACAATTTTTTAGATTATTCTGTCAAATGTCAATAATGAGAGTAATATGGGGGCTTTAGGAATAGCCAATGGGGCGGCTCATTTCTCAAAACAACGCCATCGGCTTGATAGCCTATAAATTAGCATGGAAATCCATGTGAGTTGCATGGAATAGGGAATCTGGCTCCGAATATATAGGGCACGACTTCTGAACAAAGAAACTAGGTTCTAAATTTGAATACTCAAAGGTTTGTTGGGACAATCCTTGAATCTACAATGGAGTCACTCAAATCCACAAGCAAAGAGAGAGGAACTTGAAAGAGGGAAAACTTGTACTAACCAAGCTGGGCTTTAAGGTTATAGTGTGGTGGCCACTAAATAGGTTGAAAATTAGTTGAGACATTCCTAAAAGTAAAGTCAATTGAGAAGCACACCCAAAACAATTTAAAACAAGACAACTACTAAGACCTCAATTATTCACATTATTCACACATTTTATTTTACGAAATAAATTTCAAAATGCCTTTCCAATAAGACCTCAATTAAAAACCAAGATTTTGACATGTTATTCAGGTACTTTATTTGGGCTTTCTTTGATTTTTGAACTCTTATGGATCTTCTCATTTTTGTAGTCCACTTTTCACATTTCTAGAAGGGTTGGATCATCAGTTTTGAACTTCTTTGAGTGTTTTTCTAGATGAGTCTATCTTGCTTGAAATGAACTCATCCTTAGGTCTTCATGTGATTCTTCATAGTTATCCTAACTATTGATCACACATTTTTTGTTATTAATTCTTTTGTAGAATTTTTTAATGAATCATACTTCTTTGATATCAACTTATTATGAGTACATGTTAAGAATCTTTCTTTCTATAAGTGTATCATGACTAAATCAACCACTTCAAAAGTATTGTTTCACTTTTTCTTATCAATGAATTTCTCATAATGGTAGTTGATTGAAATACACTTCTTAACACTTTCATAGACTTCTCTAATGTGATTGTTCATTGTATTAGTTATTCCTATTTATTTTAATAATTATGTGAGATTTATAATAAGATTTAGATAAAATTAAATAATTAAAAATAGAAATTGATTTGTGAAGAAATTGATGGTAGAATTGTAGATAAACTTTACTTTGAGTCAATCTTATTTCAATATTTTAGTTATCTCTTGAAATTCAACAAATCAAATTGTTGAGCATTATGATTACTAGAGTTGAACTATCTATTTGAGGTTGATTATGATGGGACCCTTTTTCATATGAGACAGTGATGTGAGAAAAGAATAAGGTGGGCTGAGGGTGGGAAATTATATTGGAGATAAAAAGAAAAAAAGGAAAAAGGGGTAGGCTAGAATATGAGAGAGAGAGAGACAGAGAGAGAGAGACAGAGAGGGTTCATCAAAAAGGATTTCTTGAGATTAACCATGTTGACAGAGTCCTTATTTTTTCACTAAGAAATATAACCAAGCTATGGACTGCCTTCTCTTTTAGACAAGGCTTCATTTTATAATAGTTAGTGGACTGATGACCTATCATCATACACACTCAATTTCTACTAGCCTTTTTGTTTTGTCACCTTCTGTTTGAGTTGTGGTCTTCTATCTGCCACTACCATCATTATCTTGCGCACGTGACAATTAGGATCGTCTTTAACATGGATGAGAGAGGGATGTGAGTGCCTTATCAATATTTTCTCCTGAAATTCTTACCTTGTCCACAAGGTGAAATATTGAGAACTTTTGGTTGATGGTTTAGGCTAATTCCCATGTAGTCTATGAGTTGGGCAAAATCTATCTAATGAATTAGAACTTTCATCTCATGTTGTTCATGTTGTACTTTGAGGATTTCAGATAGTTGCACAACCCAATTAAGGTCATCGCACAAATTAATGGGCTAACTGAATTTAGTTAAATTGATCCATCCACCTTCTTGAGATGTGAGATGTAAAACACAAAATGGATAATTGTTTGTGGACTAATAAGCAACTGACCCAATATGGTGTAGGATCCTAAATGGGCCAAAATAGCATGGGCCTAATTTTTCATAAGGTTGCCATGTAGGGGGCTTTAGACAATATCACTATAACTGAAGGTAGACAAAGTCCCCTTTTGTGAACCTAAGATCTTGGTGTTTCCAGTTGGAGTTGGCTTTCATCTACACTAGAACTTGTGTAAGATGTTGCTTGAGTTGGTTGATGGCTGAGGTCACCCAACCTCACACATTGAGATTCATATTAAAGGAGGATTAGTGGGTGACACCAAAACATAATCTTGAAGGTTATAGGTGTGAAAGTTTTTGTTCTACCAGAAGTTGGTCCATATTAAGCATGTACTCTATTGCCAATTATAGTCACTATGAAATGACAAAGATATGTTTTGAGCCTCATATTAATCAATTATGATTGGCCATCTATCTAAGGGTGATATGCATTGGTTTGATGAAGGGATTCCCCTTGAAGTTTGAATAATTCATTCTAAAAATTACTCATGAGATATAATTATGTTTGGTGATGATAGAAATTAAAAATCCATGTAGATGAACAAGGATAAGAATAAAGATTTTGATGATGTCATAAATTATGAATGAATGCCTAAGGGAGGAAAAATAATTATATCTATTCAACCAATCCACCACCCCCAATATGGTGTCAAATATGTCAGCTTTATGTAGTACTTCAATGAAATTTATGATTATGTCATCTTAGATTATGTCCAAAGTTAGTAGGGGCAGAAGAAAACTAGTTAGGGAGAGGGATTCAAATTTATTTTTATAAAAACAGAACATACTGGAATATGCTTGTTGACACTATCTATCATGGCAATCTATGTCATATTTTACATGAATACAATGTTCACATGAATTCTAAACGTCCACTAATTGTTAAGTCGTTAAATTTTGATAAGAGGTTGAGATCATAGTAAAACTTTTGGAGATCACTAGTTGCTTGTGATATAATGTGTTTGATAAGTATTAATTATCATGAATTAATAATTAATTAATAATATATTTTAAACCTTAACTCATAATAAATATATTTATATTTATATTAAAGTATGGAAATATTTTTTAATTAGTTAATGTGAATTTTTGGTTAAATATGTGATTTTATTTTTATAATCATATTTTTGAGATAAATGAAGATAAATAAAATAAAATAAAAATATAGAAAAAGTGGAGGACTTACAGAATAATTGAGCTCGCAAGTAGGTCAATAGTACAATTGAGCGAAGCCACGAGTAAGGGGCTCGAGTGGCTAAAGACTAGTAGGGGACACATGTGTAACGTCACTCCTTTTCCACATCACCTGTGGCCAGTCAAGCATAGGGGAAAGAGTGGTCGTATACATGGGAGAAAGAGACTTATTGATAATAAAATCTTATATTACTATATATTCATCTCAAAACTCAAAAAATAATTGATGTGAGATTAAACTAACATCACAATATATTTATTTTTTTAAAAATATTTTTAATACTTAAATACTTATTTTTATGAGAAGTATATATCCTTATGACATCACTTTATAAGAATATTCACCTATTTATTTCACTCTCTCATATAGATAGACAACTAGTAAAGGTTTGAATCTCACTAGAGTCAAAACTCATATTTTTATTTAATTATATCATAATTTTTCATATAAATTGATAGTCAATAATTAAACGATCAAAATCACTTAATCATTGGTGAAAATTTTGTTTATATAATTTACAAAATATCATTACTAAAATTATTATATGATTATAGATAAAAAGATTATGAATCTATCAAGTAAATTATCTCTAATTGATCGACAAACAAGTTATTGTTGAAAAGAAGACGATCTATTGTGAGATGAGTTGTCACCTCTTAAGAGCATATCATATATGATGAACAGTCTCACTTTGCTACACGAATTTGAGGTAAAGCTCTATAAGAAACACTACATTTTCATCTAACTTATCTCCATTGAGTGACAATCGTCAGAGTTCTACAAAGTCATGATTTTTCTACTTTGTCAGGTGACAGCCACCAAAGATGATTTGTTAATCCACCTCATCAATATCTAGACTTCAAATAAGATCTAGAGATTGCCCACTTTGTTCATATCTAAGGAGAACCTTTGAGGCTGTACATATTGTACAATAATTTTCCTCAACATTCAAGATTCTAATGCATTATTGCCGTGACACTAGAACTCTATTTTATCATTTTAAATTAATTTAACTTTCACTATTATTTTTTGTAGTTCAAAAGGAGATACAAAGAATGCTCAAGTTATCTATATATAAGGAGAGTATTTGAGGCTATAGACACCACACAATAATCATTTAGAACACATATAATTTTAGTGATTGCTATTACGAGATTGTAACTCTGTCTTTCTTACTTTTAACTTAACTTTTACTTAATTTAATGATAACTTATGTGATTTCAAGTTTTTAAAACCTTCTTCATTCAAATATGATTCTTTTGACTTTTACAAATTTAAATTTGATCAATTAAATTATCTATAATCATTTACATAAGAATAAACAAACATATTTTATTTTTGCTTGATTCATGTTTGTCAGGCTACTGACGTCATTTTAATGTCCTCACCCTTATTTTCTTTTTTGTAAATTTTAAATATATTTTATCTTTATTATTTAGTTCAAAATTATAAAGAAACTATATTTTAAAAAATAATTCTAAAATATTACCTTATATTATATTACATCCTTGTGATCGACTTGAAAATTCTTTATTATTTTGTAAATCTCTTATTTAATTATAATTAATTTATTTATTCTGACATATTTCTAAAAAATTAAAATTATATTTTCTAATTTTATAAATTTTAAATTTGTGTCATTTATTATAAAAAAAATTAAGACATGATGTAATGAATATTTGGGCTGTTTCTCTAGATGGTTAGAATCTTTTCATAATGGTTAGGAGTTGAGGGTTGACTAATTTTCTTGCAAAACTTCACCTAGATCTATTAGTTTAGGTTGAGCTATTTATTTGCTTGCAACCAAGCTTGGTCAAGGATTTGAGATAAATCCTTGATGGTCTAATTTCCATTCCAGCTTCGTATCTTATTTTGAAATCAAAAGTGATAATTTCTTAGAACTATTTCTAATAATTTGAAAAACTTGTTATTATTCTATGATGAATTTCAAGCCACATTGATCAGTAAAAAATACTAATTTTCTTCTGAGTAAATGGTATTTCCATTTTGTACTGCGAAGACAATAGCTATAAGCTCTATCTTGAAATATTGGGAGTTTTGTATATATGTATGTAGACTCTCTAGTGCATTCTATGATGTCATATCCCATGGTGCATTTTTCTTCACCAACTGCAAAGGAATCAATAGAGCCTAACTTAAGAACACATAGCGTCATCTATTGCATTAGTACAACTTTAATTCTCAAGCTGAAATCGTGTACTTCTAATTCAACATCCAAGACAAAGCTAGGAAGAGCTAGTACAAGAGCTGAAGTCAGAGTAGTTCTGAGATGTTGAAAAACACTCTCAATGTTTGGGTTCCAACTTAGTGTGCATTGCACTTGAGCTGTTTTGTGAGGACCAATACAATAATGCCATACTTTGCAATGAAGTGGCAATAGTATCTAACTAATCCCAAAAATCTCCAAAGTCTATGAAGGTTGGAGTTAGAAGGCCATCATTGGACTGCTTCTACCTTCTCTTGGTCAATAGTCACCACTTTTGTGGATGCCTAGTGGCCCAAGTATGTGGTCTTAAGTCGTTGAAAAGGGTATTTCTCTAGATTGACATGTCGTTGGTGTGATTTCAGGGTGTTAACAACCAAGGTCAAGTATTGTTCGTACACCTCAGAGTCCCAATTGTAAACGAAAATATAATGGTAGAAGATCAATATAAACTTTGGAGAAATCTACAGAAAAACCTTCTTCGTGTGTTGTCAGAACCTTTCGTGCGTTCAGAACATTGTCTTCAGAATGTCTTTTGCTTTAATTTAGAGCTAGGCATGCCCTTCTTCCATCACGAGGTCATCAAGAAGGATTTAGTGTTCTCATGGAGAAGAAGAACGACCGCTGGCCCTGAGAATTCCCATTTCAGTGCGTCACCTGGGGCTGATCACCAGGGACCAGAGGGCGAAGGTCTTTGAGAGGGCTGCAGAATACACCGACCCATTCACTAAAATCATCCGGCTCTGTAATCAGCCCAGTATTCTATGAATCAATACGGAAATCCATTCGATAGCCAACACGTGGCATCTCTCTCTCTCTCTCTCTCTCCTACCTAACTTTCTCGCGCAGCTGAACACGTGAACATGCCCTCTTCACGAATCGGCAGAAAGAGACTTCCTCCATTGTGAGTCTAAAGTCAAACTCCGAAAGGGAGAATTTAACAAACTCGACAGTAGCGTGTTGAGTCTGTGTGATGACTTTGGATTGGTATTGACTTACTTGCACGCGGTTTGACTCTCCTCACTCTACGTAGATTCCGCTCATTCTCAGGTCAAAATTTGTCTTCATTACTTAGGACATAATAATAAATTCGAATTAGTAATTTTTATATATTGTAGTTGAATAATGGTATCCGAGAATGGGAATGCTGCTTGGAGAATGACTTCCGGTATTGGATATAGGAAAACCATTCTTTCCTTTCATACGAGCGTTTGGTAGTGAGAGTCAACAGTTCACATTCTCCTCACCGGTACAAACAGATTAACGCTTCCCTCCCTTCAAATATCTGAAGAAGGCGGAGCTCGCGGGTCCTCTTTCTCTCTATCTCTCTATCTCTATCTCTACCCTTCTCTCGTGATTTCCAGGAAAGGATTGAGAACAGAGGAACGCGTCCCTCGTGAGAGTTAACGCTTTGACGACGTCCCCAATTTTGGGGCGGTCCTTCCGTGATTCCTCCGAGCACAGCAACCCGAGTTTGAACACGGAAATGAGGCAGTGGATCATCAGGTTCCTCCGAAGACCGACGATGGATCCTCCATCTCCGTCCTCCTCTTCTCCTTCCCCAGAAAGCAGCTGTGGATCTGCGATGGCCATCACCTGATGAGGGAGCCCCTCCACGACGAAGCTGCGGAGGGTCAGCCCCTCCAGGAAAATAGGATCGGTAGGTCTCTTCCCGGTGAACATCTCCAGCAGCAGTATCCCGAAGCTGTAGACATCGGTGCCAGTGGAGAGACTGCCGAGAGTTGCCGACTCTGCATTAATAAACACATCATTCGCTCCATTAAACGGATTAACATCGCCAAAACCTTCGCTTTAGATCCAGATAGGAGAAAATACAGAGCTTCAGCTCCAGAACAGCAGTGGAATGTCGTACCTGGGGCGACATACCCGATCGTCCCCTTCAATCCGATCGAGCGGGTCGTGCAGTGGGACGATCCAGAGGAGAGAAACCTCGCGAGGCCGAAGTCGCTCACGCGGGCGGTCATCTCATCGTCCAGAAGAACATTTCTCGGCTTCAGATCCCTGTGGATTATTGGGATGTCGATGCACTGGTGGAGGTACTCGATCGCGGAGGCGACGTCAATGGCGATACTCAATCTCTGAAGAAGGTCGAGACTCCTCGCCGGCTTGGGGAGGCCAGAGTCCTCTGGGTGGATCCACTGGTCCAGCGAGCCGTTGGGCACGAGCTCATAAACCAGGGCCTTGAACTCGTTGCCCTGGAAGTCGGCGCCGGAGAAGGAAGCCAGGATCTTGACTAGGTTCCGGTGACGGACGTTTCCCAGGGTCCCGAATTCCGCCATGAAGCTCCTCGCGGCGTCGACGCTTCCCAGGTCGAGCACCTTCACAGCGACGGGCACCTTCCTTTTCCCCAGCTTTCCTCTGTACACGCAGCCGTGGGCTCCCCTCCCGATGAGATTTTCCGGAGAGAAACCATCCGTGGATCTGTGGAGCTCCCCGTAGGAGATTTCTCCGAGATGGGACGGCAGTGGCTTCTGCCCCGAGCTCCTCTTCTTCTTCCAGCAGTAAGCGAAGAGGGATGCCGTCATCAGGACGACGAACAGAACGACCCCGATGGGGACGACAACCTTGATCACGACGGACCTTCTCCGCTGTCGACACGGCCGGAGAAGCATCCCTGGATTGCCCCCACAGAGACCTTCGTTCCCTACGAGAGAAGTTGCACTGCCGTTTTCGAAGATCCCCCCGCGGGGTACCTCCCCCTCGAGGCTATTGTAGGAGAGATTCAGACGCCGGAGGCTGAGACCCTCCAGGAACTCCGGCACCCCCCCGGACAGTCTGTTGCGCGAGAGATCGAGTTCTTGGATTCCTTTGAGCTTGCTAAGCTCCCAAGGAATGACTCCTTGGAAGAGGTTGCTCTCCAATAGGAGGAACTCGAGCACCTGGCAGTCGCCGATGGAGGACGGGATCTCGCCAGACAATCTGTTCCGCGAGAGGTTGAGAGTGTTCAGATTCTTCAACTTGCCGACCTCCGGGAGCAGAGACCCGATCAGATAATTCCCGGACAGATCGAGGTGGAGTGAGAGAGAGGTGAGAGAGAGGATCTCCCTTGGTATTTCGCCATGAAGACGGTTATCCGAGAGATTCAGGGCCTGGAGATTTCTCAGGCCTCCAAAGTCTGTGGGAATCCTCCCCTCCAGCAGGTTCCCCCCCAGGGAGAGCTTTGACAGGTTAGAGAGACCACCCAGAGAAGGTGGGATCCCCCCGGAAAGCATGTTCTCCTCCAGACTCAGCTCTTTCAGATTTCCCAGCTCCCCAATGGAGGCGGGGATTCCTCCCGTGAAGAGATTCCTGCCCATGCGGAGCATGCTGAGCCCGACGAGGCTCCCAATTCCCTCGGGAATCCTCCCGCCAATTTGATTCTCTTCGATGCGCAGAATCTCCAGCTTTCTCGAGAGGTTGGCGATGGCGGGGGGGAGAACTCCTCCCAGGCTGTTGTTCTTAATCTCCAGCTTTGTTAAGTTGCTGCAGTTTGTCAGAGAGCTGATGAAGCTCCAGTCCTCTTCTCCACGAGCTTGGAAGCTGTTGTCGGAGAGGTCCAAGATTCTCAAGCCCTGGAACTTTCCTAAATCGGAAGGGATCACACCTTCAAGCCTGTTTAGGGAAACCTGGAGGATCTCTAAGCCGGTGGCGTTGGAGAGGAACGGCGGGAGGGCCCCTTCGAACTGATTTCCAAACAGATAGAGTTCCTTTAGGTTGGGGAGGGTTTGTCTGGGGTCCCGCGGGAGAGGGCCAGAGAGCTGGTTAAACCCGACATGCAGCATACTGAGAGAGGAGATATTCCACACGGACGAGGGAATCCTGCCCGATAATCTGTTCACATACACGTCGAGGAACTTCAGGTTTTTCAAGCCGCCGAGCTCGCCGGGAATCTCCCCCTCGAGGAGGTTCTGGAAGAGATAGAGGTGGGTCAGGCTGGATAGATTCCCTAGCCGAGGAGGTATTGCGCCGGTGAAATGGTTGGTGAAGAGGTAGAGCACCGTAAGGTTCGAGAGGTCGCCGAGCTCTGGAGGGATGCTTCCTCGGAGGCTGTTATTGGAGAGGTGGAGTATTCCGAGAGTGGAGATGTTCGCGAGGGAGGAGGGGATGGGTCCTGTGAGATTGTTGGAGGAAAGTGAGAGGAATTGGAGCTTGGGGAAGGAGCCCAGCTCTGGCGGGATCTTCCCGCGGAGATTGTTGTTCCTCAGGTCCATGCGGAGGAGCTCGGAGCAGTTGCTCAGAGCGGAGGGAATCTCGCCGGAAAGGGAGTTGTCGCGGAGGATGACCAACTGCAGGGCGGCGAGCCGGCCGAGCTCCCCTGGAATGGCGCCGTCGAGCCGGTTGTCCGAGAGGTCGAGCTTGGTGAGAGTGGAGATGTTCGCGAGGGAGACGGGGATGGGCCCTGTGAGCTTGTTGGAGGAAAGTCTGAGGAGCTGGAGCTTGGGGAGGGAGCCCAGCTCCGGCGGGATCGGGCCGGAGAGGGAGTTGACGTCGAGGTTGACCTGCTGCAGGGCGGTGAGCCGGCCGAGCACCCTTGGAATGGCGCCGTCGAGCCGGTTGTCCGAGAGGTCGAGTATGGTGAGGAACGCGATCCCGGAGAGACTGGGGGATATGCGCCCTGCCAGCTGTGTCCCGTTCAGTGCCAGCTCCGTCACCCGCTCCGCCGTCCGGCCGCCGCATGTAACGCCGGGCCACCGGCAAAGTGGCGTGGACTCATTCCAAGTGTCCATTACCCCCAGCGGATCCTCGGAGATCGCCCCCTTGAAGGAGAGGAGAGCTTCTCGGTCGGCCGACGAGTCCGCAGACAGCAGAGGGAGAAGGAAGAGGAGGAAGAGATCAGGGATAGGAAGCCTCATTCTGCGCTCTAGTTGGAATCTCTGGTCCGAGTACATCGTTCCCCAGATTAAAACGAACGTAGAGGGGGACGACGCCGTCCAATTTCCTCCGGCGTCACTTTCCCTATTAAAAACGTAAACATCAAACCCAGATCTTTTTCTACATTCAATCTTCATCTGCTTCATTTTCTTCTTTGGTTGAGCGAGTCGACTGAGGGGATAAATGCAGGTAAAGATGAGAGAACTGTGGAACCCAACCTCGGTGTTGTCATGCTGAAATTTAAATTAGCTTGAAGTAACTAATGAGAGAGAGAGAGAGAGAGAGAGAGGGAGGGAGAGAGAGAGCTAGAGATAGAGATAGAGATAGAGAGAGAGAGAGATAGAGTGTGTGTGTGTGTGAGAGAGAGAGAGGGAGGGAAAGATGGAGAGAGAGAGATAATTTTTTAAACATTTAAAATTCTGCGATCATGTGAGATGTTTTCTAAGTAATTTTGGAGATTTTTTTCTTAATTTTTGATATTTTTTTCTGAATTTTTATGAACCTTTTAGAATTTTTAATATGTTTTTTTGCAGTTTTGTGAGGTTATTAATATAAAACTAAAAAATAATAAAATAATAAAACAGGGGGATCCGCTAGATACTAGCACTTGTCATTTGACTAGTATTAGTGGGTGGACCATAGATCAGGAGAAACGATGAGCTAGGTTCATGTGACTCAAGGGCCCATGTAGACCATGTGTGTGTCACTCCTCTTTCACACCACTAGGAGGGATTGGTGTTGTATGAGAGCAGAACAGCTGTTTTCTTTTCTCTCCAGGTGATCTTAGTCATTTTGTTTATGACAAAAGACTATTGACTTATATAATCATAATAACCATCAAAAACCAACGTATGACTAAACCTTCATGAGCATTGGTTTGGTGGAGCACTGGTTGACCATTGACTTATTCGTTGTATACATTAAGTCACACAATTTTTTAATTTATAAACTTTAAAAAATATTAATTTTCAAACTTTTAGATTCGATATAAATGCCGAATGCAATCACATGATGTAAATACCGATGAAATCGAAATCTGTAAATGCCGAATGAATTATAATGAAATAAATAAGAATTTCGAAACTTACATTCCTCCGCCACCTCCATCGTCGTCATCTCCCTCCACTGCTACCGTCTCCCATCGTCAATGCCGCCGTCGCCCGTCCTTCACCACTGCCCGTCCGTTTCGCCACCGTCTGCCACCCATCCATCGCCCGTCGCCGCCACTGCCACCGCCGCCTTCTCTCTCTCCACCCGCATGAGCGGTTCAGGTTGGCCCCTCGCCTTCCACCGGTCAGAGTCAAAAGGAAGCCGGCTCGCGATACCGCGAACCGGCATGAACCGGATCGGCTCAGCCTGAGCCGACCGCCCCACTGTCTGATCCGAGCCCAATCAGCTTCACCACTCGACCTAGCCACCTTGACGATCCAACCCAGTCAACTGATCCGTCAGCCCAGCCAACCAAGATCACCGGCCCAATAAGCTTATTAATCCTAGGGCCCTTCTCATAGCCCATTAATAATCATAACCTCAATAGACTACAAACAAGGCAGGCCCAAGAAGCCCAACCCACCGGGTCGTCCCGCATCACTCTGGCGTTTTAGAGCCCCAATTTGTCTCAACATAACTCCTTAAGAAGGCTCTGGTGGCCCATGAATCGTTAAAGGGAACCCACACAATTGCCGACACGTGGCATGACTGCCTCTATTACTTTCTCGTGCTTGTGAACGTCAGTGCAACACGTGGACATACCTCCTCCATTTTGCGTCGAAAGTCAGTCTCGGCCATGACGGCGGCTTTTGACAAACTCGACGTCCGAGTATTGACTCCGTGGGATGCATCGGGTTAGTATGGACTCACTTGCACGCGATTTGACTCTTATCACTCCGCGAAGATTCCGCTCGTTCTTAAGTTGATGTTGACTTTCATTATTTATGATATAATAATAAATTCAAAATAGTAATTTATTATAGCGTGCAAATTGAATAACGCACGGTATGATAGGAATGCTGCTGGGAGATGAGAAAGGGAGATGGAGGATGACTTTCCGCAAATGGATGTTTGAAAGCCATTTCTGACCGTTCATACGTAGCGCCATAATAAGAGACGACGGGTCAGCGCTCCATCGGAATCAGGAAATGGCCGGCCAGCCGGATGAGCTTCATTCGCATGCTCCTCATCTTTACAGAGAGATGGGTTCCACCGCTAAAAGTATCTGGAGAAGGCAGAACTCCCGGATCCTCCCTCTCTCTCTCTCTCTCTCTCTCTCTCTCTCTCTCTCTATCAATCTTACTATCTCTATCTCTATATCTCTATCTCTACATATTTTTCCTGAGCCCCAAGATGGGGTTCAGACCGAAGGAAGACATCCCTCGTGAGAGTCAACGCTTTAACGACGTCCCCAATTTTCGGGCGGTTCCTCTGTGATTCCTCCGCGCACAGCAGGCCGAGTTTGAACACGGAAATGAGGCAGTCGATCATCGGGTTCCTCAGGGGACCGACGTCGGCTCCACCTCCGTCCTCTTTTCCATCCCCGCACAGCAGCTGAGGATCTGCGATGGCCATCACCCGGTGAGGGAGTCCCTCCCTGACGAAGCTGTGGAGGGTCAGCCCCTCCGCGAAAATGGAGTCGGTGGGTCTCTTCCCGGTGAACATCTCCAGCAGCAGTATACCGAAGCTGTAGACATCGGTGCTGGTGGAAACTCTGCCGAGAGTCGTCAACTCTGCGTTAATAAACACAGAAATCTCTTCATTAAACGGATTTAAATCGTCAAACCCTTCGTTTTAGATCGAGGTAGGATAGAAAACAGAGCGTCGGCTCGAGAACAGCCGTGGAATGTCGTACCTGGGGCGACGTACCCGATCGTTCCCTTCAATCCGATCGAGCGGGTGGTGCAGTGGGACGATCCAGAGGAAAGGAACCTCGCGAGACCGAAATCGCTCACGCGGGCGGTCATCCCATCGTCCAGAAGAACATTTCTCGGCTTCAGATCCCTGTGGATTATTGGGATGTCGATGCACTGGTGGAGGTACTCGATCGCGGAGGCGACGTCAATGGCGATGCTCAATCTCTGAAGAAGGTCGAGACTCCTCGCCGGCTTGGGGAGGCCAGAGTCCTCTGGGTGGATCCACTGATCCAGACAGCCGTTGGGCACGAGCTCATAAACCAGGGCCTTGAACTCGTTGCCCTGGAAGTCGGCGCCGGAGAAGGAACCCAAAGTCTTGACCAGATTCCGGTGACGTACCTGCCACAGGGCCTCGCATTCCGCCATGAAGCTCCTCGCGGCGTCGACGCTTCCCAGGTCGAGCACCTTCACAGCGACGGGCACCTTCCTTTTCCCCAGCTTTCCTCTGTACACGCAGCCGTGGGATCCTCTCCCGATGATGTTGTCCGGAGAGAAACCATCCGTGGATCTGTGGAGCTCCCCGTAGGAGATTTCTCCGAGATGGGACGGCAGTGGCTTCTGCCCCGAGCTCCTCTTCTTCTTCCAGCAGTAAGCGAAGAGGGATGCCGTCATCAGGACGACGAACAGAACGACCCCGATGGGGACGACAACCTTGATCACGACGGACCTTCTCCGCTGTCGACACGGCCGGAGAAGCATCCCTGGATTGCCCCCACAGAGACCTTCGTTCCCTACGAGAGAAGTTGCACTGCCGTTTTCGAAGATCCCCCCGCGGGGTACCTCCCCCTCGAGGCTATTGTAGGAGAGATTCAGACGCCGGAGGCTGAGACCCTCCAGGAACTCCGGCACCCCCCCGGACAGTCTGTTGCGCGAGAGATCGAGTTCTTGGATTCCTTTGAGCTTGCTAAGCTCCCAAGGAATGACTCCTTGGAAGAGGTTGCTCTCCAATAGGAGGAACTCGAGCACCTGGCAGTCGCCGATGGAGGACGGGATCTCGCCAGACAATCTGTTCCGCGAGAGGTTGAGAGTGTTCAGATTCTTCAACTTGCCGACCTCCGGGAGCAGAGACCCGATCAGATAATTCCCGGACAGATCGAGGTGGAGTGAGAGAGAGGTGAGAGAGAGGATCTCCCTTGGTATTTCGCCATGAAGACGGTTATCCGAGAGATTCAGGGCCTGGAGATTTCTCAGGCCTCCAAAGTCTGTGGGAATCCTCCCCTCCAGCAGGTTCCCCCCCAGGGAGAGCTTTGACAGGTTAGAGAGACCACCCAGAGAAGGTGGGATCCCCCCGGAAAGCATGTTCTCCTCCAGACTCAGCTCTTTCAGATTTCCCAGCTCCCCGATGGAGGCGGGGATTCCTCCCGTGAAGAGATTCCTGCCCATGCGGAGCATGCTGAGCCCGACGAGGCTCCCAATTCCCTCGGGAATCCTCCCGCCAATTTGATTCTCTTCGATACGCAGAATCTCCAGCTTTCTCGAGAGGTTGGCGATGGCGGGGGGGAGAACTCCTCCCAGGCTGTTGTTCTTAATCTCCAGCTTTGTTAAGTTGCTGCAGTTTGTCAGAGAGCTGATGAAGCTCCAGTCCTCTTCTGCCCGAGCCTGGAAGCGGTTGTCGGAGAGGTCTAGCCATCTCAAGCTCTGTAACTTTCCTAAATCAGAAGGGATCACACCTTCAAGCCTGTTTTGAGCGGCCTCGAGGAGTTCCAGACCTGTGGCATTGGAGAGGAACGGCGAAAGGACCCCTTCGAACTGGTTTCCAAACAGGTAGAGGGCCGCTAGGTTGGGGAGGGTTTGTCCGAGGTCCCACGGGAGAAGGCCAGAGAGCTGGTTATACCCGACATGGAGCACAATGAGAGACGAGAGATTCCAGACGGACGAGGGAATCCTACCCGATAATCTGTTGACATACACATCGAGGACCTTCAGGTTTTTCATGCCGCCGAGCTCAGCGGGAATCTCCCCCTCGAGGAGGTTCTCGTAGAGATAGAGGTGGGTCAGAGTAGAAAGATTCCCCAGCCGAGGAGGTATTGCGCCGGTGAAATCGTTGGTGAAGAGGTAGAGCATCGTAAGGTTCGAGAGGTCGCCGAGCTCTGGAGGGATGCTTCCTCGGAGGCTGTTATTGGAGAGGTGGAGTATTCCGAGAGTGGAGATGTTCGCGAGGGAGGAGGGGATGGGTCCGGTGAGATTGTTGGAGGAAAGTGAGAGGAATTGGAGCTTGGGGAAGGAGCCCAGCTCTGGCGGGATCTTCCCGCGGAGATTGTTGTTCCTCAGGTCCATGCGGAGGAGCTCGGAGCAGTTGCTCAGAGCGGAGGGAATCTCGCCGGAAAGAGAGTTGTCGCGGAGGATGACCAACTGCAGGGCGGCGAGCCGGCCGAGCTCCCCTGGAATGGCGCCGTCGAGCCGGTTGTACGAGAGGTCGAGCTTGGTGAGGAAGGCGAGCCCGGAAAGACGGGGGGATATGTGCCCCGTTAGCCGTGTCCCGTTCAGCGCCAGCTGCGTCACCTGCTCCGCCGTCCCGCCGCCGCATGTAACGCCGTGCCATTGGCAAAGCGGCGTGGATTCGTTCCAGGAGTCCAGCGCCCCCAGCGGGTCATCGGAGATCGCTCCTTTGAAGGAGAGGAGCGCCTCTCGGTCTGCCGAGGAGTCCGCAGACAGCATGGGGAGGAGGAAGAGGAGGAAGAGGAAGGGAGCAGGGATAGGAAGCGTCATTCTCCGATCCTGGTGAGCTCAGGGGTCCGAACACCTATTTCGCCAGATTAAATAGAGCGTGGACGCGGACGACGCCGTCCTATTTCCTCCTGCCTCATCCGAGGGAGAGACATACTCTATGAAGACATGCCCTTCATTATTTCAGAGAATGGAGGATACGAAGGAAATTTAAAGATTGTTTAGCTAGTTTAAACTAAAAAATTATGGCGATTAATTATTCGTCCTTTCGTAGTTCTGGCGTAGGTGTGAAAGGTTGATTTCCCCACCTGCCCTGAGATTTCCCTGCTTCATCGTTTTATGGGGATGGCAGATAATCGATGCAGAAGCCTTGAAATAACCAATTTTAGACGCTGAAATCGGATTTCTATTTTGAATCGTGGAGGGATAACCCACCTACCATTTCGAATTGTTATGGCTTCTTCTGTGGAGGGATTCTGAAGCGTTAGCGACCACTCTATCTCCTATTCAGTTCAGCTCGACTGGAGCGACCGAAATTCCTTGGCTGAGAGAGATTTCATCCATACGGCATGTTTTCCTCAGTACTGCTTCTGCGGAAGTGGCAGAGTACAATGCTAGAGAGATCAACACCGACCCCGGCGTGGTCTCGGGCAGCTCCCTGCCCAACCCTCCCCGCAGCTCCTCGAGGGAGGGGTCCATCAGGAAGCCCACTAAGTAAGCGCTGGTGGCGGAGGAGGTGGATCAATTGCCAGCATCCTGCACCAACGAGCTCGACCGGCGGGTCGGCTACTCGGCAGATCACCACCATGGCCGCCGCCGTGGGAGGCGGCAATGAGGATGAGGATTGTGGCGAGGTCAGTCTGCGGGAGTGGCTGGAGCGGCCGGAGAGGTCTGTGGACCCCCTGGAGTGACTCCACGTATTCCGTCAGTTGGTGGAAATGGTGAGCCTCGCCCACTCCCAGGGCGTCACCATCGGCAATGTCCGTCTGTTGAGACCTTGACAATCGAAATGAGCTCACAAGGAAAGAGGTCTCGAAGAAGCCGGCCCAGCCTAGGAACAAAACAAGGGGACAACCGCATGTAGGGGCCTGCAGGACTGGAGACGTGTGCGAACCCTCTGGAGCCCTGGTTCCTGGAGTTTTGTACGAAACAGGTTTATTTTATTAAACCGCTTCGCATTTTGACTCTCCATCACCGCCCCTGCTACATCATGTCCACCTTCGTCGAGTCCGCTTCCTGTTTGAGCTCTGGTTCCGATTCTTGCAGAAATGGCGGGGATCGGAGGACAAGGACGATGACGACGACGACGACGGCCGCAGCGGCAGAAGCAACCCATGCTCCACTGCTACGAGCAGACCTCGGATACCAGCTGCTTGAGATCCTGCTCAGCTCATGGGGAAGGGACGGGCCGGAGGAAGGAGGATGACAATGGTGGGAAGGAAGGGAGGGAGGTGGGGGAGAGGAAGAAGAGCTTCCCATTTAAGCGGACCCTACTCATGGAGTACAACTGGTACACAAGCCCCCAAAGAATCTGTGGCCAGCTCGGGCTCATTCGCATCAGATATCTACAAATTGGGCGTTCTTTTCTTCGAGGTCAGCATCTGATTCCGATCGTCCTCCCTCATTTTTTTCTTCCCATTATTATAATTTCGTTGCTGATATTGCTAATTTGGTCTTTACTCGCAGCTGTTCTGCCCAACAAGATCCTTCGACGAGAAGCTGTGGACCATGTCCAACCTGAGACACCGAGTCCTCCCTCCACCTCTGCTGCCCAAATGGCCCAAAGGAAGCTTCCTTCCGCCTGTGGCTGTTGCATCCTCAACCCAACACTTAAAAAGTTTATGCTGTCAGAAAGCTTGTTTGACTGATATTAAATGAGATTATTGAGTAACTAGAAATCTACAGGTATTACAATTTATCACAACTTCAAAACTTGGTTTAGAAGACTTCTAGGCCCTAGATTACAAGAGATTAGATAAAACATTGATGACTCAATTTTTATGAGGGTGTTTGAAAGTGTAGTAATAAATATGTAATCACATGATCACAGTAATATCAAAAACTCAATTTCTAGATATCATTGAGAACAAATAGAAGATAAATCACCAAATTATTAGAAATTCAGATGAGAACAAGACTTCTACTAAACACCTATAATCTACATCAAAATGTCTTTAAAATGACTTACACATCAGAGAGTCAGTAATAGACTCTTATCTCTTTCTTTAAAGATTTCACTTGTAATAGAAAAGAGAGGAGAGACTAAGAAAAAAGAAGAAAGTTGATGAAAATAGAGAATGTAATCAAGAAAAAGTTGTTATACTGAAAAAAGGAGAAATATATATCTTATTTATATATATATATATATATATATATATATATATAAAGTAACTATCCCCTTAAAATGAGGCATCTCAATCTATGTGTGGGTGAGCTCACACATTTTAGAGGTGATGGTTTTAACCTTCTTCATTTTTCACTCTATCTCTTCTTATGACCCCTAAATGAGTCAATTGTGTCATCACCCCTCACTCTTCACATGTCCTCCGAATAGGTCTGATGGGAAGAGGCTTCTAGTACATCTCCCATATAAGTCAACTAAGATGAACTAACACTACCAAGAAACTCTACCTTGGTAGCCATCATCATTGCACTTGGAATCGACGTCCATCCATGTTACAAGTTCTCTACCTTCTATAAGATACCTACAACATGAATCAAATTCAAATAATATTTGAACTTTTTCACTATAATGACTTTTGTCAACATATCTTTAGTATTTTTTTTTGTGTGACCTTTCTCTAGAGATATATCTACATAATTCACTAACATATGAATTTTGTGATATTATATATTAATATATTTTGACCGTGCATGATAGACTTAATTTTTTACTAAATAAATAACACTATAACTATCATAATGTAGAGAAACTTCACCATATCATATCCCAAGTTTACTCAACAATTCTTTCAATCCCAAGACCTTTTTGACTGTTTTAATATTTGTTATGTGCTCCACTTCAATTGTAAATAATGTAATAGTGGTCTAAAATATAAACCTTCAACTTGTAGGTTCATCAGTCACAATGAAAACATATCTTGTTGTAAATCTTTGATAATTTAGATCTCTGAAAAAATCTACATCAACAAAATTAATAATATAAAGATAATTTTATTTGTTAAAACAGATTTCAAAATTTAAAGAACCATTTAAATATTGAAAAGACCACTTCAATGTGCTCCAATGTTCTTTTCCTAGATTATTCATAAATCTGCTCACAAGTCTAACTACATGAATAATATTTAATCTTATACAAACCATAGTATACATAAAAGAGTCAACCACACTAATATAAAGAATTTATTTAATCTCAATAATATCTTATTTAGATGTTAGACACTGAGTATTAAATAATCTAAAATGACTAATTAAAAGAGTGACTATTGTTTTAACATTACTCATGCAAAATAAATCTACCACCTTCAAGAAATAACTCTTCAAAGTCAATCATAGCTAACTTAACTCATGATCTCTATAGATCTCTATATTAAGAATATTTTTTACGTCACTAGAATTTTTTGTGTTAAATTCATTACTCAATAATGACTTCAACTTAATAATTTAATGTGAATTATTTAAATTAATAAATATATCATCGACATAGAGTATCAAATAATTAGAAAATCATCACCATAAGTTCTCATATAAATAGAACAGTTAAAATCACACCTTGTGTAGTCAATATTTAACATGTAAAAGTCAATTTTTTTATACCACTACTTTGATGCTTATTTTAACTTATAAAGAGATTTCTTTAATTGACACACAAGATGTTCTAACCCCTACACAATAAAATCCTTTAATTGTTGTATGTAAATAATCTCTTCCAAATCTTCATAAATAAATACCATCCTCACATCTAGCTACTCAAGCTCTATATCTTCATGCGCAATAATAACTAACACCAAACAAATAAATGTATACTTCACAATAGGTAAAAAGATCTTTATATAATTAGTTCTCTACTTTTGTGTAAAGTCTTTTGTTGAGTAAGCCTTGTCTTAGACTATAGTTGGTCACCATCAATCATTGGTAACTTCTTCTTATACACTAATTTGCACTCAATAACTTGCTTCCCTATAAGAAGATCTACTAGTTTTCATGTGTGGCTATTGTCTAAAGATGTTTGTTCCTCAACTATTGTTATATCCACTTCTCTTTTTAGGATAATTAATTGACTCTTGAAAAATTATAGACTTTTCATTTCTTACAAATAATGTAAAGATATCATAATTATCAAAGCGAGTAGGAGGTCTTACTTCACTTCTATCTTATAAATAGTAATACAATTAGAAACATCTAACGATTTTGTAACTCATTCTTCACTCATAACATAACTAAGAGGAATCTACACAATCTCCACCTCTAGTCTTACTTTATCTTCATCATGAGTATCATTAGATTCTTAAATCATATGCCATGTAGAGAATGACTTCAACATGTGATCTTCATTAAAGATCACATCTTTATTAAAAATATTTTTTTCACCTCAGAATCACAAAGTCGATATCTCTTCATGTTAGTATTATAGCCTAATAAGATACATTTCTTCAACTATGAATGTAACTTTGATCTCTCATCAATAGGTGTAAGGATATATCCTAGACACTTAAATATATACAAATTTGAATAGTCAATAAGATTTTCAACCCATATCTCTTTAGTTGACTTCTCATCAAGAGTAGAATTTGATGATCTATTTACCAAATAAGCCACCATAGTCATAGTTTCTACCCAAAATTCTTTAGCAAGTCATAAATAATCTGCTCTCTCAATAATTGTATGGTTCATCCGCTCACTAATATTGTTGTGTTACAGAGTCTTCTTCACTATACAATAACGTTGAATATCATATTCATTATAAAATTGATCAAAAGTAGAATTCTTAAATTCTGTATTATTATTAGTCTGCAAAACTTTAATCTTCCTCCATATTTGATTCTTCATCTTAACACATCAAGTCTTGAACTTTACAAATATTTCTTGTGTTTCAAGAAAAATATCTAATTTTTTTTAGAAAAATCATCAACAAAGGTCACATCAACTAGACCACACACATCTGAATGAATATAATCCAGCACATCATCCATTTCATATTTTATTATCTTAAATGTCACTCTACACTATTTTTTCATGACATAGTACTTAAAAGAATTCAATTTGTAAGTTTTCACACTAGATAACAATCTTCATATATGTAACTTTTGCATACTTATCTTATTCATATGACCTAATCACAAGTACCATAAATAAGTGTCATTAGTCATGAAATCATATGATGTTATCAACACAAGCTCCACTATAATAATATTTTTTTTAAGTTTATAAATATCCACTTGTGTTGACATATTTCCTTCATCACAATGAGCACTCTGATAATTTTGAGGATCTAATTTTTACATTTGAAGTAACATTCATTCGCCTCCATAACTTTAAGTGAGATCAGATGTAATACTAGAATATGATGAACATTTCCAAACTCTTAGATCACCCCATCAAATATTCAAATTTTCATTAAACCAATGTCAACAACTTCATAAATCATATTATCTCTCATAGAAACAACTCTTGTTGCACTCATATATGAATCAAATTAGTTAATATTATGACATATATGATAAGAATAACTAGTATCAAGAATCTATGTGTTCGACAATTCTCTTAATTGTAACAAGATCATAATAGACTTCATCATCTTCTATCCTCAACATCCTCAACATTCGTTGAACTAGATTCACCTCTTATTATCTTATCATTTTGGTTCCTTGGAGAATTTTTTTGCAAGTATCCCTTCTTATAACACTTGTGACAAGTTTACTTTTTCAATTGATTTATTTATGCATTGGACCGACTCTTCTTATCTCTTGATGATCCTTTCTCTTTTTGTATTTTATGTTTTCTTCCACCCTTGATATATAAACCTTCATCATAAACCACATTAATATTTTTTTTTGAATGATAATATTTCATCAATAAATTAAGAACATCTTGAAGAACAAATGTTGTGCTACCATGGAATAAAGTTGTAACAAGATGATCATATAAATCAAGAAGAGAAACAAGTAGAATAATAATTATATTCTCATTAAAATATATATAATTTCATATAAAGTAAATCATTCAAAAATTAATTAAAATAATTAATATGAGATGTCAGATCATCTCTTTTTAACATGTGCAACCGAAATAATTCTCTTTAACGTAAATTTACTCATCATCAACTTTTGTGCACATCATTTCTCAACCTTCTTATAGAGTTTCTTTGGATTATATTCATCTATGACCTATTGAAGGACTCAATTAGACAAATATATATATGAATAAAACCTTCAACCTTATTCTTCATTATCTCTCAATCATTAGTATTGATTTTGTTTGGCTTTAGTTTATCCAAAATCTTATACAAGTTTATTTACAACATGAAACATACATGATGCTTCTAGAGATTAAAGTTAGATGACTTATTCAACTTATGAATATTAGTGTACATCTTAGAAGCCATAGTAAGTCCGTAAATAATCAAATTAATATTTTAATACCACTTGTAAGAATAAACATATAAACATATGATCACAATAACAACAAAAATTTAATTTCTAAATGTCTTTGAGAGAAAATAAAAAAGAAATCACTAAGCCATCAGAAATTTTGATGAGAATAAGACTTTCACCAAACACTTAAAACACATGTCTCAATACTGTTGAGATGGCCCACACACTAGATAGTCAACAATAAGCTCTTATCTCCTTCTATAAAGACTTTATCTACAATAGAAGACAGATGCAAAATCAAAAAGAGTAAGGAAGTTGATGAAGAAATAGAATGTAATCAAAGGAGAGAAAATTTTTGTCGTCCATCATATTCAAAAAAGGATAAATACATGCCCTATTTGTAGAAAAAGGAAAAGGTGATTGTCCCATTAAAAGGAGGCATCTTGATCTATGTATGGGCAACCCCAGACATCTTAGAGGTGATGGTTTCAACCGCTTTCATTTCTCTCTCTCTCTCTTTGCACGACCCCTACATGAGTCAAAAGGGATGGGGTGGCAACTATGTCACCGCCCCTCACTCCTTACACATCCTTGAACAGCTCAGACAAGAAGAGGCTCCTCACATGTCTCCCAAATGGGTCAGCTGTGATGGGCTGACACCCCCAATAGAAGGTGACCAATCTTGACAATTTTAGGGATCCTACTGCATCTTATAATGCAATCTTTTTCTGAAAAAAGGGCAATGTCTGGGATACGTGTATCTAACTGTTTATAAGGGTATGTGGTTGGGAGATCATGTGCGGCTAATTTTTTTATAAAGAAAGGGCAACAGCTGTTTCTTAATGTTCCGTGTGGGGCTTAGCCTAATGAAGGGTATTTGCTTGGCGGACTGTATCCGTAGAACAAAGTTAAAGAAAAGATTGGATTTTTAATGATTTCGCAGGTTTCTAGCTATCTGAGGATGCATGCAAATGCTGGTTGGAATCAAGAATATTTGATAAGGGGATCGTATTATATCTTATCAGGCCTTTTTTATATATATAGAAAAGTGTGAATTTTGATGATTTTATATCCATTTGTACGATACCTTCTTGCATCCAAATATCATCATCATCATCATGATCATCATGGGCATTGAATGGATCTTATGAATGGATAGTGGCCATGAGAAGAAATGGGTTTTTTGGCGCTATGATTAAGTCCGTTTATGTTCGAAAACCCTCGCAGTGAGGTTCTGCAGAGTGAGTTCCTCAATGAACCGAGAGATAGCCTGGAAGAGCGAGAAGCTGCGATCAAGCTGCGGGAGGAAATCGAGGACCAGCAGCTGCTGCTGGAGTTCCTCCTGCGGCTGCAGCAGTGCAAGCAGGAAACCGCCGACAAGCTTCACGACATAGTGTTCTGCCTGTCCTCCGACATGGAGGAGATCCTGAAGCAGCTGGAGATCGTGTAGAAGGACGGCAGATTCTACTCGGACCTCGAGCACGAAGACCACTTCGCCGTGGAGAAGGACGACTCGGTCAACTCGGGGTCTCGCCAACGGGTCCTCTCGAGGGTGCGAACCTATTACGAAGACAAGCGCAGTGAGCCTCTGAGCGACAGCCTGAGGTCGGAGTTGCAGCAGAAGAACCAGGAGACCATCTCCTCGACGAGCTGTCGGCTGATGAAGAACTTTAAGAAGCTGGAGGCCGCTTACTTCTCGACGAGGTGCAGGATGACGAAGCCGGGGAGCAGGCACGAGAGCAGGATCGTCGCTACCGCTGGGAGCGGCCCTGCGGTGAGCTTGGTGGATAATCTTCTGCCCTACAAGGAGGTTCTGAGTGAAACCAGACAGAGAGAATGGATCAGCCCATTTCTGGAAGGCCTGCGCAAGTACCTGTTCTTCAGCAAGCTGAGAATGAGGGCGGACCTGCGGCAGGGGGACCTGCTGAACTCCTCCAACCTCGTCTGCTCCCTGGGATTCGATCGAGACAGGGAGCTCTTCGCCCCCGCCGGCGTGAACCGGAAGATCAAGATATTCGAGTGCGACGTCGTCCTCAACGAGGATAGGGACATGCACTACCCGTTGGTGGAGATGGTCAGCCGCTCGAAGCTCAGCAGCATCTGCTGGAAAGGCTACATCAAGAGCCAGATCGCCTCCAGGGACTTCGAGGGCGTCCCCCAGGTCCTTACTTGCCAACCCTTCTCTCTCTCTCTCTCTCTCTTTCTCTCTCTGCGTCTCCCTCCTGCCCAAATCACTCACTCTCGCTCACTCTTGGTCTGCAGGTGTGGGATGTGACTAGGAGCCAGGTATTTTTGGAGAGGCGGGAGCACGAGCGGCGGATGTGGTCAATCGACTTCTCGCTCACGGATCCCACGAAGCTGGCCAGCGGGAGCGACGACGGGACCGTGAAGCTGTGGAATATCAATCAGGCAATCCCACTTTTGCACTTGGTGTATGTCGGCTTTGAAACTAAATGCGCTGCAGTCCTCTCTCGTTGCCATTTCTTTGAGCCACCTCCCTGCGCCGAGCTTTCCTCACGGGTTCTTCTTCATCCTCCTGTTGCAGAACGGGAGCACAGGGACTATCAAGACGAAGGCCAACGTCCACTCGGTGCAGTTTCCGCCGGATTCGGCGTGGTCGCTGGCTGTGGGACCGGCGAACTACCGGATCTACCTGTACGACCTGCGCAGCGCGAGGGCACCGCTGTGCATCCTGGTGGGCCACGCCAAGACAGTGAGCTACGTGAAGTTCGTTGACTCCTCCACTCTGGTCTCCGCCTCCACTGACAACTCCCTCAAGCTCTGGGATCTCTCCGCCGCCTCATCCAGGGTCCTCGAGTCCCCCCATTTCCTGCGGGGACTGTCTTGAAGATACATGCTAGAGGGTTAGGCCCTTTTGCAATTGTTAAACGAGTCGGATCAAATGCTTACGCTGTAGACATTTAAGTTGAATAGTAATCAGTCATATTTTTAACATTCAGATCTTATTCCTTATCAGAGATCACCGAATATTTCTAGCGAGTTATTTGTGCCAAATCTAATTGTTGAGAGCGAAAATGCCCAGATGTCCAACAACCAATTTTCCTACACGACAAGAGTAAATAGAAGATATATTAGATGGAAAAATAATATTTAATATTAATGGACAAAGATGGAGGTTTCTTGTTCATTGGGGGGATCATCTGGAGTAGTGGGAGCACTGCCAACATATAGTGGACCAAGACTCGTCAGAGCCGAGTTCTTTCAACCCAAAGGGCGCTGACGCAACATCGAGTCGCCTCACGACAAGTCAGCAAAAGCCTAATCAGCAGCTGCATGCGAGCAAAGGTTAGAGTCAAGATAGTAAATGGGATCGACGCTCTCAATAAAACTGTATGCCCATAGAACAACACAGCGAGGATAACGGTAGCGATGTGGCTTCATCATTAGGAAAACGGTTTCGGCGTACCTCTTGTCTTCAACGGCATCATAAACGCACTGAAAAGAGTGACTATCTTTATTACTTGCTTAATATGAGTTTTTTGAAAACATATAAGAGAGAGATGAGACTCAGAGGAAGGAAGTGAAGTTTTATGATGTGTTCTACGTTGATCTTGTTTAGATCCCGTTGCCCCAGCTTGGGTTGGTCGTGAGGATCCAGTTATTCCCGATCTGGAATATTTCTTCTCAACTCTCTCCTTCTGTCCCATTATCCCCACCTCTCTTATACCTATCCACATGTCGCACGAACCCATTAACTTTTTCTGTCGATATCTTATCGACCACTATCTACCATTCTGCGAGAACTTGGTTCGAGGTCCTCAGCAGGTCAGGCATCCACAGCATCTTTGTGACTGCCGTCGCCTCAGAACCTGCATAAGATCTTGGAATATCGCCGGCAGACCGTTGCTCTTCCACGATAACAGTAACCCCTTCCAGCTCTCCATTAATTTGTGGATGTAATATGTTTTCTTGCTCTATGTCGCTCGAGTGACCATAGGGTAACCAGTTAATACTATTTAGTTGATTTCACACCGTGATAAGAATAGTTTTCTGACGTGATAAAAATCAGGGCATCCTATCAGCGGTTTTTTTCAAATGGCTGGATCCTTCTCGTTTTCAATTGTGGGTGTTTTATTTAGATTATTCAAGATCTGTTCGTTTTATCTTTAATTCTGTGGAAATATCTACTAGAATTTATAGCCGTCTGCCTTCCCTCATTTCCATCCGCATCACCATCCACTACGCGGCTGTGATCGACCCTCCACGGGTCTTTACGGGCTTCACTAAACTCATCGAATCCTTCGACGATCTTCATATGGAGATACCAGATGTGGTCGATGTCCTCGCGTTCATAGCTCATGTCGTGGTGGAACGTCATTCTCCCGCCGGCATTCTTGACGAAGCTGGTCACCTGCTGGCTGAAGAATTCCAAGGGGGTGGAGGCCGTAAAGAGAGTGGAGAAAAGCTACCTCTCCGCCCCAATTCACGCAGAGATCGTCCTGAGAAGATGGGGCGGAAGCCAGAGCACCACCGTGGAAGACATGAAGAACAGGATGGGCGATCTTCTTGTGGAGTATCTGCTCACCGGCGATATGGTGGAGGCTTGCGAGTGTATAAAGGACCTCAAGGCTCCGTTCTTCGACCATGAGATCGTCAAACGTGCGTTGATACCGGCCATGGAGCGGAGAGAACCGGAGGGTTTGATTCTGGAGCTGCTGAAGGACTCTGCTACAGAAGGGTTGATCAATTCGAGCCAGATCTCGAGGGGTTTCAACCGGATCATGCAGGCCGTGGACTATCTGTGCCTGGATATTCCGAGTGCCAGGGAGCCGTTGAAGGGGTTGATCTCCAAGGCGGCCTCGGAGGGTTGGCTGTGCAGGTCCTCTCTGGTGCTGCTTCCTCTCCTGCCAGAGAAGCCACTGGAGGACGACGCCACTAGGGTTTTCAAGACCAGCGCCGTGGCCATCATCCAGGAGTATTTCTGGTGGGGCAACCGTCCCAGCCCCACCATTTGAAGGGACGGCGCCAGCACAGGAGTCATGCCACGTCGACATCGTCAACCTAGGATCCAAGATCCGAATTTTATTTATTATTAGGATTTTCCTTTCATTTAGTTTCCTTTAACGAATTCTTGATCTTATAAATAGGATTAGCGCGGTAATAGGCGGTTTTGGGTGGTGAATTTTGAAGATTTAGACATTATTTTCAGAATTTGCCCTAAGGTTTCCTCTCAGCCCCCGCCGCCGCCGCCGCCGCCGCTGAGAGGCGACCCTCATGTGCCCGTCCGCCCATCACAAGCGCACGACTCCCCCTTCCATCCACCCGTGATCCACCATTCGAGAGCTAACATCCAGTTTCTCTCGCTACCGATTGCACCGTTTGGCATCCGGCGCATTGTTGTCTACCGTCGGCAGTAGACGACGACATTCACGTCGACGAGTTTTGACTCGTCGTGAGACCCCGCTTTCAGGTCGTCGGCAGCCGACACAGCCGTATGCCCTCAGCCGACATGCGCGTGATTTTTCCCCGCCGCACGACTGCACATTGCCCTCTCGCGCGACGATTCCAACAGCCGCCCGTTTTGCCACGGGAATGTCAAGGTTTCCAGTTCCCATCTTTCACCGTCCTGCCGCAACTCGAGGCTCGCCGCACCGCCCCTCACGTTGTCTCAGCGCTGAAGGTACTCCCTTCACTCTTTGCTGATTCATATTATTTCATCCAGTATTTTCTTCTGTGTTTTTCCACTGCCATCGGATTTACGTGATAGATTTGCGTCTTCTCATGGTTAACCATCCGGGATTTTGAATTTGGAGTTTTACTTATCGTGGTGGTTGTAAGACAGTACTCCCTGAAGGGCTTGATCCAGTCTTATCGTGTAACGTCGCGACTAACTGTTTCTGGGAAATACTTTAGTGAAATTAATTTGGACATTTTCCCTTCTTTCGGGTAGTCATTTTCTATTTTCTATCGTTGGGAGTTATAACGGCGAGGATGGTGACAAGAAGAACACCAAGCCAACTCAGCGTGGAGTTAGTTGCATGGTGTCTCTCTCTCCCACGATGATTGACTTCCCTTTATAAGGGGCTATGTGTTCGACGTATTGACTGTGAAGAACAGAACATATTTTTGATCAATTACGGTTCTTTCTATTTTTCTTCTTGACTCTTCCTTTACTCGAGAGTTTTGGTGTGGATTTGGCTTTGTGAAGCCAAAAAGTGGTATCAGAGCCACTCGACTCCACGGGATCAAGAAGATGGCCAAGAAGACTGGTGAGGCGAGCACCTCCGACGAGCGTGAGGGAGAGATGGCGGTGCTGGAACCATCCCTCAAGCTCTCGAAGACCAACTACAGAGTATGGTCGATGTCTATGGAGGTATATTTGGACTCTCATGACCTTTGGCAGACAATCGTCAGAGAGAATGTGTCGAAGAAGAAAGATCGTTTGGTGTTATTGGCAATCATCAGTGTAGTACCAAAAGACTTGCTGATGGTACTTGATGCCAAGAAAACGGCTAAAGAAAATTGAGAGATTCTACGGCAACAGAATCTCGACGTGCACCAAGTGATTCAGTCACGTATCCAAGGTTTGAAGCATGAGTACGAAATTCTCACAACGGCCAAGAATGACTTAGTAGTAGATTTCGCGATGAAATTCACACGAATCATCTCTGAGTTGCGGAACTTGGAGGAGACAATGGAAGAATGAGAAGTTGTGCGGCAATTTTTGAGGGCAACACCTTCTAAATTTGACGCACTCACCCTGTCTATCGAGCAGTATGGAGATTTGGACAAGGTGAGCCTCGATGAAGTGATTGGCTCTCTCACAGTACATAAACTGCGGTTCAAGGAACATCAATCTTGTGAAGAGGAGCAGGCATTGCTGGCCAGAGCACTGAGCAAAGTCAAATGTCGAGTGAGGAGGAGTCCTCATCTCGCAGAAGAAGGCATCATCGCGATCGTAGTAGGGGGCAAGGAAGAAGTTGTGGCTGAGGACGCCAACAATCTTCTGATGAAGAGAAAAAAAAATTCAACAATTCAGGTATTCAATGCTATAATTGCCAAAAGTATGGACATTTTGCATATAAATGCCGTAGTGCAAAGAGAGAGAGGGACGATCGTGCATATGTGGCGAAGTCCACTTAGGCGGCGGCAACAGTCTCTGCTTTGGTGGCAACGTCCTCTCTACTGATAGCAATTGAGGAAGTGGAGAGTGAATTTCTATTTCAAAGGTCACAGATTGGATCACTCATGCATGTGAAATGCACCAAATGTCTCCAACAAAAGCTTGATGATTGAAGCATTCCTATGATGTTCTTAAGATACGAAATTGGCTCAAAGGCCTATCGATGTTTTGCTTCGATCAGAGGCGTAGTTCACATCAATCGCAATGCTGTTTTTGAAGAAAACGAGCGGTGGAATTGAAATAACAAAGGTGAAACAGTTCCTATGCTTACATTTTTTCTTATTTCTCCCACTGAGTAAGGGCTGGATGAGAATGTTACCTTTGAGGATGAAGATGAAGAGAGCTACTCTGAGTCTCAAGAGCTGACTGCTACTGCACACTCAAATTTCGGATAAAGTCAGTCACAGATATTCAAATCTCTAGCTTAGTTATACACTAAGACCAGTCCAATGTCTTCTGAACCGAATGGAGACTGTATGCTCTCTCATGAGGAACTTGTGACTTATGATGAAGCATCACAAGAGGAAGTGTGGAGGAAGGCGATGAGAGAAGAAATGGAAGCCATAGATCGGAATCAAACATGGGCATTGCTCACACCTCCGGCTGACTACATACTAATTGGGCTTAAGTAGATCTTGAGACACAAGGCAAGACTTGTCGTGAAAGATTACTCTTAGAAGCATGGCATAGACTACGATGAGGAATTTGATCCAGTGGTTAGATTTGAATCAATTCGTGTACTGATTGAATTGCAATTAAAAATAGATGGGCACTACATCATCTAGATGTGAAATCTGCCTTTCTAAATAGAGATGTGAAGGAAGAATTATATGTCAAACAACCTGAAGGATTTATCGTGAAGAATGAAGAAGGTTATGTTCTGAAGCTGAAGAAAGCATTGTATGGGCTCAAGCAAGCCCCACGCGCATGGTATTTCAAGTTTCATAATTGTCTAATCTCACTTAGTTTCAAGAGAAGCAAGCATGAGCAAGCTATCTACTTGAAACATTCTGACAGAGTTCACTTGATCATCGGTGTTTATCTGGATGATCTTATTGTCACAGGTGAGATTGACAGCGACATCAACGATTTCAAAGAAAAAATGAAGTATTTCTTTGAGATGAGTGATCTCGGGTACCTTTGTTCTTATTACTCTGTCACAGAGAACTTATGCACTGAAAGTGCTGGATTTTGCAAAGATGGGCGAGTGTAATCCAATGCAAGCTCTACTTGAATCCAGAGTCAAATTTAGTGGACTAAATTTAGGCACATCAATCGATTCTACCTATTTTCTTAGTCCCATTAGAAGCTTAAGGTACTTGACTCACACGCGTCTTGATTTGACATATTCTGTGCGATTTCTAGGTAGGTTTATAGAACACCCAATTTCAGAACATCTCATGGCTATCAAGCGTGTTCTAAGATACTTGAAAGGTACAATTCATTATGGTTTAATCTATGAAAAAGGGCGTACAATGACCGAATTAATTGATTATAGTGACAACGATTTTGCTGGTGATGTGTAAGGCAGAAAAAGCACCTCAGGGTAGGTTTTTTTCTTTGGTAAGATGGTGATTAGTTGGGCTTCTCAGAAATAGAAGTCAGTAGCCTTATCTTCGTGTGAAGCGGAGTATATTGCTGCTACTACTGCCGCATGTCAGGGCGTGTGGCTTAATCGCCTCATCAGCGAACTACGAGGAGTAAAAGAAGGGACTATGAAGCTTCTTGTGGATAACAAATCCACCATTATCCTAAGTAAGAATCTAGTGCATCATAGTTGGACTAACCATATTGACACTTGTTATCACTTTATTCGTTAGTGTGTAGAAAACAAGAAGATCTTAGTGAACTATGTGAAAATTGAGGATCAATTGGCAGATATCCTCACCAAGTCACTCGAAAGGATAAAATTTGTGGAGATGTGGGAGCGCCTAGGCATCAAGGATGTCCATACGATGGAATTGGAGCAAGGGGGAGATTGAAGGGCTTGATCCAGTCTCATCGTGTAATGTCGCAAATAATAGTCTCCGGAAAATACCTTAGCAAAACTGATTTGGGCTTTTTCCCTTCTTTCGGGTAGTTATTTTCTATTTGCAGGATTGATTAGGGCCGTGTATTGTTGGAGTTATAACGGCGAGGATGATGTCAACATGAACACTAAGCCAACTCAGTGTGGAGTTAGTTGCATGGTGTCTCTCTCTCCCACGATGATCGGCTTCCTTTTATAAGGGGCTATGTGTTCGACGTATTGATTGTCAACAACAGAACATATTTTTGATCAATTATAGTTCTTCCTATTTTTCTTCTTGACTCTTCTTTTATCTGAGAGTTTTGGTGTGGATCTGACTTTGCGAAGCCAACACTCCCACCCTCGACCAAGGAACGGGGCTGCACCATCATCATTTTCTCCGGATTTAAAGGTTTGAATTGATGGTGTGATTTTGTGACTTGATTTATCAATCCCTGCATTTTCCTTAATCAACCCACTTTGTGTCTATTGTAGTCATCCTAAATCAATTTCTTGATGGGAACAGCCTCCAGGTAATTGGCAATGGAAGCTGGAGAATCATTTCTTGCCATCCTCTGCGCAGTTGAACGCCATTTTGTGAAGAAGTTGGTGACCATGGTGATGAACAGGAAGAATAGGGAGAAGGAGATGGAGTCCATGCTTTTGACCTTGCTGCCCTTCTTGGCGGAGGACATCCTCAATTGATTCCTCCAGCTGGTGGGGGACGCAGAGGATTCTATCTTGGATGTTCCAGCGATCGTGGAAGACCTAGCGATGTTCTTGGTGAGGCAGTGGTGGATGAGATGCCCTTCTTCTACCACAAGGTCGTCAAGAAGGCCCTAGTGGCTCTCATGGAGAAGAAGAACAGCCGCCGGCTTTGGGAGCTCCTGGCGCAGTGCTTCACCATGGGGCTGATCACCATGGACCAGATAGCAAAGGGCTTCAAGCAAGTAGTGGATTGCGTCAATGACATGGCCTTTGGCCTCCCTAGCATGGCGGATTTCTCATACTTGTAGTCAGTTGAATGATAATTCTTAACACTTTAGAGGACTTGTATATTTGCTTTAAAATATTGTTCATTGAAATATTTATTCTCATCTATTTTAGTAAATATGTGATATTCATAAAAAGATCGGGAGAAAAGTAAATCATTAAAAATAGACACTGACTAGTGGAGCAATTGAGGATAGAATTGTAGACAAACTTTACTCGTGTCAAAATCTTATCACAATATTTTTAGTTTTCTCTTGAAATTCAACAAATCAAATTGTTGAGCGTTATGCTTATTAGAGTTGAACCATCTATTTGAGGCTGACCATGATGGGACCCCTTTTCATATGAGATAGTGATGTGAGAAAGGAATAAGCTGAGCTGAGGATGGAAAATTCTATTGGAGATAAAACAAAAAAAGGGGTAGGCTAGGACACAAGAGAGAGAAAAAGAGAGAGAGAGAGAGAGAGAGGAAGAGAGAGAGGGAGTGAGGGAGTGAGTGGGAGAGAGAGAGGGAGAGAGAGAGAGAGAGCGGGAGTGAGATAGAGAGGGAGTGAGTGAGGGAGTGAGTGAGAGAGAGAGAGATAGAAAGGGAGAGAGGAGAGAGAGAGGGAGCGAGTGAGTGCGAGAGAGAGACAGAGAGGGAGGGACTGAGAGAGAGAGAGAACGAAGGTTCATCAAAAGGACCTTCTCGAGATTAGCCATGTTGTGAGAGTCAATCTCTTATTTTAGGAGATATAACTAGGCTATGGACTGCTGCATTTTTTACTCAAGGCCTCATTTTATAATAGCTAGAGGGTTGATGATCTATCATCACACACTCAATTTCTACTTGTCTTTTTGCTTTGTCACCTTCTTTCAGTTGTGGCCTTCTATCTGCCACTACCACCACTACCTTGCCCATGTGATGGTTAGGATCATCTCTAACATGGATGAGAGAGGATGTGAGTGTTTTGTCGATATTTTCCTCTAAAATTTTTACCTTGTCCACAAGATGGAATCTTGAGAATTTCTGATTCTTGGAAGTCAGCGCCGGAAAAGGAAGCCAAGATCTTGACCAGGTTCCGATGACGGACGTTCCTCAGGGCCTCGAATTCCGCCATGAAGCTCCTCGCGGCGCCGGCGCTTCCCAGGTCGAGCACCTTCACAGCGATGGGCACTCTCCTCTGCCCCAGCTTCCCTCTGTACACACAGCCGTGGGATCCTCTCCCGATGAGGTTGTCCGGAGAGAAACCATCCGTGGATCTGTGGAGCTCCCCGTAGGTGATTTCACCGAGATGGGACGGCGGTGGCTTCTGCCCCGAACTCCTCTTCTTCTTCGAGCAGTAGGCGAAGAGTGATGCCGCGAGCAGGACGACGAACAGGATGACCCCGAGGGGGACGGCGACCTTGATCGCGACGGAGCTTCTTCCCCGTCGACACTCCCGGAGAAGTAGGCCCGGGTTGCCCCCGCAGAGACCGTCGTTTCCAACGAGAGAAGTTGCGCCGGAGTTTTCGAGGATACCCCCGCGGGGTACCTCCCCCTCGAGGCTATTGTAGGAGAGATTCAGACGCCGGAGGCTGAGACCCTCCAGAAACTCCGGCACCTTCCCGGACAGTCTGTTGCGCGAAATATCGATTTCTTGGATTCCCTTAAGCTTGCTAAGCTCCCAAGGAATGGCTCATTGGAAGAGATTGCTCTCCAATAGGAGGAACTCGAGCACCTGGCAGTCGCCGATGGAGGACGGGATCTCGCCAGACAATCTGTTCCGCGAGAGGTTGAGGGTATTCAGATTCTTCAACTTACCCATCTCCGGGACAGATCGAGGTGGAGTGAGAGAAAGGTGAGAGAGAGGATCTCCCTTGGTATTTCGCCATGAAGACGGTTATCCGAGAGATTCAGGGCCTGGAGATTTCTCAGGCCTCCAAAGTTCTGTGGGAATCCTCCCCTCCAGCAGGTTCCCCCCCCAGGGAGAGCTTTGACAGGTTAGAGAGACCACCTGGAGAAGGTGGGATCTCCCCGGAAAGCTTGTTGTCCTCCAATGTCAGGTGCTTTAAATCTGTCAGCTCCCCGAAGGAGGCGGGGATTTCGCCCGTGAGGAGATTCCGGCCCATGCGGAGCATGCTGAGCTCGCCGAGGCTCCCGAGGCCCTCGGGAATCCTCCCGCCGATATGATTCCTCTCGATGAGCAGAGTGTCCAGCTTTCTCGAGAGGTTGGCTACGGCGGCGGGGAGAACTCCTCCCAGGCTGTTGTTCTGAAGCCCCATCTTCGTTAAATTGCTGCAGTTTGTCAGAGAGGTAATGAAATTCCAGTCCTCTTCTTCCCGGGCTTGGAAGCTGTTGTCGGAGAGTATCAACCATGTCAAGCTCTGCAACTTTCCTAAATTGAAAGGGATCACCCCTCCAAGCCTGTTTTGGGAGACCTCGACGACCTCTAGGCCGGTGGCGTTGGAGAGGGATGGTGGAAGCCCCCCTTCGAACTGGTTCCCAAAGAGATGGAGGTTCGCTAGGTTTGGGAGGGTTTCTCCAAGGTCCCGGGGGAGAGGACCGGAGAGCTGGTTATACCCGGCATGTAGCAGAATGAGAGATGAGAGATTCCAGATGGCGGAGGGAATCCTGCCCGATAATCTGTTCACATACACGTCGAGGAAGTTTAGGTCTTTTATGCCACCGAGCTCGGGGGGAATCTCCCCCACGAGGAGGTTCTCGTAGAAATGGAGGTCTGTCAGCTTAGATAGATTCCCCAGCCGAGGAGGTATTGCACCGGTGAGGTCGTTGGTGAAGAGGAAAACCACTGTAAGGTTTGAGAGGTGCCCGAGTTCCGGCGGGATGCTTCCTCCGTGCCCGTTATTGGAGAGGTCGAGTAAGGTGAGCGTGGAGATGTTCGCGAGGGAGGAAGGGATGCCCCCGGTGAGATTGTTGGAGGAAAGTCCGAGGGATTGGAGCTCGGGGAAGGGCCCCAGTTCAGGCGGGATGCCTCCTCGGAGGCCGTTACTCGAGAGGTCGAGAGTGGTGAGAGTGGAGATGTCCGCGAGGGTGGAGGGGATGGGCCCTCTTAGATTGTTGGAGTAAAGTCCGAGGAACTGGAGCTTGGGGAAGGAGCCCAGCTCCGGCAGGATCTCGCCGTCAAGGTAATTTTCGGATAAGCTCAGGGTCTCCAGCTTGGTGCAATTGCTGATGCCGCCAGGGATCCTCCAACGGAGTTTGTTGTTCCAGAGGCTGATGTGGAGGAGGCCGGAGCAGTTGCCCAGAGCGGAAGGAATCTCGCCGGAGAGGGAGTTGAGGCTGAGGTTGACCTGCCGCAGGGCGGCGAGCCGGGCGAGCTCCCCTGGAATGGCGCCGTCCCGCTGCCGCATGTAACGCCGCGCCACCGGCAAAGCGGCGTGGATTCGTTCCAGGAGTTCATGGCCCCCAGCGGGTCATCGGAGATCGCCACTTTGAAAGAGAGGAGCGCCTCTCGGTCTGCCGAGGTGTCCGCAGACAGCATAGGGAGGAGGAAGAGGAAGAATAGGAAGGAAGCAGGAATAGGAAGCGTCATTCTCCGCTCCTGGTGAGCTCACGGGTCCGAAAACCTACTTCGCCAGATTGAATAGAGCGTGGGCGGGGACGATGCCGTCCGATTTCCTCCGGCCTCATCCGGAGAGAGAGAGAGAGAGAGAGAGAGAGAGAGAGAGAGACTTTACGAAGACAGGCCCTTCATTATTTCAAAGAAGTGCTTTATATTGAATCCAGTTCAATGGTTATATAAAAAATTTCGCCTGAACTAGAAGATGAGACCAGGACTAGGAAATTGAATCCGTAAATTTAAGTATTATGGATACGAAGGAAATTTAAATATTGTTTAACTAGTTTAAACTAAAAAGATAAGGAAATTAATTAAAATTAAAAAGTTTCAAATCATCATATTTCAATGTAGAAATATTCAGTTTAAGAATGGTTAACCTCTAGATGCACTTCACTCTAATATCAACTATAAAGATGAGGAGAACAGTTCGTCGCCGACGCCGCCGTCGCCCGTCCGTCGCTCGTCCGTCGCCACTGCCCATCCGTTTCGCCACCGTCTGCAACCCATCCATCGCCCGTCGTCGCTGCTGCCATCGCCGCCACCACCTCTCTCCCCCCGCATGAACGGTTCGAGTTGCCCCACGCCTTCCACCTGTTGTGGTTAAAACGCCACTGGCTCGCGACACTGCGAGCTGTTATGAGCCGGACCGGCTCAGCCTGAGCCGACAGCCCCACCATCTGGTCCGAGCGCAAGCAGCTTGACCACCTGGCCTGCAGGCCCAGCCACCTTGACCGTCCGACCCAGCCACCTAATCCGTCGGCCCAGCCAACCAAGATCATAGGCCCAATAAACTACCAACAAGTCAGGCCTACCAAGCCCAACCCAGCGGGTTGTCCCGCTGCAATCTGGCTTTTTAGAGCCCATGAATCGCTGAAGGAAACTCATGCGTCAATTACTTCCTCGTGCGTCACGTTTTGGGTATAACTCCTCCGTTTTGGGTCCAAAGTCAGACGCCCATGTGCGTGGCATTTGACAAACTCGACGTCCGTGTATTGACTCCGTGGGACGACATCGGGTCGGTATGGACTTTCTCAAACGCCGTTTCAACTCTTCTCACTCAACGTGGACGATAATTTTCATTATTTATGATATAATAATCAATTCGAAATAGTAGCGTGCAAATTTAATAACGACACGGTATGATAGGAATACTGCTGGGAGATGAGAACGACTTTCCGCAAATGGATGTTTGAAAGCCATTTCTGACCGTTCGTTCGTGTCGCGAGAATAAGAGTCCACGCGTCAGCACTCCATCGGAATCAACGAAAGTGGGCGGCCAGCCGGATGAGCTCCATTCGCACTCTCCTCATCTTTACAGAGAGACGGGTTCCGCCGCTAAAAGTATCTGGACAAGGCAGAACTCCCGGATCCTCCCTCTCTCTCTCTCTCTCTCTCTCTCTCTCTCTCTCTCTCTCTCTCTCGCTATCAATCTTACTATCTCTGTCTCTCTATATCTATCCCTACACATTTTTCTTGATCTCTAAGACGGGGATTCAGACAGAAGGAAGACACCCCTGGTGAGAGTCAACACTCTGACGATGTCCCCACTTTTGGGGCGGTTCTTCTGTGATTCCTGCGAGCACAGCAGGCCGAGTTTGAACACGGAAATGAGGCAGTCGATCATCCGGTTCCTCAGGGAACCGATAACGGCTCCACCTCCTTCCTCTTTTCCATCCCTGCGCAGCAGCTGAGGATCTGCGATGGCCATCACCCGATGAGGGAGTCCCTCCCGGACGAAGCTGTGGAGGGTCAGCCCCTCCGCGAAAATGGGGTCGGTGGGTCTCTTCCCGGTGAACATCTCCAGCAGCAGTATACCGAAGCTGTAGACATCGGTGCCGGTGGAAACTCTGCCGAGAGTCGTCAACTCTGCGTTAATAAACACAGAAATCTCTTCATTAAACGGATTTAAATCGTCAAACCCTTCGTTTTAGATCGAGGTAGGAGAGAAAACAGAGCGTCGGCTCGAGAACAGCCGTGGAATGTCGTACCTGGGGCGACGTACCCGATCGTTCCCTTCAATCCGATCGAGCGGGTGGTGCAGTGGGACGATCCAGAGGAAAGGAACCTCGCGAGACCGAAATCGCTCACGCGGGCGGTCATCCCATCGTCCAGAAGAACATTTCTCGGCTTCAGATCCCTGTGGATTATTGGGATGTCGATGCACTGGTGGAGGTACTCGATCGCGGAGGCGACGTCAATGGCGATGCTCAATCTCTGAAGAAGGTCGAGACTCCTCGCCGGCTTGGGGAGGCCAGAGTCCTCTGGGTGGATCCACTGATCCAGACAGCCGTTGGGCACGAGCTCATAAACCAGGGCCTTGAACTCGTTGCCCTGGAAGTCGGCGCCGGAGAAGGAACCCAAAGTCTTGACCAGATTCCGGTGACGTACTTGCCACAGGGCCTCGCATTCCGCCATGAAGCTCCTCGCGGCGTCGACGCTTCCCAGGTCGAGCACCTTCACAGCGACGGGCATCTTCCTTTTCCCCAGCTTTCCTCTGTACACGCAGCCGTGGGATCCTCTCCCGATGATGTTGTCCGGAGAGAAACCATCCGTGGATCTGTGGAGCTCCCCGTAGGAGATTTCTCCGAGATGGGACGGCAGTGGCTTCTGCCCCGAGCTCCTCTTCTTCTTCCAGCAGTAAGCGAAGAGGGATGCCGTCATCAGGACGATGAACAGAACGACCCCGATGGGGACGACAACCTTGATCACGACGGACCTTCTCCGCTGTCGACACGGCCGGAGAAGCATCCCTGGATTGCCCCCACAGAGACCTTCGTTCCCTACGAGAGAAGTTGCACTGCCGTCTTCGAAGATCCCCCCGCGGGGTACCTCCCCCTCGAGGCTATTGTAGGAGAGATTCAGACGCCGGAGGCTGAGACCCTCCAGGAACTCCGGCACCTCCCCGGACAGTCTGTTGCGCGAGAGATCGAGTTCTTGGATTCCTTTAAGCTTGCTAAGCTCCCAAGGAATGACTCCTTGGAAGAGGTTGCTCTCCAATAGGAGGAACTCGAGCACCTGGCAGTCGCCGATGGAGGACGGGATCTCGCCAGACAATCTGTTCCGCGAGAGGTTGAGAGTGTTCAGATTCTTCAACTTGCCGACCTCCGGGAGCAGAGACCCGATCAGATAATTCCCGGACAGATCGAGGTGGAGTGAGAGAGAGGTGAGAGAGAGGATCTCCCTTGGTATTTCGCCATGAAGACGGTTATCCGAGAGATTCAGGGCCTGGAGATTTCTCAGGCCTCCAAAGTCTGTGGGAATCCTCCCCTCCAGCAGGTTCCCCCCCAGGGAGAGCTTTGACAGGTTAGAGAGACCACCCAGAGAAAGTGGGATCCCCCCGGAAAGCATGTTCTCCTCCAGACTCAGCTCTTTCAGATTTCCCAGCTCCCCGATGGAGGCGGGGATTCCTCCCGTGAAGAGATTCCTGCCCATGCGGAGCATGCTGAGCCCGACGAGGCTCCCAGTTCCCTCGGGAATCCTCCCGCCAATTTGATTCTCTTCGATACGCAGAATCTCCAGCTTTCTCGAGAGGTTGGCGATGGCGGGGGGGAGAACTCCTCCCAGGCTGTTGTTCTTAATCTCCAGCTTTGTTAAGTTGCTGCAGTTTGTCAGAGAGCTGATGAAGCTCCAGTCCTCTTCTGCCCGAGCCTGGAAGCGGTTGTCGGAGAGGTCTAGCCATCTCAAGCTCTGTAACTTTCCTAAATCAGAAGGGATCACACCTTCAAGCCTGTTTTGAGCGGCCTCGAGGAGCTCCAGACCTGTGGCATTGGAGAGGAACGGCGAAAGGGCCCCTTCGAACTGGTTCCCAAACAGGTAGAGGGCCGCTAGGTTGGGGAGGGTTTGTCCGAGGTCCCACGGGAGAAGGCCAGAGAGCTGGTTATACCCGACATGGAGCACAATGAGAGACGAGAGATTCCAGACGGACGAGGGAATCCTACCCGATAATCTGTTGACATACACATCGAGGACCTTCAGGTTTTTCATGCCGCCGAGCTCAGCGGGAATCTCCCCCTCGAGGAGGTTCTCGTAGAGATAGAGGTGGGTCAGAGTGGAAAGATTCCCCAGCCGAGGAGGTATTGCGCCGGTGAAATCGTTGGTGAAGAGGTAGAGCATCGTAAGGTTCAAGAAGTCACCGAGCTCTGGAGGGATGCTTCCTCGGAGGCTGTTATTGGAGAGGTCGAGTATTCCGAGAGTGGAGATGTTCGCGAGGGAGGAGGGGATGGGTCCTGTGAGATTGTTGGAGGAAAGTGAGAGGAATTGGAGCTTGGGGAAGGAGCCCAGCTCTGGCGGGATCTTCCCGCGGAGATTGTTGTTCCTCAGGTCCATGCGGAGGAGCTCGGAGCAGTTGCTCAGAGCGGAGGGAATCTCGCCGGAAAGAGAGTTGTCGCGGAGGATGACCAACTGCAGGGCGGCGAGCCGGCCGAGCTCCCCTGGAATGGCGCCGTCGAGCCGGTTGTACGAGAGGTCGAGCTTGGTGAGGAAGGCGAGCCCGGAAAGACGGGGGGATATGTGCCCCGTTAGCCGTGTCCCGTTCAGCGCCAGCTGCGTCACCTGCTCCGCCGTCCCCCCGCCGCATGTAACGCCGTGCCATTGGCAAAGCGGCGTGGATTCGTTCCAGGAGTCCAGCGCCCCCAGCGGGTCATCGGAGATCGCCCCTTTGAAGGAGAGGAGCGCCTCTCGGTCTGCCGAGGAGTCCGCAGACAGCATGGGGAGGAGGAAGAGGAGGAAGAGGAAGGGAGCAGGGATAGGAAGCGTCATTCTCCGATCCTGGTGAGCTCAGGGGTCCGAACACCTATTTCGCCAGATTAAATAGAGCGTGGACGGGGACGACGCCGTCCAACTTCCTTCGACGTGACCTTCGCCATTAAAAATCCATTAAAAAAGCACCTTCGCGGCCGGTGCTTCTTTTTCTTCCGAGGCTGGGAAGCTCGGAGAAGGTCGGTCGAACAGTGGAGCCCAGCATCACTGATTGTCACACTGAAAAACTAAATTAGATTGAGGTAACAAATGAGAGAGAGAGAGAGAGAGAGAGAGAGAGAGAGAGAGATAGAGAGATTTTTCTACCTGAAAGTCGGATTAATCATAATCTGGAACAGAGGCCAGGTAAACTTGGTGAACCCTAACTGGTTATCTATCATACTAGCCCCTAACGATCGGGGTGCTCGAGCTCTCCATCAGGGATGGAAAATTCACAGCGGCAGAATAAAGCAAGTTGAAATAGAGAATATAAACGAAATTCAATATCGCTTAGATACTTCATTGATTATAAATAAGGCGTTAAATCTTTTGTCCTTTGATTCCAGTGATCTACTAGGGCTTCATAATTCTTCCATCATTCTGAAGGGCCGGTTTCCCCATCTGTCCTTGAAGTTCTCTGCTTCGTCAGTTCTTGTGGAGTCAGATCTTTTTAATTAATGACAAGGATTCAATGGTCGATATATCAATGCAGAAATCTTGAAGCAACCAATTTTAGGAGTGAAGTCGGACTTCCATTTTATAATTTGACCTTCTTGAGTCTAGATACCACTCACCATCTCGAATAGTCGTGGCTTCTTCCATGGAGTGATTTTAGAGTTTTAATAGCCACTCTTTCTCGGATTCTTTTCAGCTCACCCAACACGATTGACTCTTTGCATTCGAGAGATGTCTGGGAGCTATTAGAGAAATGCCATATTTAGGGTATGTCTGATAGTATCTTATCTCATTTTCTTTTTTCTTTAGCATCTATGCTTTTACAAATTTAAAAACACTGTTCTTCCTCAATATTGCTATGCTGAAATGGCACAAATATGTGTGACATTTACCAATTCATTTTTAGAACTCATCACTTCTATGGTAATGCTTTTATTCTCAACATTTTTAGATTTGACTTACTGACTTACTGATGGAGTATGGGACGTGAAATAATAGAAATAGCCCAAAACTAGATGCCCAATCACTCTACAAGGTAGGTTGTGATGATGACAAGACACAAAAAGAGCCTAAAATTAGATTATACCTAAACGAAGTGTTAGTTTTGGTAAGTGATCCGTTCTTAGGTTGTTTTGATTTTGTTCTAAATTATGTTTTGATTTAGTGGCACTTCAACTAATTTTCAGTCTATTTACAAGCCATAACATTTAGTACAAATTTTCTCTCTTTGAATATCTTTTTGCTTGTAAATTCAGGTTTTACCTCTTCGTTGATTCCAAGATACTCCCAGCTGAACCTTGTTGACTCAAATATTAGGGATTTAGATCTTGTGGATTGCAGGCATAATTTTCAAGTTCTAAAGCTCTAGATTCATAATTTGTGGGTTCATGTCCCAAATCTACCATTTCCATAACTCCACTTCAGTTAACTGAACAAATCTTCAACTTCCATCATTCTGGCTGCAGCATTTAGCTCCTTTCAGAAAGAACTGATACTTTGAGCAGGATTATACCTTTTTCAGTTTCAAACTATATTGTGGCATTGCATACCCATGAATAAATACTACTTTATCCATGTTCTAGCTTTGCCTTCGGATACATCTTAAATTTGTACATGAACTTGAAAATTTGTCAGTTGTAGTGGAAAACAATGTGGAAAATTTGTACATGAACTTAACTTTGCCTATGTATCCATCATCAATGTGGAAAACATTCTGCTTTAATTTACTGGTCCTTTTTCTCATGCTTTCTCCATATTGGTAATTACTCTTTCATGTCACCTGAATGACCTTGTTACATGAAGTACAACTGGTGACCAAACATGGAAAACAGAACAACGTTCCCCATTTCTCAGTAAGATTTATCTTTCAAAATAATGGTATGGATGATTTATCCAAGAAAACTATGTGGATAAATGAGAGGTATTCTTTCAATGTAAAAAAAGCTGGCTTTTTTTTGCTTTTTATGTTCTTGATTATCCTTAAATGCTTTCTACATTATGGAGTTGTGAATTTTGCTATTGTGATCAAGAATTTTCATTCACGCTTGGGATCAAGATTAACTCACTTGTATGAAAGTTATTTTCGCTTATCTAGATAATTTCTAGGCAATATTCTATTATAGAAAAAAAAATCGCATGTTAAAAAAAGTCATCAGATTTTACTCACATTTTTAGTTGATGAAATTTCAACAAGTGAAGATTAATGCAGATGCTCAAGCACCTTTATTGAATAAAAATGAAAATCCATTTATAATTTCTTTGAATGAAAGAAAAAAAGACTATGTCCTCCTTTTGAATGGAAGCTAGCTGGATTTCTAATATGCACAATAATACTCTTCATATTTATTTTAAATTATGTTTTTTGTTTAAGTTCTCAATAGGAGTGGGATGGCATCAACATCAAAATTATGACGATACACTTTACAAGGCATACATTAAAATAAAGATATTTTCGAGTTTTCCCATGTAAGCTATCAGAGTTTAGTGCATATAATTCTATAATCCTGATTATGGGCTTGTCTATTCTACTTTTGCTATTTAGAGTAATACCCTTACAATTGTGTCAGTGAGCATGCCCCTACAATTTTTATGGCAATTTTTTAGTAACGTACACAATTGTAAGGCCTATTTCCATTTATATTACCTTTATCTTGTAAAAGTAGTCACCTTGTCTATTGGGCTGTCAAGCAGTAGGTCAGACTCTTAATCGCCTTTGGTCACTTCAAGAAACCTTGGCTTCTGCTTAGTAGTAGGTGCAGTGGTTCAGCACCTGGGGAGGAGGGGATGAAGGAACAAGCTTTTTCATAGTCTCCATCATCCCTCTTTATAGGCCTCTTATTTAGCTTTGCACACCCTTTGCTTCAATGGAGTATCCTAGAAGATATTTGGCCGAGATTGATGGTCCTCAGGTTATTGACTCCCCAGTTCCATCACCCTATCTCATATCTCCTCTGGTATTATGGTACCTCCCGCTGTTTTCTACCTCCACCCACGCTAATATGTTTCTCTTTATGTTTTTCAAGATCATATTCATTATTTTAGCGTGAAAAATTAATATGTCTGACCCTTTTTGCTGCCTTCATTTTTCCTCCTCAGTTTCGCATTAATGTTATTTTTCTTGGTCAAAACTTCGTTTAAAAAATAAAATAATTTTTGATGAACTTTATAATACGACTTCACCTGGTCTCTTTACTGTCTTTAAATTATCTTTCTCTCAATCCCGTATCACTACTTTTTTTATTTAACGTATTTTTTATTTATTTATTGAACCTTTGTACGAACCTCAAAGATTGCTTACTACCAAAGAATATGAGCATTGTTCTTTGGATTTTTTCACCGTTAATGGATTTCTGTGGCTTAATCCACAGAAGCAGAGTTCACATTGCTTGGAGACGTAGGCACTCCTCTCCTCCCCTCCCCCATTTTAGTTGATTTTACGCTAAGATATGAGACGAAGACAGCCAGATGCCTCGACAAATACATCACTGCTAAGAGGTCTAAAGGCTTTGCCTCGCAGTTGACCTCCAGTTAATGGACTGGTATTATATTTGGGCTCACTCGAAACGACCGAAGCTGGGCATGGTGACCCTCCAAATCTCATATGGGCCGTACGTCGTTTTTCGTGGGGGAACAAATTGGACCGTTATGTCGTTGTCTTCATAGGCATTGGCTCAGATCCAAACCTGGCCCACCACGTCAGCATTCGAGCCTATGCCATCCAGTTCCACATGAGCTCCTCGTGCCCATCAGGTCAACGGGCACATATAATATGACAAACCCGGCTGTGTGAGTTGAAACCCCATCGTTTTATAGGCATTTACGTATCCCGACGGCATCTTTGGTGCCACTTGCCGTCTAAGTCCTTCCGAGATGTCGATTTCTTAATCATGTATTGACTTTGGAGAAGAATATGGGGCATTGAAATTCATGCGCACGAGCCGTTGACCTACCGGGGGAAGCCCACAACCCAATGTATCATACCACCTCGGCAGTCGAGTCGGAAGGACATCCGAACTCAGTCGAACTAGGGCGAGTTCTTTATGCGAAACCCATATCTAATCCTTGTAAATATTTCCACCTGTGCATAAAATAACAGGGCTACATAGGCATGGTCTCGCGTCTGTTGATTGGTCGGCATCTTCGATTCACAGGCCGGATGAAGATCAAGGCAGCTGATTGGCCTGCCATAAAGGGTGAGTTCGAAGGCCCCGGGAAGAAGAGAGAGGATAGCTGTGGCGGTGGACCCAGAGAATTGAAGGACGCAGCCTCTCGAAGAGAGAGCTTCAGAAGACCCTTCATCATTTTGATTAATAAATACATAAATATACTGAATATAATAATTTAATTAGTTAAAAAATAAATGGATGAATGAACGAAGGATTTTCTTGAACATCCTCGACTATCGCTCCGATAGTTTCCGGTGTAGTTTTCGATCCTTTTTTATATTATTGTCACCGGTTCATTGGACTTCCTCCGAGGCATCGACTGACAGATAATTGATGAGATTCCTATCATGAATCCAGTTGTCGTCTACCCTTGGGAATCCTCGTGGGCGCCGAGTTGTTTTATTTTTGTTCGAAACAAGGTACATGAATCTCTCTCACAAACTGGGTCATTTATTTGCCATAAATGTCACGAGATTAACAAATGAGGACCCTGAAAGGGGTTTCAGATACAAAGCCAGGGAGAATTACTCTAAGAGCGAGAGGATAAACTCTCTCTCTCTCTCTCTCTCTCTCTCTCTCTCTCTCTCTCTCTCTCTCTCTCTCTCTCTCTCTCTCTCTCTCTCTCTCTCTCTCTCTCTCTTTCTTCAACTAACACTAGATTTTCAACATCTAACCAAAACTTCAACCTGTTGCAGTATAATAAATTAAAAAGCCGCCACATCCTCGCTCTCTCTCTCTCCCTCTCGTGTATATGTACGTACGTAAGCATCTCCTCCTTTGGATGGTTATGATCCCTCTTAATAAGGAAGAACTCAGATCTCTCACTTTCAACTGCTAGCCAAAGCGTTGACCCATTGAAATATAATGGTGGGTGCAATTGGCTGTATCTTACTGTAATCCGTCGTGACTGGCCCGGAGATTATGCATAGATAGCACCCTTCTCCTCGATATTTTATGGAGCTGACGCGTTACGAATCCTCTTCTCTGTTTACGTGGACGACGAAATCACCTCAAGTGAGTCCATTCTGTTTAGAAACACGATGTCATTAAGCGGAATAGCTGTTTCAAATGAACACTACGAGATGCAAATTGCCCCTGGACGATTAAGATCTCGAGGCGGCACCCCCCAGAGAACGTTTGAGCCCTCCAATTGTTTTCCTGTTCGTCTATTTGTCAACGCACCATCACATGGCTTCATTTTTCCAAACCTGCATATTCTTGGCACGATTGAGACGCCTTCGAACGTATAATCCTCGATATAAAATGCTAGCGTATGAGAGAAGATGAGCCAACCGCATATTGTCAACGTGGCTTCGTTTTTTATTTTTTCCCAAAAGTAAAGTCGAACGCGCATCGTGAGGCCGCTTTCAGCGTATAATCCTTGGCACACATTGTGGCATCTGGGAGAGAAGATAATCAGCCTGATTGTCAACGTGGCTTCATTTTTTCAAAAAACGAAAGTCAAACCTACATAGTTCGCTCATGGTATCAGATAGCTCCCATTGTATATGCTTAATATAAATTTTGGCTTTATATATGGAAGACAAGCAAGCCTCACGTCACCGTGGGATCAACTACGATGTGGCAGGAAAGAACAGTAAGTCTCAACGACAGGCGAAGATAATATGATAGGCGAAATACATGAACAGTAAGTCTCCTTATCTGAGTTGCCGTGTTAACAGAAGCTGCCGACCGATTACAGGGCACCTTGACGGTGGAAATGCTCTCTTATTGATCCGTACAGGAGAACAAAAGTCTCGTCACCGTCACATCAACGACGCAACGCTGATCCAATCAAGGAGGTTTCTTGGCTGTTGACTTGGTTCATTCAAATGGCTAGCTGGCACACGTCGATAGGGACTTTCCCTTGCGTACCTTCCTGAAAAGAGCGAGAGCGACGGAGAAAGAGAGAGAGAGAGAGAGAGAGAGATTAAAATTTTGCCAGAGAGGTCGCTTAGCGTAGAAAGGGAGGAAACCCCTTAAAAATATGAAGCTCTCGTTCTCTCTCTCTCTCTCTCGCTACATATATATAAATACATATATCGTTTGACAGGCGCCTTGGAGAGGCGTCTCACATGGGGGGGGGGGGGCAGGACTAAAATTTTTACGAAGTCTCATGTCAACGCGGACTCAATTGACTGTTTCCATTTCTTCCAAGTTCCCTCGCTGAAAATTATCATTTCCAGGTTGTTCCTATCATATCATTGTGTTCGATAACATAAATAAAGAGCGGGTGGTTTCCATTGGTTTCCATTTCCTTAATCTTTTCTTCGTCATGGTTGATAAGATTATTGAGGAGAGAGAGAGAGAGAGAAGTCTCCTCGTTGGAAGGTCAACTCTCCCGCTGTTATTACCTCCAAAGCTGATTCCTTTCGTGTTTCCAACTATTGCAGCTGCCAGAGGCCATTACGATTCCAGGAAAATCATTTTAAATTGGTAACCTTGATAAGGGAGGACGGTTATTTAACTCAGTAGATTTCCATCTTCCTATGACAAATCGTGAGCGCTAGTGGGCTCTCATTCGAAGTTTTTGCAAAATAATAACAACAACGATGATGCTTTGTTATTATTATCAATAACTATTCAGAAAGAGGTGTGAAAGGGCCAGTTCTTCCAATGTAAATGCTACCGAGATAGAAACTGATCCGCTGGATATTCAGAAACTCCGGCCGCCGTCGTAGACACAAAGTTGATCTTCGGAAACGTAGAAGCGTTGCGACATGCGTAGGATTACTCTAAACAGGTATCCTCGATCCACAGATATATCTTTTAGATATCAAATATTTTTTAGTATTTTAGTGTGTATCGCAACTTTGTATCGATAGTTTTAGCGACGGAGGTTTCCGTCAACGATGGCCCATGGCAGAGGTTGAAACGGACCGTAATCCCGGATCTGGCATGCCTCTAAGTTTCAACGCATCAGGAGTATGGAACAAGTAAACCGGAGGAGGAGGGGGGAGGGAGAGAGAGAGGGAGGAAGCCCTAGCTGTCAATGGCCTGGAGTCGGCGTCGCCGGGATCAGGTGAAGACCGCGATCTGACTGACCTACTTGCACAGCCTCGGAAAAGGCGATGGGGAAAGGACGGGTATGTCAACGCACCGGCGGAGAGCGCCGACGTGGACGATTTCTCCGGAATCAATGGCCACAGGCGCACGCGAGAGCGGCACGGAGAACTACAGTTGACCCATACGCCGAATACGTTGAAAAAATCAATTCTTTTTGTCAGCTCTCCCTTCGTGGACAACAGGGGAGAGGGAGCTTTGTGTGTTGACAATCAGATTTCTTTAATGATCGAAATAGATTGGGGATGGACATTGAAATTTAGTCAAAGGGAAGAGGAGCAGCAGAGTCTTCTATATAAAAAGGGGGAAGGAGGGGTCGGAGGGGAGAAGAGGCTTGAGGAAGAGGAGAACGGGAAGCGATCTCCATGGAGGTGATAGTGAAGAGATCTTTGGTTGTCAAGGAGAACAAGGAGGGTAGAATTCTAAGCTCTGAAGAAGGCGACGATGTTCGTGAGGTGACCCTCTCTGTCTCTCTGTCTCTCTGCCTCCTTCCACCGATCTCTGAATCTATACGGTGGAACAGCTCATCTCTCTCTCTCTCCCCCTCTCTCCCTAAGTACAAATCGCAGGAGTAATTCATTCCTCTTTCTTGTTCTAGCTTAGTTGTGCGATTTTGCTCGTTCTGTCAGAAGATGACTATTGTTGCCTGATTTTCCCAGAATTTCCCCCGTAAATTTCCGTTTTCCGTCGATTCAAATTGTTTTTGTATGTTTACACCTTCTGAATCAAAGTAATCCAGATATTATTTAATCTTCCACATTCTCGAATAATAAACATAGTATGGAGATGAAACGAATGAATTTTATCTCCGCAAACTAAAATAATTCAACGTACTAGGGCTCTGCAATACCCTTTAACGATCTTCAATTTCTATATTAGTCTTCAACACAGATTCTAATGTTTTTGGCAGCTTGATTGTGAAGCCCAGAAGAAAGATGAAAGAAAGTCAACTTTCTCTTCGCCGGAAGGGAAAGGATCAAGCTTCGGCAGACAGGTAACGAGAGAAACTCTCTATCATATGAGGCCGCGATGATCACAAAGCTCCCTATTATTGATTAGTCGATTGATTGAGATATTTCTTCTCTGCGTTTCATGTTTAAAATTAATCTATTTATTTTTAAATTTAATTACCTCAACTGCGATGCCTTTGGAGGAAAAAACATTAGATCTCAGGAGAGGAACTGTATATGATGTCTACAAAGATTAACTATTTATTTCAGAAAGTGAATGCTTGGAATAATTTCAATCAAGAACTAGTTCTGAAGAAATAAATATGAATGTCTCCAGGACGATCAGCTAGAGTCCACCCGAGAGGAGATTGGCGAGGTAAAGCAAGAGAACGAGAGGCTAAAGATGATCTTGGCTAGAATCATGAATGATTACCAGTCCCTTCAGACGCACCTCTTCGATGTGGTCAATAAAGTTGACAAAAAGTCCCCGGAGAACGCAGAGGCCGATCGAGAAACGGAAGAACCTGAGCTGGTTTCGCTGTCCTTGGGAACGAGTTCATGGAGGCACAAGAAGGAAGAGAAGGCTGCCACGAGAACCCGACCTGAAGAGGATGAGCAGGTAAATGGAGAGCTGTCTCTCGGTCTCGGCACTCAGTCGAACTCTAGCCATGATAATAGCTTCGAGGACACGAAGGAAGAAGGGGTTGGGGAGCTATGGCCACCAAGCAAGGCGTTGAAGACGATGAGACCTGGAGAGGACGAGGTTTCGCAGCATATCCACGTCAAGAAAGCTAGGGTTTCGGTGAGAGCACGATGCGATGCACCCACGGTTTGTACCCTCTTATTCCTGGAGGTAGAGGGATTAAGTGGAATCTGAGGAAGCTGGGAAGTTAGGGTGCAAAGAAATTTGACGAATATTTTTCTATCTTTACAGATGAATGATGGATGCCAATGGAGGAAGTACGGACAGAAGATCGCCAAAGGAAACCCTTGCCCGCGTGCATACTACCGCTGCACAATTGCACAAGGTTGCCCGGTGAGAAAGCAGGTACGTTGAGAACCCTTTTCTTACCTTGTTTCCACATGTCATCGTGATTTCTTCTTCCTGTTTTAGTCTTATCTTCTTCTTCTTCTTCTCCTTCTCTTCCCGGATGTATAATTTCGTTTATCTTCTTTTAAATCATCTAAATCTCCTTCAGGTGCAACGATGTGCAGACGACATGTCGATCCTCATCACTACCTACGAAGGAATCCATAACCATCCTCTTCCCATGTCTGCCACATCCATGGCTTCCACCACCTCCGCCGCCGCGGGCATGCTAGTTTCGGGGTCCTCATCTTCTCGTCCGTCGATCCCAGCCGCGACCATGGCCCCCTCCAGCGGTTTCGCCGGTGCAACTTCGCACGGCCTCAACTTTGGCTGCCCAGATGACGCAAGGCAGAGGCAGCTCTACTTGCCCAACGCATCCATCTCTTCCTCCCCTTCCCACGCCACCATCACATTAGACCTCACCACCCCGCCGTCCAACTCCCATTCCGCGCTAACCCCGCAACTTGGTGGCTTCTCTTCAAGTTTCTCCTCCGGCCCAAGGTTCTCCCACTCCAGCTTCTCGTTCTCGTCCTCTGATCCCAACCCTAACCAGACAACACTCTGGAACATCCCCTTCCTGAGCCACGGATCCCGAGCCAAGAACCCTCTTGGCTCCTTCAGCGTGGCAACCCAGCAACCCAATGAAAGGTTATACCTTCCTTACACGCAGAAGCCCCCCAACTCCTCTCCGCTTCCAGACGGCGCCATCGCTGCCGCCACCAAAGCCATCACTTCGGACCCGGGCTTCCAGACGGCGCTGGCGGCGGCGATAACCTCCGCCGTCGGAGGGAAGGGCACGCAGGGAATGGCGGAGACGCTGTTGAAGAACCTCAGGTGGGGCGAGCGCTTGTCACCGGTCTCAAATCTCGCGTCCTCTCCGAGCGGAAACGGCTGTGGCTCGAGCTACCTAACCAGATCGGCCGATTCCAACTTGTCGAACCCCCAGGAGGCCGAGATCAGGTTCCTCCAACCATCGTTGGGCTTCTCCGTCCGCAAGAGCACCTCATCCTCTCCTCCTAACAACAGGGAGCATAGCAGCTGATCTATCGATTCTCGGCTATTTTTTGTTTTTCACCTACTTGTATCATTTCTTGGTTACGCGAAGAACACACGGCGAGATATGAACATGGATGATTCCGTTGAAACGCTGTCTGAACTCTCCACGCCGTCGTGGTGGTCGGCGAACGTCGCTGGTAATATCCGCGGCCGCCGCAGACTTGTATGCGAAACCCTACAAGACGTCTGACTCTGGGAGAAGTCAGACGGCCGAATGGATGGAACCCACGCGTCATCGTCCATCTTATCCTCCTCAGCTATAATCCATTTTGGTCAAATGTTTCCGTTCAACCACCAATGAATCCGTCTGTTTGGCAGTTGCGCTCACGCCCGCTAAGCGAGTCAACGGCTCCGTGCGAATCACCTCACACCGGCAGAGCGCGCACTGAAGCGAAGGAGCCTATCACGCCTTTGATGTTCTCGATGTTCGAGTATGAGTCACTCTCTCAGCAACCTGTACGGTGCCATACAATCCAAAACGTATGGAATTTGGACCTGAAAGCAGGAGTCACCATACGCTTCGTTTTTCTAGGTTTGCTTGACGCGTGTCAATTACATGTGCTCTGCTCCCCTTTGCCAAGAAGAGTCGCGTACTCTGTGAAGCTCCGGAGATTCATAGAAGAGGAGTCCCCGTAGGTCGCCCTCATCCGCCCCGTCCAGCAGTTCACAGGGTACGTAGCTCGTTTCCCAGCGCGTAGTTTCCCTCTTTTCCTCCTCCCAACCTGATGTCCGATTCCACTCGTGTCGTGTTCTTGCTTCATGGTGAGGAGTTCGCCGTTTTCCTGGCGGGAAATTACGATTCTCTGGTGGAAATTGAAGATATTTAGGCGGAAATGCTCTAATGTGCATGGTTTAATCTTTTTCCTGCCTCTTAGTTCCCGTCATTGGCTCGTCTCTGTCTGTTCTTGATGGTGCCTTGAAGCTGTATGATTAAATTCGGATACGAGCACTGAGACTGCGATTTTGGAGCGGCTGTGTTTTTTAGGGATTGATAAAACGATGAGGATCGGTGATTGGGAATTTGGCAGATCGAAATCGAAGATGCATTGCAGTGTAGGCCTCGTTCTTTCTCCCTGTTTTTTTTTCTCCTTACGAAGAAATTTTTGGTAGGGGATTAACTGGTTGAAATCGATGATAGAAATTTGCAGCGTAGGCTTCGTTCTTTTCACCCCAATGGTTTTCTCTGTTCTTTGGGGAGTCTGAGTTTGTTTTGTTCTTTTATCTCCTTCTCGAAGTTTTCAAGATGCTTGCATCAGTTTCTTCTACAGCCGGAAGTGTCTTGGTGGAATATTAGGGTTCTGATCCGTCCGTGTTTACAAGATCATCAGCAGTCATGATCACTCTCATCGTTCTTGACAGAGATAGACTGATCGATATCCCTGCTTCTTTTCGTAGTTCATCGCGATATGGCTCATCAAAAAGGAACGATTTCGAGGATCCCCGACTGCGACGCGTACTTTGAGACGATCCAGTCGAGGAAAAGGCTACCACCCTCCTTACAGACATCCCTGACATCGGCATTCGCCAACATCCCGGTCTCGTCTTTTCCTGAGGTTCCTGGAGGAAGAGGTTACCGACCTTGCACTGTTCATCATCTACGATTATCTCAGTTCCATAGCTTTCCATTATACCGAACTGGTGATTCATTCTTTTTCTACTCTTTGCGCCCGGGCAGTTATCGAAATCCCTGCAGACACCCTGATCACGGATGCGGTTCAAGTTCTCTCCAAGCACGGCATCAGTGCGGCGCCTGTGACGAACCCTGAGTCAGGGGACAGCCTCGACTGGAGGCAAAAGTATCTTGGGATTCTTGATTATTCGGCCATAGTCTTGTGGGTGCTGGAAAACGCCGAGCTCGCGGCCGTGGCTTTGACCGCGGGATCCGCCGCCGCTGCTGGGGTCGGGGCGGGCGCCGTCGGTGCCCTCGGAGCCCTGGCTTTGGGCACGACTGGCCCCGTTGCGGTGGCGGGGTTGACCGTCGCCGCCGTCGGTGCTGCCGTCGCCGGCGGGATGGTTGCAGACAGAGGCGTCGGAAGAGATGCCCCCACTGCGGCTGATCACATGGGCGAGGACTTCTTCAAAGTCCTTGTTCAGGAGGAACCCTTCAGGTCAACGAAGGTAAGAACCCTGCTATATTGCCCCTCATTATTTGTACATCGAGAAGACTTTCTTGATGAAACTTCCTTCATCAGGTTGAATCAATTATTAAGACGTTTCGTTGGGCACCTTTCCTGCCGATCCGCCCGGACAGCTCCATGCTCACGGTGCTGCTGCTGCTGTCGAAGTACAGACTTCGGAATGTCCCCGTTGTTGAGACGGGCAACCCCTCCGTGAAGAATTTCATCACCCAGTCTGCGATCGTGAAGGGCCTGCAACAGTGCAAGGGGAGAGACTGGTTCGATTGCATCTCCTCATGCCCGCTCTCGGATTTTGGGCTTCCTTTCATGTCCTATGGCGAGGTGAGGATCTGGGTTCAGTCGTCGCCTCCATTTTTGGTGTTATGTAATCGAAATGGAAATCTCTGTTCAGGTGATTTCTGTGAGCGGTGATGATCTGATCCTAGAGGCCTTCAAGCTGATGAAGGACAACAGGGTAGGGGGCCTTCCTGTCGTCGAGGGCCCCAGGAGGAAGATCGTTGGAAGTGTGAGCATCCACGACGTCAGATTCCTGCTGCTCAGGCCCGAGCTCTTCTCCAGCTTTAGGTAGTAGATCCATGGCTTCTACCCTATTTTCTATAGAAAAATGCTTTCTCAATTGTAGCGGGTGATGGATTCTCCCTGCCCGTCTTACAGGAGGCTCACTGTGACGGATTTCCTGA